AGCTATTACACGTCCGATTTTGCGTTTACACTGTTCATTTTTCGACGATTCATTTAATCAAATTCAATTTAATGCATAGTGTATTCAAGCCCCAAGTGTGTAACCTAAGTAACTTTCCATCCTTTTTAATTCACTTTAGCAATCGCTAAAACACAATTTGTTGCAATGGGATGCAAACACAACATGCATCGACAAATGACGCCAAACCAAACAAAGGAGACTCTGAACTTTTCGCTATGGGTGATTTCTGCTCCTTTAACAAGGCCTGACGTTTTGAGTAATTTTATGAATTTGAAATCTGTAGAGGAAAAATATTCGTATGAATATGAGTAGGAATAAGAAGGAAACCAAAAGGGGCATCCCTGTCAAGAAAAGTAAGGGCAAGTTTTAGAGAGGTTTTGTATGTAGCTTTTGAAATGATTAAAAATGAGTAACAAGGGCTCGGACAAGCCTTACCCTGAATATGAATCATACCTCATAGTCGATGAATAAAACATGAAACACAGAGTTGCAACTTGGAACCGTTCTGTTATATAAACCAAAGCGTGTACGAGTCCTGCCTTTACAGCATCATGAAAAGATCGTCAAAAGACCTACGAAAACATATTGCAATTTTGCGCTTCACCTAAGCATTTGACGCGTGCGGTATCATAATTTAACGCCCCCTGGTCAACGTCAACTCCCCCTGTTCAAGCTCAACTCCCCCTGGTTATAAAACTACTTTACATTTGACTGTAGATTACAGCGAAGAAACTCCTCCTCGTTTGATCGGAATTTTTTGATGTTTTTAGAATTTTTGAAATCCATTGGTTGAGTATCCCGCGCCAGAATTGAGAACCCCGCGACCTAGCATCGTGATTGGCTAGATTCACCTCCACGGGTGCAGAAACTCGTATAATTTACAGGCCACGTGTTCCTCAAGTGGCTGGTTATAAGAGCAGGCAACGCTTTCCGAGTCTGTAGAATGCTCAGTGCTGAGGAGAGGGGGGTCAGGGAGGTCATTGACCCGGGGGCCCTTTGCTATGGGGGCCCATAAAAAATAATTCAATTAAAAACATTCTAAGTGATAATCCAACCTTTCCATTACCAGAAATTGTCATTAGTAGAGACAATAGTGACAAAAGTCTATGAATGAAGTAAGGTAGAAGCAGTTTGAGTCTTTGACTGCCTGAGTGTTCAATATATTTTTGTTGAGAATTTTTCATCTTTGCGGTTGAAAAGCTTCTGAATGTAACCGGAAAATGTGATTGGAACAGGGCAACATACAGCAATATGTATCTCATACAGATTTACACTATGGCATGCGCATCTATTTGCAACAGTGTGTCGGTGGTGATCAAATTTAGTTAACGAATTAAACATTTTCCATTTTATAAGACTTTCAAAATTTCTAAGAAAATTTCATTTTTATGCATTATGGTGTTAAGATATCAGTTACGCTCAAATTATATCGAACAGCAAACAGAAGTAATAAATAGCCACCAGACAATGGCGTATAGATAGGAAAATTCGTAGGAGGGTGGGAAACTTAGATTTTCCGACAAAAATCTAATAAGCATTTATATTTTTTCATAAATTTTAACATAACATGACGTCTTCGGAACTGGAATAAATAAATCGTTTGATCTATTCAGATATTCTTAACATCTTAACAGCAATTAGATAATCATAGACAACCATGTTAAATTCCCGACAAGACCAGAGATTTTCCGACCATATAGCAGTTTAGCTCTACGAGGGTTTTTGCCCCCTCTGACCCCCCTCTATCTACGCCACTGCCACCAAAGCAGTTTACCCACCATAGTGATCTTACAACCAAAATAGCCACCATAGCAATTTTAGCAATCAAAAAAGCCACGAGAGCAATTTAAGCAATTTCAAAAATTCCAGGGGGAGCATTCCCTGTACCCCTTAGAAGGGTCTGCCTTAGACATGTTTTACTATTCTTCTTTCGTCCTGACCCAGGGCCCAAAAATCCTCTCCGCGGCCCTGAGAATGATATAAAGTAAAACCAGGGGGAGTTTGAAAATACTTCAACGCATTGAAGAAAAAACAGGGGCGCAGTGGGAGTTAACTTTTTGGGGGGCAAAGCTGAAAATTTTCCGATAAAACTATGATTTTTCCGACAAATTTTTTTCTCAATATATTCCTTGAAGACTACCCTTGCTGCATATACTGCAACACTTGATGCTACAAGATCACGAATTGATCTGGAAATCGTTAACGAATAGACCGTTCGTTATACACCTTCAAGTTCAACAATAACCTTTATTCTAACAAAATTTACCAAATATAAATCGCTATGAACAAAACTGCAACTTGTTATAAATTTACACCCCACAAGTCTTCTCGCTATGCTAGCAATAAACTGTCACGTTAGTGTTTATAGCTGTTTATAGCAAAAAGTTTTTTTTGGCAAGTTTTAAATCGCATCATAATTACTTTGCACTTATTTATGCTAAACCTTAAATGGATATAACGCGTCCAAAAGAATAGCTTTCCTTTAAATGATATTTATATAAACTGTTACTCTAGTTGCGGATTCAAGGGGGGGCAACTAGGAGCAGTTGCCCCTCCCTCAACGAGTTGAAGCAAGTCTGGCGCTCCATTTTGGAAATTGTGCGCCCCTTTTGAATAATGAGAATCTGGTGAAATAGTTTCTGAGACCGATAGGTTAACTTTCTTCAAGGATTATCTCAAAGGTATGTTGTTTTTTCCGGAAATGGATCTGAAAAGTTGTATACAGCGAACTCTCGTCACCAATTTTTGCAAATTTTTTAGCGCCCCCACTACCAACTGCCCCTCCTTCAATTTGCTCTGGATCCGCCCCTGTGTTACTCAAACAGCATCTTTCTCAAAAGAGGTGTGGCAGCATACAAATCGATGATGTCACCATAGTCTATCGACTGTAAAATATCACTTTCGACGTTGATTGTTATCAGAGATCAATCGGCTACGGTCTTGTCCCATTGTTGACCGTAGCCGATTTTTTACAATCATCATCTTTGAAAAAGCTCTTTCATAGTTTGTTGAACCTATTGGCAAAGTGACGAGAACCTTGCAAAGAAGGACCAGCTGTGGAAAGGCACTTTGCAGGTTGTACTTATCATCAACTGAAGAACTGAATAGAAGTTTTCTCTATTCAAAGCCTTGGCCAAACGATTCGATTTTTCGCTCGATCTTTCTCTCGACATTTGATCTCAAAATCGAGCGAAGTCCAGCATGGGTGGCCAAATGATTCGATCTTTCGCTCGATTTTTCATTCAACTTTACACTCACGCCAACAAAATGAAGTCAAAGAAACGCAAATCGGCTGCCGTGTTTATCTTGCGTGCAAATATCCTTTTACAATCTCTTGACGAACTCGAGCGACACAAGACCCTGTTCGTCCGTTTTATGCAGGAACCGCCATTAAATACAACTTATTTCGTTTAAATCAATTACTATTTTCAGGCAAAATTTTGTTTCTTTTGACTAATTCCATTCTTAGAATGAAATTCATCACTTAAAAAGGTCCCCTGGACCTCGAGGCCCCAGGGTAGTATGCTCCCCTGCCCAGCATAAGAGATGATTCGATTTTCGTTCGACAACACCTTTTTCACTCGACTTTTTTGATAGAGATCAAACTTCACTCGACATCACTCGACGCCAATCGACTTGCTCGACAAGGTGGCCAAACGACTCTATTTTTCACTCGATTTCTTGTCGAGTAAAAAACCGAGTGAAAAATCGAGTAGTTTGGCCGGGGCTTAAATCAAGACTTTCTCCTGCAGCCGGCTGAGGGCTGTTCTTCTCTCTAACTTACCTAAATTTAAGGTAATTATTGACGAAAGAGCTGTACTGATCTCTTAATCTTTCGTCATCCAGGCCGTAATTCTTCGCAACCTTTTTGAATGACACTGCACACAACTGCCTTTCAATTGTTTTTTGAAAACTTTCAGGGTTGAGCAAGGCAAAATCTGTCAAAATTGACTTATGAGACGTGAATCTTGTATTCATTGAGCTGATAGCTGTATCTACTATCACGATGATATACGGATTCCCTATTTCCTTCTAATTTATCCATGCAATTTTCCCCTGGCATCTTTTTCTTTCTGCGTATTCGTCGCTCGGCAAAATTTTGCTCTTCTAAGTCATGGCGAAAACAATAACTTTTTGCGTCTTCTACAACACCAGCGAACTCATTCCGAAATGAACAATGAACTGAGTTGAACTTTAGCTGTCGAAAATGGGAAAAAATAACGTTAAGCATTGAAGCGAATATAAAAATTTCAGGAGATATGCATAGTTCTCAGTAAAAGAGATAATAAATAGTTTAAATAATAATGAACAAAATTGCAGTAGAATACAGCATTTTTTCTGCAAATCTCCTGAAATTTCGCACCCCTCTGGATCCGCCCCTGGTCAAAACACGCCTTATACACTCTAGTTTCATTCTTTTGAACTGGTGCAATTTTTATGGATCATTGATGGGATAATTTTGAAAATAATAACCTCCAGCCTGATAGCTACGCGGTCCATTGTGTCACTTGCTGCCGTGTTTGCCATGAAATGCGAACAATTTCATGGAATTGAACACCAGCACAGGGCCGTCGGAAGCGGAGGGGCTGGAGCCCTGCAATAATTTTCAAACTGTACTATAATTCCTTCATATTAGTGTATTGAATGAGAAGAAATACAATTGGTAGCCCCCCCCCCCCTACTATGAATTTTGTTCCAACAGCACAGCAATGTCAGCAAATGATTGGGTTGTTTTTCTCTGCATTCCAAAAAGTTAATACTTTTCTTCCCTAATTAACTGGAGCCCGAATGCTTGGATGCCTGACACCTTTCACACTTTGATAAGGATGCTATTTTAGACGTGCCAAAAAATCTTAACAGAATATCTCGTATTGAAACTGGGGATCAGTGTGTCCATGTCAATGCCCCCCCCCCGCCCTAATTTGTTGAAAGCAAACAAGTATTTTGCTTTGCAAATTTGTTTGACTTGCGCATTGAGCCTCGTTCTGGGAAATCTCGAAACTAAAAACACAGAATGCAGATTATTTTGAGTGTAATTCAGTTTTAATCAACTTCACTGCAATGGCATGCGAAAATGAGGAATTAATCCAGATTAAAGCAGAAAAACAGGAAGAAGATGCTGAAATTGCCCAGCCTTCTTCGTATAACAAAAAGGACGATCCTGCTTGCAAGATTCTAAAAGAATGCGACAACTGTAAATTCAAAACAGAAAAGGAAGGGCCTATGTGCTTTAATTTATTTGGTGAAAATGATTTTTGCAGACCAACATTCACAGAAACTTTGGTAAGAAGAAAGATTCCAATATATCTTGAGCACTTTGAATAGTTCTAGAGGGTTAGGCCATGCTTAAGGTCCAGTTTTGACCTACTGCACCAGACTGCAGAGTATAGTAGTTTTTTCTAGCAAGAAAAAGTGTTTGTTTCCCTTACTATTTAACATAGATTCATTATATTAATCTAAATTCTCCTAAAAAACTGTTTCTAATCAAAAACTTCTATAAAGTTTGATTTTGTTGTTCATTTAACTAGATTAGTTAACCTTTAAATTTCCAGTATTGTAGTGTTTTATATCTCTAACACAATCATATATTTTGTCTATTTTCTCTTTCAGTCAGATATCAATGAAAAGAATGACAACCTTTTAATGCAGATTTATGGTATGTTATGAAACTTGATCTTATTATTTTTTTCTACACAAGATTGAAATATGTTTAACATATAACAGGATGCTGGTTCTAAATTACCACTTGGTGTTGGCATCATGCTATCTTCCGAAATTCCAAAATGGGTTGGAAAATTTTCTCTTTAAGAAGGGTGCAAAATATACCTAACCATAAATGATTGTACAATGTTGGCCTGTTTAAAACCAAAGTATAATTTCATTTAGGTCAAAGCTAAATATTTGTAAATCAGGATGTTGTTCTTGGGAAAACAAATTATGATGCACCTAACAACTTTAAAATGGCAGATAATTGACGAAGCCTTCTGTAATTATTTAACATGGGCTTTTTCAAAATCAGTACATTTGGGTGGGGAAGCAGATTAGGTCTTGGCGACATCTTTGTTGCAGAGGTACATGAAAAATTTCAAAATTCCAAAATCAATTATTAAGTATTAATCTTATTGCAGCAGGAGTTTGGCATTTGGGTCATTAAAGATCACTACCTAGGTCACTGCTTGAAGTATTGTTCTGCTATTTTCTTTTCTCTCATAAGTACCTAGAGAGCATTCTCTTTTAGGAGCAAATTCAGAGTTCATTGGAAGGTCTCTAGAAGTATGTTCTCGGTGTAATGTGTTCCAGGTACATAACCTGTTTTCAAGAACAGAGAATGAACTTTGTATCAAACTCAATCTCCGTGGATTTGCACAAGCTGTTTCCAATAACATAATAAAAACCTGTGAATCTAGAAGTAAAGAAACAAGATGCCAAATGGTGGGTATTTGTAATTTACCGAGGTCATCACCTGCATATGCAATTTTGCATGGAGATGAAAGTTTAGATCCTGGTCGGTGTCAGAATTTGAAAATTGCTTCTCCAAATGAAAAGATCACCTACCAACAATCACTTCTTGGTCGGCCTTCTAGGGCTGAGTATTTGACATCTACAGAAGAAACTGGGAAGCCCCGTTTGATCAAATCTGTCAAAGAATTAGCCTCCTTTGACCTAAATAGTTATAAACATTTTTCAAGTATAAATGAGTCACATAACTTGCCAATGAAAGAGTCAGCCAAATATTTGGAAATGCATACTTCTTCAGGGAATTATCATGGATATGATATGCCTCCATCTCGCAACCCAACAAGAACTCATGATTCGCTTTTCACTGAATCATCACTACTGTCAGAATATGGAGGTGAATATTTTAAACTCAGATATGGTTCCTCTCCTTCAGGATTGGAAAATATACCTTCGCTGAGAACGGTCACAACCAGTAGAAATATGTCACCGTATTTAGATACTAGTATCAGATCTGAGGAAAGCAGTCCCTCGCAAGTTTGCAACCCACAGGGCAGTTTACAATCAAGTGTTCCCAGTGACTGTAATGCAACTACCAGTTCCATCATGCTTGGTGATAAGAGGCCCCATGATCGTCTAGAAGAACACCCATTTCCTTGAGGAGAAATCAAACTCAATTTAATGCTCCAAAAAACGAATCTGCTTTTTATGATGGAATTGAAAATTCTGATAATGAACCCTCTGCCAGACTCAGTTGTGTAGTCACAAGGTATCCAGCAAGCAAAGTACCAAAGTTTTCTGCAGCAAACAATGTATATTTTGAAAGCCAAAAAACTCCAATAAATTTTCAAACATTTGGAACGAAGACTATTCAAGAAGCCACTCAAAGGGAAAGTACCAACTTGGAAACTATAGCCATAAGAGCAAATAAAGAAGATATGATGATACCAGAAAAGATTATAGGAAGTGAAAATGACCTTGATAATCCAGAAACTAATGGAGCTATAAAGCGCTCAAATCTCACTTCAGTTTCTGAGTGGAGCAATGAAGATGTTGTTGCTTTCTTCAAGAAAACGGACTGTGCAGAATATGCGAAGGTTTTTCAGGAAGAGGTAGGTTATAACCTTTTTATTAAGCTTTTTTTCGTTCTATTGCACGGAGCTAATACAAATTCCCAAAAAATGACTTTGTTATTATAGCAAAACGGTATTTTCAGCAGCGGTTTTAGGGACTGCGGGGCCCGGGGCCAAAAACATCTGCGGGGCCTTTGTTCTTTACAATTTCTATCTTTTTTCTTAGGTGTGGGGCCCCTTTTTGCTACCATAAGCGCGGGGCCTGGGGTGATGGCCCTTTGGACCCCTCTCAAAACCACCACTGGGTGTTACTTGCTCTAAGTTCTTTTTGTGGAGGGCGCTTTAACCATGACATCGGGGGAAAAAGAGAGTGAGCATAGATATACAGGTACTAGGGTCAACATTAAACATGACATTAGATAAATGTAGAGTCATGAGAGGTTCTAATATCACAGAGGCCTAGCCGAATTGGCATTTGTTGTTCATTGGAATTTGTTGTTCATTGGAATAATGCCTTTTAACTTAAAATATGGTGCGGTCAATGTTGAATACATTACTAAAACATACAAGAGACAAGAGAAAACTGTAACTGGGATTCAACGTGACGTTTTTTGCGTCATATTAAACTGCTTCTCTTTGTAGAACCCATTTCCTTTCATCACCTACTCAGAGGTGGCGCCAGAAATCTTCCGACAGAGGGGGGTTGGAGCTTCCGACAGGGGGGCTAAAATGACTAAAATAAGCAGTTTTCGTACGTTATTTTGTCAAATTTGCTTCGACAATAAGCCTTAAACATCCTCAGATGTGGGGGGGCCAGATGCTTCCGACGGAGGGGCTGTAGCCCCCCCCTAGCCATCCCCTGGCGCCACCACTGCATCTACTACGTTCAGATGATATGTAAGCATTTTCTGTCTTTGCTTGTGAAGTTTTTAATCACTCGTTCAATTCTTTTAACGTTGTTCCATTTAATATTTGTAGTTTATCTAACGCCATTCATTGTCAGAACTAACTGGTGTTGTCAAAGAGCTCTCAAGCCACTTGTTAGTGCTCGAAAACTTTATTTTGTGTTTTAGTTTACAACCGCACGCTTTTTCTATATCGTTATCCGAATACGACACAGTTAATCATGAGGTTTCAACTGATGTGCGCTTGGAGAATGAACCTGTCGAAGTTTTTAACGATCTGCAACTGCTGCGAGTTGATTTCGCACTCTAAACGAGCATATGCTCTACTCGACGGTCTCATTGTTTTGCGAAGTGTGTCCATCCATTCAAGCCTCTTTAATGAATTTCCTACTGAGAGACGACCTCAAAGCCTAGTCCATTAACTTCGGAATCAAACGATTCTTGCGACTAACTTTCTCATTACAAAATCTATTTCACCGTCAGTTGCCCTTTTTCGTTTCAAATGTCTTCCATTGCGCCATATTGATGTTACAAATGACATTTAAGAATAAAAAGCTTGAAAAGTTGGTTTTTAATTCATAATCTTTTGTTTTGAAGTACAGTCTGTGGCAGCTTTGGTTTGAGGCGATTTTGTTTTTGATAGATATACAGGAACCTGTTTATTTGTTTTTTATGTTGTTTTTAGTTAGGTTTGTTTTTAACCTCTTGACTACAGGCAACGGTTGGCTAGTGTTTTTGTACAAGGACGTAACAAGTCAGTAGTTTTACAACTCCCAACTTTCAGTATCGTTCTTATATTAGGTGCTCGTTGGAGCGATTTTTCACATGTGTTTTTATTTTGTCGTAGCTTGGCAGTACACTGTTAATTTCTGGACAGCTTGCCTTATAGGCTAAGCTTTGCAGTGCGATATCTATTGTAAAAACAGCCACATGATATCGGCAAGGGATTCACAAAGTTTGTCGTTCGAAATTGTGCCCAAAGAGACAATGTATATAAAGATTCTGTCCTAGCAATTGCTAGAAGCCTGGGTCATTTATCGTCAGGGACGCCGGAGAAGGGGGCGCGGGGGATCAACCGCTCCTGTTTTCTTTTGATAGAGGGGCAAGGGGGGCAGAGTTCCCTTTTCATTTAAGCGCCCTCGAAGCCAACAATTTGTGATAATCAGAGAGATCCATACAAAATTCTGCTTTTAGTACTTAATTCGTGAAGACATTTCTCAAAACTTGTAAAATAATACCTTATGCCAAAAGATAGCTATATCAAGATACATACAGAAAAGCGAAATAAAATGGCAGATACGAAGGAATTAGTAGAGGCTGAGAGTTATCTTTCAAATGCCCTTTTACTCAAGCCTGCCCTTTTGCCCCTTGCTCGTTCCGGCGTCCCTGTTTATCGTGGAAGATTGTTTTGAGATTTCTGAGCTGTATCAATGTTGGTGAAAAGAGTATTTTCTTACAAATTCTTCTTTTATCGTGGGAATGTAAGCACTGATCTTTAAGATCTCGAAACGATGGTTCAGATTGTGCGACTTTGAAGATGCCTCTGTCTTTTAAAGGCGATTTCACCGTGTTTTTTATCTTTTATAAACCTTTCTATCATTAAAAATTTATCAAAAGGTCAAAGCTATAGTTGTAATAGTACTACTACCTCCCTACTTCCTACTACCTCATGATCTTTAATTTAAGAATGCTTGTCGATTTTACTTCCATGATTGCAAGAAGGAAATAAACTTGGAGTAAGCATACAAACACTTTTACCACCGTAAGCTTCGTATTGTCTATAGTTCAAACGCCACGTCTCAGTCTATTCTACCAGATTTGTATGTGGTATGTGGGGTGTACTTCTCAAAGGCTTATGGAGAAAAGTAGAACAGCGATGCCTGGTTTGTTAAAGTTAGAAAATGCCCTTTAGAATGTCATTAGGCAATAGGCCAAGAGTCCTGAATGCGCCAACAAGTACATTTGCGCGCAGATTTTTGAAATGTATCCTTTGATAAAAGAGAGCCCGATGGCGATAACTGTTCTAAGGCCCCGTTCACACGGGAACGCAATCGTTCCGTTCCAATTTTTGTTCCAGTTTCTGGAACGAAAAAGTATACTGTTCACACGGTAATGGAACGATTGCGTATCGATTTTTGTTTGTGTTCAGACGGGAACGCAATCGTTCCGTTCTGCAATTTGCGCGCCAAAATAAGCAAATGAATTTTAATGCGCATGTCCATAATGGAGATAGATTTCATCATTTCGATTTATCTCTGAGCTATCTCTGAATTTTTTAAGCAATTTGAATAAATTGAGAATACAAAAGCGCCCGAAAATAAGCAAGCTCGTGGGAAAATTGAAGCCAACCCTAAAAGGAAGGAATTTCAATGTTTGCAGAATGGTGTTGAATCTTTTAAATGGACTAAGGGCGAGATTCAGCCAATGGTGTTTTTCAAATCCTCCATTTTCTTCGTTGAGTTTATTATTGTCACCTTTTCCTTCCCTCAACAACAACACAGACGCATGCGCCCAGGGCAAAACTCTTATCGTTCCATTTTCTGGACCAGTTCTGCGCGTTCACACGGGAACGGAACGGAACGATTGCGTACCGTTCCACTTTTCGTATCACTTATTTTATCGTTCCACTTTTTGGAACAGAACGATGTCGTTTGAAGCGTTCCCGTGTGAACACAACCCCTGAGCGTTCCGCTTTTCGGAACGGAGAAGAACGGAACGGAACGATATCGTTCCCGTGTGAACGGGGCCTAAATCGATGATTTTCTCGCTACTGCACTGATTATTTTTCATGTCATCAGTGTTTATTCGCCTTTCTTCCTTTCCTTTGTCTGTTTGCACACTGGCGCGCAATACACCCCTCTTTTTGGCCTTTTTTAATTCAAAACCTTTGACGATTGCAGAAATGATAGTCTTTGCGATCATTGATGACAATCATCAGTAGAGCTTTTTTTATAGATTCAAATCTTGCTATGGCAGTTGTAGTCTAAGCTGCTTCGTTTTTTGGTAAAACAAACATCCTTTAACTGTTTTTTTTGTATATGGCTGAATGGGGGTCTAAATGGGGGTCTTATGAATGCATAGGAATTTGATCTTATTCTAAAGATGTCCAATCGCTATTAAACCAACAGTTTTGCGTACGTATAAATGTTTTAGTAGGCTTTAATGCATATAACAGGACTGTTTGGCGTTGCTACTCATAGTTTTCGAGTTAATGCAATCATCAGGCAACTGTTTGTCTAAGCTGGCGTGAAGCTCAGAGTTGTAACTTAGAACCTTCCTGTTCAAAACACCAGCTCCTGTACAGCTTTGCCTATACGACGTCGAGTGATCTTGATCATTAATTTTAGTATGTAGCAAACCAATTCCTGTTCGTGAATTTAATGATTTATATATAAATAAATTCAAAATATTTCATATCCTTTTACAGGAGGTTGATGGTAAATCGCTCTTGCTACTTAACGAGGAAAAGCTGAATAAACTGCTTGGTATAAAAATCGGACCAGCGATGAAGATCGCTCGACAGATTCAGAAACTGAAGTCTTGTTTCGCGCCTGAAATGCCAACTAATAGTGAATAAAATGCACGAGGTTGGTTGACAATAGAAGAATATTAATATTTTTGAGATATTGGTGTTCCAGCTGATATACAGAATGAAATCCTTCACTCGAAAGAATAATACCTGTTACAAAACTAATCATGTCCCTGATGGTGCGAGATCTTCGTTGGATGTATATATTTCCAATTACTGATTTTTATTGACAATTCTTTTTATGCTTTTTGTACAAATATTTGTTGACTGTATCTATTCATTGTTAATGAATTCAACTGGGGTATGCGATGTTGCATTTGTAGAAGACATCAGTCCAAAATGATTTTCTTCCAAATTATTTGGAAGGAAATGCTCTTTATTTCTCTCCTTTTTTCTTCTCATCTATTTGTACACCGTAAGTTTTTTAAGCCCCCAGGTGTTTTTCAGCAATTAAAGAGGGGGGGAGGGTAATAAGTTTTGATTTGATGAGAACTATTGAACGGCAAATGAACAAAGTAAAAATCTCCGTTTTTTTCTAAGTTTACTTACTAATTGAATTTTTCCTCCTTAAAAGCGGGGCTAATAAAAGAGGGGGGCTTAATTGAGAGGGGGCTTAAAAGAGAATTCACAGTATTTGTCAGCTAGATAATGGTAAAAGGGGGGCTAACTGGTTCTTGAAAACTGGCTTTCTGTTTAATACCAATTGACTGATGAAACATACTATAGGTAGTTATGCTGTGCTGAATTATGCCCAAATTGAGGCTGATGCTGCAAAACAAAATGGCCTATTATCAAGCCTATTCAAGTCCAGGAAAATACTCTTCTTTTTTCACCCGGACCAATTTCAGGAATTGACCTAATGCTGCACCACTAATAGCACCCACCTTAACCCGGCACCGAAGACGACTAAGACGTCTTGTAATGAAGGAGATATCCTCTGGCAAAGCGCATGCGCCATTTACGTGTATCACAGTTTCCGGGCGGAATGGTTTTGACAAAACAAGTTCATACTAAAAACTTTTTTAACAAAACTATTCCGGACAAAAGGTTTTTGCATGATACCAAAATATATGGTAAAAATTTTGCATTTTAAACCTGACAGTAACTTCATGTTAATTAATCATAGGCAACTGAAACTAACTATTAATTTACCATAGAAGAAACCCAACAAAAGGTAGGAACCACACTGCAAGGGGACAAACTAAGGAAAGATTTTAGAAATTCATAGAATCAAAGATTCTAAAGCATATTTTCCGATATTTTTGCCATAGCTTGAACCCTTGAAAACTGTAGTAAATTTTACAGCATAAATTGTTGGACATTTATCCTGCAAAATTTAGAGAAACACGCCCTTTTTATGTAAATGAAGTAATGGGTTACGTTCGCGAGTTTGGTTGTTACGTTCTCCGATATGGTTGCATGTCGAAACGTTTTTGATCTTAATGTATGCTCTTTGACCGAAATGGCAATTAATGACTTTTTCGGTTTAAATCTTTCAGTTTTCCGCCTTTTCATTAATAATTTTCAAATGTATGATGATAGCGTTTAAGATCTATATTTGGCGCGAGATTTCACTTACTAGAAACAGTGATTAATTTTAAATGTCTGATGTTAATTTTAAACTTTTTAGCGGGACAATGACTTAATGCTCTATTTTCAACGATAAAACAAATGCTACACCAAATCTGATCCTGTACTTTTGTGGACTTTTTGTGTTTTTGATGTTTAGCAACCACAACATTTTGTCTTGATTAAAATGAGTAATATTTGATAGATGCCTTCACCTTGCCGGACATTAAACCTTTGCTTAAGCTTTTTCATAGTATTTTACACGGAGTTACTACAAGGAGATCACAGGGGGTATCGACCTAATAGATTTGCAGACTTGTCAAGTTTCAGTTTTGAAAACGAGTGAGTTTATTTGGAATGGTAGGGGAAATCTTGGGGCTGCTATGTGATCTCTATCCTTGGTACCGGAGCCCAAGAAGTCAGGAAGGAGCATGGAGATCCCTTCCCAATTTCTTAGGCTCTGATACCCAGGGTATGTGATCTCAAGGCAGACGGCAGATCCGCAATTAATCCCGATATGATTTTGGGGCGCAAAGACCGAGAAACAAATTTTTGTTTGGTGGGGGGCAGCCCTGATAAATCAGTGTAACAACAGCTATATTTTACAAAATAAGAGTATTTTACTTATGCAACGTAAGTTTTTTTGGGGAGGGGGGGCAAGACCCCTCCGGGCCTCTGATATTTCAGTTCTTGTGGGGGCGTGACCCCTAGAACATTTTTTCTTCACCGCGCCCTCTAGTTCTTTGTTAACGCCTGCTTTGGGGAAACACCCATTACACCCTGTTACAAACACTTTTTGCAGGTTGTCTTGAACATTTGTCAATTGTTGGATGCTTCCAAATCTTATTTTCACGCTATTTAAGTAAGATCGTTGTCTTCTGTTCATTTCAGCAAAATTGCGTGAGGGGACTGTGTAGGTCTGGATTTGGCGAGGCCTTTCGCTAATCATAGTTCCCATGACAACCACATAAAAACAGCAGCGTAGTCCCATTGCGTTTCTCCTAGCATATTGCCAATGACTGTCGAATTTCTCACTGTTACGTGATCGAAACCGTTCGGCTGTGAACAAGCAGATGTTTAGTTCATAGAAAAACGATACACGCACCGATATATTACTAATACTCGCTAACAGGGTTGCAATTTTTTTTGGGGGGGGGGGTTCCAAGCAGTCGTTCCCAGACTTAATAGATGTATGGTACGAAACGACTCTCCGGGAAGTTATTCTTTTTTTGAACATATGACCAGGAGCGTCACTTGAGGGGGGGGGGCTGGTATGGAGGGGTGGTACATCCATACGACAAAACTGATTTTTGCAGGGCAAATGTTTTCTACCTAGGATCTACTTTGTTGTTTATCTTATATGTTTGTTCACTCGTTTTGATCACGTGACCCGCGAATAGGCTGGCTTCAAGTCGGCGCGCGAAACAAAAGGATAAAACTTAGGACTTCCAGACCAAAGTTTTTCTATTGGATAGAATACTCTTTGAGTCATTGTTTCAGATGTTGAAAAATGAGGTCTCATAAAAATAAATGTGGGAAAGAACCTGTTTGCTACACTTGCTTTTCTTAAGTGTTCATCAATTTCGAGTCTTGGATTGTTTTCTCGCAACATCTGTTCTCTCCATTATCAAATACAAAACATAGTGTTTCAAACGAAGTTGCAAAATTGCAAGTATTCATGACCTTTTTGTTCATTTTCCACGAAACATGTGCTGCGTCCACGCCTATTTGTTTCAGTGTAGCATGTCAGAATTTCCAATGAAGAGTGAAAAACAAAGCATCACCTCTAGGTGCAGATGAGAAATCAAATCGCTCAATGCTGCTTGACATTTCCGCGAAACTGGATGTTAGTAAAATGATGACTATATTTATCATAGTTTTCACATTCTGAGCTTACATTAGCAAATAATTGTGGGAATATTCTCCGAAGTGTAGATTCTGGTTGTGAAGAAGACAGTAACGCTTTTTTGTCATAATCATAATCATAATCATAATCCCTATCACAATTAATTTTGTTATCATTATGTACAATATTACTGCTTATGAGGAAAACAAGAATAGAAACCAAGAAGCTGTATTTGTTTCCCCCATCCACTCAACCTCAGCCATCTTTCCCTGTCTACCACATCTTCTTTTAGCCTCCCCCGGTTAATAGGTATGTAAATATGTTAACGTTTTACAAAGGCTCAATATGCCTGTCATATTTGTCCGTTTATAACAATCCTATGCACACCAACCTTTTCTCTCTCTTTATTGAAATCCTGAATGTCTCGTTTAATAATATCTCGATATGAACCAAGCAGCCTTTCGAAAGCATCTACTTCTAAAACCGCACACGTCACTGTGCCAACTGCAAAGACGCTTGCTTTTCTTGTGTCTTTCATAACCAAGGCAGCTCACCAAAATGATCCCCTGGTCCCAATCGCACTATTTCTGTCTCCTTTCTACCTGTTTTGTCTACCACTTTGACCTGCCCTTCCACCAAGAAATACATGCAATTAGCTTCATCTTCCTGCTTGATAATGCAAACGCCATTATCATAGTGCTCCATTTCCAGGTTGTCAACAAGTCTTGACCTCTCTTCGAACGACAAAGTTGACAAAACTTTGGACCTTTGTATGATATTATCGATTTTTTGTTGTTTCTCAGCTAGCTCGGTCACCAGAATCGTTTTGAAAGATCTCTGATCTAGGCACCACAAAACCCCATCGTTTTGTGCTATCACTGTGGCCGTTCTTGGGCATTCGTAGAGAAGAGCTAGTTCTCCGAAACTGCCTTTACTGTCCAATGTCTTTTTGATGCAGTAGTCCCCAATTTCTATATGGAAAATGAATTTCCCTTTTTGCACAACGTAAAAATTGTCTCCATTTTCTCCCTGGGTAATTATCGTTTCGCCTTTTGTGACCCTTTTTTCAAACATGGCTCCTGTTATCATATCGAGTTGGTCGTTGTTGCAATTCTTCACAAGCGCTATATTATTGAGGGCTTCTTTGATGAAATCAAGTTGCTCTTGCGTCTTTTCATGGAACACTAAACTCGTTTGCCGGTCAATTTCCATGGGATCTATTGACGGGGCAGCCACTGCTTTTCGTCTCCCTCTTGGCGCATGCAGCCACAACTCTTCGCTTTCCATACATTCTCCTCCAACTATCCTGCTTGTCAAGTGAAGGCCATAATCGGCAAGTTTTTCTTCAGTCGATTTCCGTCTTTTCCTCTCGCGTTCTTCTTTGCAAGATTTAAAATATCCTGCAGCATAGTCAATCAGATCGTCTGGATTTTTTTCAAGAACAGTTATGATGAAGTCTTTCAAGAAATTATGATAATTCGGTGGAAATGTATACTTGCTCATCTTAAAGACAGTGCACTTTCCAAGTAATATCGATAATCTTCGCTTCTCACCAAGCTTCGTATGAACAATCATGCACGTATGGTAATAGTTCAAGCACAAAAATATTTCAAGACAACGGACGATCAACTTACCGATTTATAGAATCGTAAAGAAATGCACTGTTGCCATTTAACGTCTTCATGAAAGATCGACAACAAGGTTATGTTGCAATGACTCTTGCAGTTAGCTACATTGAACACCGTGACTCAAAATTTCTCTCTATTACCGCAGATCTTCTAAACGCTTAAACATTGAGACAGATTTTGAGGCTACTGCTATCAGCAACATGTCCTCCGCAAGAACTCGAAAATAGCTTAACCTACTGCACAAGCAGATGACTATGAAATGGGCAGGTGTTATGAATAATTCCTTCCTAAGTTTCGAAATTTCTTCCACGTTCTACAAAATTTGGGCACAGCGAGTCAGTTTAGGTAAATACTTTGGTAAAATGCGTTGAAATTTTCGTGTTTGAGCGTTACCAGATTTGAACCCATATTCGATCAAAGGTGCAGTGAGACGTACATGGGTTTAGAACGTTTCATTTCATCTCGTCACTTGTTCTTCGGAGGTTTATTTTGATGCCATAATTTCTGGTATATAAATATCATACAAAACCAATCTCCAGCTAAGATCACATCACATTGCATGCCTCTCTAATCACTTCTACAACCCATACCATTTTATGCAATCAGAATACAGTTTCTAACCCCCCCCCCCCCCCTCCTATTTATTGATCGAAAACTTTAACATTGAAATCAGAAAAAAACAGGAGAGCTTGAGGGTGTAACCCATGAAAATACCTAAACAAGAACCACAAATAGACCGATGCTCGCAAAATTTATTTAAGCAACTTTCAATCTTGCCTCAATATTACAACCGTAATATTTTAAATTGATGTACACATTTCAATGAATGGAGGACTAGCCCCCCTACGAAGCCCGCTACGCGGGCACCCGATAGCCCAAAATTCGTAAAGATTAGTCTCGAAAAGACAAGAAGTGTATTAACCTCGATATGAAAGAAATTAGCTCCGCACAGGTCACCTAATTAAAAAACTACTTTCACTCCTGTGCGAATAAAACTCGCACTCCTGTGACTATCGCTAGGAAGGATGGAGCCTCTACCCTCTGTCCATCTCAGACGACCCTCTTCAGGTGACCTGTGCAAGTCAAAATATATTTGTTTTAGCCCTAAATGACTTTTTGTGCTCGTTTAATATTTCGCAGGCTTATCTAAAAGCCCTGTTTTTTATTCCGAATTCTACTTTAAAGCTTGACAGCAACATGTTTCTGTAAGCCCCCACCAATTCGTTGTCCTCTTTGAAACATTTTCTTACTTTACCCCCAGAAGTTCTTCTATTTATTCAGAATCAAATGTTTAGGATTTCTAACCATACACTTTTAGCCCTCGCTTACCTATGGTGAAGCTCGAAAACGGGTCCTTGCTTTTCGTAAAAGAAAAGAGTTTTAATGCAGAAGCCCTTGTCCCCTCCCTACTTTCCAGTTGGCGTCGGATCCTAGGTGTCCTTGCTCAAAAGAGAGAGAAAAATGTCTTGAAAACCATCTGAAAAGAGACGAATGAGTCTCCTTAACTAATTGCGGAAACTGTTGAGAAACGTCGACACGGTTCTTCCATAGAATTTCCACAAAGGAGAAGCGATGGACAGTGGCAACGTGATAACAAAGAAAAATGTTATGTTATATATCGAAAGAACCAAGGCAAAAATCGAAAAACGAAGTTCACCATGCAATATTAGAGCCCCGAGTGGACGAGTCTTAGAAAATTGAGCAAAGTCGGCCCAGCAACGTGAGTGAAGATACGCGCCGCAAAACAATGGCAATCACCAACAAATCAGCGTTTCTAGCTCATTTGCATATCCGAACATTAGTATTATTGCAGAAGAGATTACCCGCGTTTTAAATTTGTTTAAATGGAAAACTTAAAGAATATGTAATGAAGAAGAAAAGTTATATTTTTCTCTCATCCAATGCAGCAAAAGAGAGAAATTTTTAAATTCTTAACCGTTGCTAACGGTGCTAGTACTGCGAATTTAAAGTGATTTAACAGTTAATTGCAATGTTTTGAATAAATTTACATATCATGACGTAGCAGTACTTAGAGTTAGTTGTAGAGCACGACGCCATGGAGTAGAACGTGTAATATGTGATATGTGAGCACATGATTAGAACGTGTCGAATGTGTAATACGTGAGCACATGATTAGGCCCTTTTTAACAACATAACACTAATGGATAGAAAAAGCTCCATGAGGAAAAGATGTGAGCTAAATTGTCAGTCATTGTCATTATTCTATTCTGCGGAGGAGCGTCTATCTGGAAAGGAAAAAATTTCCTTCTTCGCAGCTAGACGCTGTTTACACGCTCGGAATTTTGTGGCTGTGGTACCCAGGGTACAGAATTCCATTCTGCGATAATTCTTGCGGTGCAGATCTCAATATTCTCTCGAGGTTTGATTGACTCCTGTCGTAGACGCCACTTTAATATGAAACCATCTACAAGAAACTATAAGACACCAAGCCAAAAGATGAACGAAAAATTAATCCTTGATCTTAAGAAACTGCTCACCATCATCCTTGATCTTTATGTTATACGTTAGACACTAAATCCCTTCAGTTTAAAAACTTGATATTAAAAAAGAAATTGAAAGAAGGAATTACATGAACATAAGTAAAACTAAAGCGGAAATATAATTAGGAAGAATAACATATTTACGTAGCAGCTGCTCTACCACTACCACTTTTTAATCCATTAAGAGTGGAGAGCTCTCTGATATCTTACTGATATTAATAGGCTTATCATTTAGAGAAAGCCTTCTTTGAGGTTTTCCTTATTATATCTTGGGATTTGCAGGTTCCTATAATTACTTATTTTATATTTAAGAGTGCCGGGTTCTGATGATATCTATCCCAAAGGATTCAGGACATTGCTTGTTTATTGTTTTGTATATCATAAGAGGGCAACAAAGTTCAACCGATCAAGCAATAAAGTTCAAAAGTGGTTTTTTCTCTTTTGTCCATAACCAAGAACCAAGACCTCTAACTTGGCCTCTAACAAGACCTCTGTAATTTGGTCTTGGTTCATAACTCTATGGACCAGGCTAAAATAGCAGTTACCTATTAGCAAATTATTGAGAGTTATTTTATGCTGTTCTTTCAGATTATGTGGTCAAAAGTAAGAAATTCTAAAAATAGTTTTTGATGATGTTACATTTCGGTACTGTTTTGTCAGTTAGTCTGGCCTTAGCAATAGAGTACCGAAGTGATGACGTCATAAAAGTCTATTTTCAGAATTTTTTAATTTTGATCCCAGAACCTAAAAGAGCATCGTGAAATACCCCTAAATTTGCAAATTCAGTCTAAGGCATTACAAATTAGCTGAGATATGGCCACATGAGCACAGGCTCTTGCTCTATCAAACCTCTGTAATTTGGTCTTGGTTCATAACTTTATGAACCAGGCCAAATTAACAGTAATCCTTTAGCAAACTTTAATTCTTCCATTGGCCATATCTCGCCCAATTTTGAGCATAGCTAATTTATTTTGCGAGGTATTTTATGCTGTTCTTTCAGATAATGTGGTCAAATTTAAGAAATTCTAAAAAAAGATTATTGATGATTTCACATTTCGGTACTTTTTTATCAGTTAGTCTGGCCTTAGCAATAACAGAACAGGCTTTATGGTTAATCCTGCAGACGTTAATGGGATATTCAGTTTTGATTTTGAGAAACTACCCTAGAATGCTTTAGCATATCGTAGATAACCATCGACAAGGGCACGATATACATTGTCAAGCTGGTATTGAGAAATAATACTTTTCAATTTTTAATTGAGTTAAGACCGCCTGAAGGAGATCTATTAGGTCATGTGATTGATGACATGCAATTCAACTCATCGAAGAAAAGGCAGACATGGATAGACACGACTAACAGGATGAATGCTACGCTAGAAATAATCTCACTTATGGAATATGTTGTTTTAATGTAAAGTTCGCAGTATCAAGGAGTCTTTTCATATGTAAATAAATAGAACATTCGCAGTGCTTTTTCGCTTTTGACTTTTTATATATTTTTAACAAGGAAGCGGGAACCTTTTCTGGAGTTTCGTCTCTATTAGAGGGACGAGGCGTTTGTACAGCGCAGGGTCATTCACTTAATCCCCCACACCGCCACACATCTTTCCTTTCACTTTGCTGAGTGGCTATCACAGTTTACCTCTTTATCCATCATAACCCCTAGTGATTAAATCTTTACGGCGCGTTTTATATCTGAATTATTAAAAGTCAGTGGTTCCGAGATTTTAACTTTGTTTGTTCTCCGTGGATGGCCGATAATAATGTTTTCTGTTTTTTCAGGGTTTGCGCTTAGCTAATTTATCCCCAACCGTTCATAGTTCCTTCTTATTTCTTTTTAAGCATTTGTGATCAAATCCTCAACGTTATTGGATGTTAACGTACAGTGACTATCGTCCGCATACATATTAGACCTTGAAAACTTTAATTATTTTTCAGGTAATAATTATTAACTTAAATAATTATAAGTCATTCGGGAAGACAATAAATAGAAGTGGTCCCAAGCATAATCCTTGGGGTATATCACATGTTGTCAATCTAATCCCTGACTGTTGTCGAATAACTGAGCAGAACTATTTGGTATCGCTTAAGAAAGATGTGAACCATTCTCCTAAGATTCCCTTGATAACGTATGCAGCTTTTTTATTGATGTTCCATGATCTACGTTACAAAATGCCATTTCAAATCAAGAAATGAAGCTTAGTTAAGTTGTTTGTATCCATGTGATCATACCAATAATCGGTGCCAGTTATAAGGGATGTTTCAGAAGGGGATAATTTCCGAAAAGCATATTGGTTTGGTCTTAATATTTTGTTAGTAGAGATATATGGACTAAGCTGATGAAAATCTATTTTTTCCAGCACCGTAGACAAAACTGAGATGACAGAGATAAGCATTGTTTGCATTTTTACAACCTGTCTTAAAGACTGATTGCTAGCAATGAGCCTTTGCGTGAATGGTAAATCGCCGAAGCCAATCATGCGGAGTAAAAGTTTGGGAATGGTAGCCTTGATCTTCAATCTGATCTCAAAGAACGTAAAGAAGACCTTTTTCGGTTTTTTTAGAGCTCCATGACCAGGCACCGCGGAGCAGGGGGCTGGGAGGGCTTTAGCCCCCCAATTTTGCCAAAAATGCACAGTATCAAGAGAAGAACCATCAGTAAAGCCCCTTTTTGTTCGATTTTAGCCCCCTCTACTTTTTTAGGCCCCCACTTTTCTCAACGCTCCGCGGTGCCTGATGACACGATGCTTGTTTTCAACCTCCATGTCCAATCTGATTCAGCAAGAACGTTGCAAACTCATCACTTGTTAATAAATGGCCTTGATAAAACAAGATAGCGTTCTCGTTCTTGCATTCCAAACCTTCAGTGTTGTTTTACCAAAGTAGACCACCTTACGCTGTTCTGAACGACGAGGATGTCCTTTTCTTCCTGTGTTTTCCGACTTCATAGCTCCTTTCGATAAATCATAAATGTTTTTGCTAGACTCAAATTGATTTTTAGACTGTCTGAAAATGCATTATGGGATGCCTGTGTAGCGCAATGGCTCATTGTTTGCAATGAGTCCTTAGCAATTTGTTTGACTTTTACTAATTTTAAGATATCTAGAAAAATACCATGCTTCGAATCGTCTGAGTTGACAATCATGGCTAATTGTTGCCAAATAAAGTCTACTCCTACTGCATCATTAAATTAGCGCAGTGGTGGTCTTGTTTCAAAACGTCATTATTCTTTTAGAATATCTTTTCTTATAGAGTCATCGATATTCCCTTACATCGATATTTCCTTTCATTCGTTGTTTTTAAAAAGCAAATAGGCAGTTTCAAATTGTTGCTGTTATCTCAGCATTTAGCAAAAATCTTCTGAGTATTTTTATTGTTTTGGAATAGGCCTGAACACTGTGCCTATGCTCAGAAAAATCTCTGTGAAAAGTTCTCATGGAAATCACATTATTGTTGAAGAGAGATCGGGAGCATTTTGCGTTGTGTTGCAGAACATGCAGTCGTATGGAAAGTGCCAAGCCAAAGACCGATTGAACGGTTATTAATAAGCGTTTGCTGGTGTCTTGCTAGCAGAGAGTGACTAGAATGGAATTTCTGCAACTTCTAAGTTAACATTATCGTCTTGGAACAGAAGAAATTTATTTTTACTTAATATTTATGTTGGCTTTGTAGTAACTCTACAAGCTAAATTACACCTTTACAAGTCATCTTCCTAAAGCTTGCTTATGCGAGTATGGAGGATTGAAAAAGTTTGGCTTTTGACGTTTGCTGGAAGTTTTTCATAGGAAGTAAAGTTGTATGAACGTCATCCACAGTTGTAAAATCAATTTCACTTTGCAAGTGCATATGTTGCAATGGGGTTAGATCATGCAAGCTTCTTAAACATGGGAAACTCATTTGAACTATTAAACTCTGTAAACACGACCAGCAACGGCATGGGATGGTGTAGGACCAACAGTTGATTACACAAACAACTGTATGCGCAGCTGCTCGAACAAGAGAGAAACAGGCGTTGAAAGCAACTTTTTCTGTGAATGTGTAAGCTCTCATTTTAAGGAAGGAATGCTCCACGGTTCTCATTTTTCATATGATTATTGTTTGCCCTGCCTTGCCCTTCTATTATAAGTGCTATTGTTACGAGAACAAAAACTAACTAAATCAATGAATGTAACAGAATAAAAAAGTAACAGCTATCAAAGTTAAGTGAAAGAAGTGATGAAATTACTAAATTATGTTACTTGCAGGCACTGCAATCTTTGCCTCCTTTACAACCCTTGCTTCACCTGTGAGCCTTACATCACAATTTTATGGTCAATGGCGGACCTTGCGTAACTGGAAAGTCTTGCCTCACTTACAACCTTACAACACTGGCAAGCCTTGCGTTATTTTTAGCCTTTGCATTACTGGCAAGCCTTGCGTTACTTTTAGCCCTTGAACTACTGGCATGCCTTGCGTTACTTTTAGCCCTTGAACTACTGGTGAGCCTTGCGTTACTTTTGGCCCTTGAACCACTGGTGAGCCTTGCGTTACTGGCAAACCTCACGTCAATGACAACCCTTGCGTCACTTCCAGCCCTTACATCACTGGCAAGCCTTGCGTTACTTTCAGCCCCCGTATTACTGGCAAGCCTTGCGTTACTGGCAAGGGAAAGTAGAAATTTGCAAATTTTCGGCACTAACAAGGGGGCTAAGCCCCCCTGAGCCCCCCTGAGCCCCATTGAGCCCCCTTGAGCCCCCTAGCACTACACCCTTGGTCACTTTCATCCTTTGCATTACTGGCAAGCCTTGCGTTATTTGCAAATCTTTCGTAACTGGCGAGCCTTGCGTCACTTCCATATTTTGCATCACTGGAAAGCCTTGCATTACTGGTGAATCTCACATCAATGGCAAGCTTTGCGTTACTTAGCTAAAGCCCCTACATCACTGGCAAGCCATGCGCTACTGGCGAATTCTAGTCACCAGCGAGCACTGTGTTAATAGCAAGCCTTGTATCTTTGGTGAATCTCTCGTAATTGGCAAGTGTCGCGTTACTGGCGAATCTTGTGTCACTACGAGTCTTGCGACGCAAGGAATCTTTGATTATGAGCGCGCATTGAGTCACTGCCGTAACTGTAGATGATGTGAATACCAGGCTTATCGGATAAATGGCGAGTATCGACGCGAATTTATCAACTACAGCAAAAATCTTGCGTTGCAGACACTCCTCTACCACAGTACGTACCGTCGATATCATCTAACAAGCACACCGCGTTGTATCCTGACAGTCACACCAAACTGTACCCTGGGTACCAGACTCACTATATAAAATAATTTCATATATAGTGAGTCTGGTACCCAGGGTAACCAAACTGTAGCCTGCGTTCAGGAATTTATGCATCAGATGACGGGGTAAGAAAAGACATCAGGATGACATCACACCGGTGTCAGCTTCTGGTAACAGTTAACGCAAAAAATGTTGAATATTACTGGGGAATTTCAAAGAAAAAAACCTACTTAATAGTACTTTGGATAATATTGATTGATAGGTAATGAAGTAAAATGACAAGAAGAAGTTGATAGAATAATAGCCATATTTATTGTGAAAGTTTAGGCTCCACAAAAATAGACATTTCTTTGAACTAAATTGAATGTGCACGGAAACGAGACCAAAAATTCCAATTAGTTGAATAGCAGGAAAAGGAGTCGATTCGAAGAGAGCGAGATAGATAAAAGACGTGGGGATTGTACGTCAAGAAAAGGGACTGAATTTACATGTAATCATCATTCGATGGTTGTATAGGTTGACCAATCAGTGCCGCTTGCCTATTGAGAATATTACCAATGGAGTGCTAAGGTGAAAACGAACTCCTTTTTTCTACACAGTAGCGGTTTTTTCGTGCTTATGTAGATAGATTCCAAAACTGCTAGGTGGAACGACGATCGGGCTTTACCAATAATCCGAAACATGTTCAAAGGGACATTTGTGAAAAGACTGCTAATGTCCAAAGAACACATGAAAGATGTTTCGTTTTCGATGTTCAAGTTTTGCATGAACTCAGTGAACGTGAAAGAGTCCTTGATACAATGTTTTGAATATTTTTGAAGAACAGGGTCCAAAACTTCAGAAAGCCACTTAGCCAGTTCGTGTTGTGCTGAGCCAATCATAGACAAAATGGGTCTAAGTGGAACATTCGGCTTGTGTATTTTAGGGAGGCCATACATTTGTGGACGTTGTGAACCTGTGGGTCTTATCCTATCATAAACTTCGTTAGTCAACACTTTTGAGTTAACCAGCTCCAAAAGGCGTTTTTGAAGTTTATTTCTACTTATTTCTACTATTACAACCACTCACTTCTTCTTACTACTCCATTTTTTTCGAAATTCTGAGCTGGATTGTTCCTAATTTGTTCTTAAGTTACTAGGGTGTAAGCAGTGTAATTGCTAGCTATTGCGCTCTAGGGAGGTTTCAGGTCCTTCTGCATGCAAAGCGAGTTGGACATCCTTTATATGTCGACAAGTTTAGAAATTCACTGAAAAAGCACCCTTGATGACAAAAAACTCCTCGTTTTTGAGATGAAACATTGTTCAAAATTATGGCAATCTTGTTCTTAATTTTTTTTTTGAATTTTGACCAAATTTGAGGCTCGTGTTCTTGTGAAACTGTTTTTTATAAAAAAAAGTGTATTAGCTATCATTCTAGTGTACTAGTAGTTTATTTGTGTTTGCGGTTGTTTGTTCTCGGCGCGTTGCAGCCTTTCTATTTTTCAACATTTTATCCACTTTTCGCTTGCAATGTTTACAATGTTCATTATTTACATACATACGAGATTAGGATCAGTGATTTTTCTTCCGATCGTAGCCACAAATTCAGGCTGCAATGATATATGTTTTCTTTAGACCGAATAAATGGACACAGAGCAGACAAAACCGTTTGCATGAGCATAAGACCCCAGGAACCCCCAGGAACCCCCTGGAACCCCCTGGAACCCAGCTGACTTGCTTAAGCAGATTTCTTGCAGTGATCTTATTAGCATGTGTCCCAGACCCCTAACTTAAAAGTAGTTACTTCTCTACTTAGGGGTCTGGGACCAGGCTATGATCTTATCTGAGCAGCCCAAACTAAGCGCACTAATGAGTTACTCACATGGACTACAATATGATGACACCCTGTGCACTGTCAATATCAATTTCTTAATGCGACTATGTTTCCCAACGATAGCCTGGGTACCAGAGCCTCAAGAAACCGGGGATAAAAAATATTTCTGTGACTAGTTTCGAATCCTATTTCTGAGACTGTGTAATGGAGACTCGGATCCCAAAGAGAGCGTACTGTGAGCAAAGAGTACCGCAGCAGGTGAAATGGGATCCACAGAGTCAGCCACTTAAGGGATGATTTCCACTATGTACAAAATAATAAATATTAATGAAGAAACACGTCTTTAAACGTTTTCAATTGCCCGAAATGCTCTGCTTATCGTGCTTGTTTTGTCAAAAAAAATTGACTCAAGATAACTTCGAGCAAATTAAAATGAATCTTTCAATGTCTCTGAGGAGCTTTAAAATGAAAAATATAGATTTAGTGTAACAATGTCACACACAATGCTTAAAATAAACCCTAAAAAATTGCAAATGTATGTCGAAAATTTGCGTCGGGCGAAACATTACCATAATGTCAATACCAATAATTTGAATGTCGGTATATATTAGTGCAAAACATTGACCCGAGTCAAAAAGTACCATGGTAATAAAAAGTACTTCTGCATAAAAATTAATGATAAATTGAAAATTGAATAAACAAGTTCAAGCCGTATGAACAAAGGCAAACACCACTTTGAGCCTTGCGCAAAAACTTAGGGACCTGCCAACGTGCTGTAAAACAGAGTTGCTATATTCCACCGTATGGGATCCTTGTAAGAAGTAAAGGAGTTTTTATCCTGCCTTTCTGCAGAACGAACTGTTACAAATTTTCATTTGTCAACATCTATGAAAATCTGGAATGAACTTCCTCCTTACGTCAGAGAAAGTCAGTCGTTAAATAACTTCAAGACAGCTATAGATGACATAAATGTTTCCAGTTATTACTGAAGAGTACGAATCTGGTACAAAAACTGTTTTTAGCTAATTATTTTACTCAGAACTGAAAAGAAACTTAAAATTTGATTTACCTCATTTATTATGCAATTTGTTTCTTTTTGGGAAACGAATACTGTTCAACACAAACCAATGACCCCAACTCACAGATTTTGCCCTCATTGCACTACTAAGCCTCAATTCGTTCGAAAATCTCTAGCAGTATAGTTTCCTAAAAAAAATTTATTAATTAACTGCTAACAATTAATCATTAACAAAATTGTGCGCAATATCCATTATTAGGTCTTTGTACTTTTCCGATAGATAGAAAGAGTTATTAATTCTGATATACGTCGAGTTAATGGATTTACTAATCGATGGAATGCTGCAAAATTACGATAACAAAAAGGAAAGTCTTAGATTAACAGGCCTGCGATGTTTCTTTTTAGACTAGCAAGGTACCTTCACGTCGGAGAGTAATAAAGAAATGTATTTCATCAGCAGATATAAAAAACCCATAATCCACTTTTTTCGCAAAAGCAAAAATAATCGGGTGCGTTCGCGCACCCTACAAAACCATACCCACATTCCCTATACCATTGGTCAATGCCAGAAAGAAAGGATTCCAGTCTCCTTTTTAGCAATACCTGTTTGAAGCAGGATGTCAGTCTCCATGAAAATATTCTAAGCAAACTCAAACTAAAACTTTCTTTCACAGCAATAATTGCCTAGTACATTTATATCTAATAGATGAATTACACTGCCCTCACGAAAGTACCCGGACAGTTCGAAGATCGATTGCGCTTTCAGACAAAAACAAGTATATGCTGGCGAGAACGACTTTTTAACGTGATAATAATTTTTGAGAAGCCCTTCCAAAATAAACCAGAACATTAAAATGATGCAAAACTTCTGCACTTTTTATTCGTTATATTATTTTGTTAAAATGAGAAACGTTTGCGCTACAAGCCTTACGCAAATCAACTGATATCAAATAAGCAGAGAACAGCAAAGTCAGGTGACTTGGACTCAGTTAAAATCGGCCAATAAAACATGGGTAATTTTTTACAAAATGGTTATTGAGACAAAAATATTTTCGAATAAAGAGAAATACCACGTGTTGACTACCAGTTGGGAAAAATATTTTCATGGAGATGGCACCGAACGATTATAAAACATAGATGATATTTGGTAACATTTTAGCAGATCATAAACTTTCTTGCAAAGCAGACATATCATTCAGTGCAGGACCATAAAGCCACATTATTTCTTTTGCATCCAATGTACTAGCAATTTAAAGATACCTTTTCCCCATCAATATGATAAGACATTATTTCTAGACACTGCTCAGAAGTCAATTCTTTTGTTTCAGTCGCTACCTTGAGAAAAAACCCTCACAGAGTCCGCTTACATATCGATAAGATTATTTTTTCGACGAATGAATAGATTAAAGGCCAAAAAACTTTAAAATAAAATTCGAGGAAATTGATAAAAATATTTCCATCAAAACTGCTTTTGAAATTTGTAAAGAAATTTCTCTAACAACAGATTTGCAACTAAAATCGAAACTGTCCGTCTAGTTTCGTGAGGGGAGTGTACAAATTGCAATAAATTTTCAAAAAAGAAACTGCATACAGTTCACAGCTCAAAATGTTTGCTGTCGGGCTGAATAGAACTCACAAGAAGCTATCTATCTCTTTTGCTAGATTTGACGTCTATAAAAAACGTATATTTAGCAACAAAAGATGGAAAGTCTAAAGGGGGTTCTCGCCATTTTACTGCCCTGTCACCCTTAATATACTTCCCAAATGAGTTCTTAACAAACTGGGTTCCATGACGACCATCAATAGGGAACTGACACGCACTGTTAGTGAAAGCACGATGAACGTTTATGGGCTGGTAATTGTCATTTCTCTCGCGGATATTTAGTGATAGAAAATTTCGGGGTTTTAAGCAATCTGTTAGAAATATTGAAGAAAATTGAATGAAATATGTATTACAATGATCTTCTCCCACATCGAGGGAAAGATTGAAACAAAAAGCCCATTTTCACCATAATTTTGAGTTTTTTTGCCGCTGCTGATTGTTGATGAATAGCGTTTTCTTGAATCAGCTGTTGATATCTTGGGTACGAGACAAACAAAGCATGGCTGAATACACGGAATTGAAAAAATAACACAGTTGTACAAGGATTTGTAACGCTGAGTGGACCTTTGGTGTCATTTTCGACATTTTAGTAACTTCGTATTTGAGATAAAGGAAGTTTGCCCTTGATTTCAAAGATGGAGAAATGCTGGCATTCTTGTACATGTGAAAGATTTACGAGAGCAACAAGGCCCACAAAGTTTACAACATCATATAGAATAACAAAATCACAGATTCTCCGAATCCTGGTAGTAATGGTGATGATTACAAATGGTGTACATGGAAATGACAAATGCTTTTGTAAGGTTTGTAGATTAGATGAGTATTTGTTTATTAAAGTAGCTAACCCAAGTTTTTAAATTGCTTAACTTCGCACATAAGATTCAGCCTGAAGTCTGTTAATTTTATATTCTAGCTAAAGGGTCAACTGGAAGATTGTTGCTGCTCCGTTGAGACTGTAGACAGCTTAAACAATGCAATGATTTTCCCAAGAATTTCTTCACTGTTGTCTAGTTTCAGTTACTTTAAATATTTTAAGGTAAGTAATCTTCATGTTCATTTTTTCTTCCTGTCTTTCTGTAATTCAGGGCCTGAAGTTGTTTTTAAATTTGTTTAATTTGAAATTGTAAAGAAAGGCTCCGAATTTCTTACCAGCTCAATTTTTTATTGTCATTTTACCCATGGTGTTAAACTGTACACATTGTTTTGAAAATGGAAGATTTTGCTAAAATAGCATGACTAGAAAGGGTGTTTCGTTTGTATAAACAAATGCTTTGTTTCAGGTGAATCTGAAAAAGGGCTGCCCATTTTGGCCAGATGATAGCCGTTGTGCAATTAAAGACTGTGCTGTTGATTTTTGCTCAGAAGATGAAATCCCAATCGGCATTACAAAATCTAGGGTGCAGGAAAAGGCATGTTGTTCAAATTTATAATGCACTCTCCTCTTTGTCTGATATTCTGCAGGATCCATAAAATCATATTAAGATCTTACTCAAAGTCCTCAAGATCCCTTACTCAGAGATCTTACTCAAAGTTCTCATTTTTTTCTAGCTTGAAATTTAAATTCAATATCAGTATTTTCAATCTGTATAGGAGAGGGGAAGGGCAACATCATTTAATTCTCTTTAGCCTACTAATGTAAGCTATATTCTCAGGGGCAGATCCAGCAAAAAATCTGACTGAGTTCCAGGCTAAGGCTAGGATCTTTCAGATAATGCATTGATACTGGGCCTAAGACAACATTGTTATTCATATTTATGCATTTTGGTACCGGAGGAGGGGGGGAGGGGTAGTACTATCAGCTCATTAAATCTAGATTATAGATTTCCTCCGACAGAAAACAGTGCCTCTGTGAAAATTTCTTTGTAAATCCTCCCTTTCTAAATACCCTCTTGTTTGTCTTGGATGCCTCAGCAAAGATTTCCCTTTTGTATTGCTTGCAATTTGTTGTTTTGCCCAAGTAGACACCAGCCTATTTTTCAAAATATGGTGTTCTGTCTGACCATTGGTATCCCTTGCCATTAATGACTGCAATTTAAAATCAAAGTAGTTAATGCTCCTGGAAAATTAACAATACTTCCAGGTCTAATCTCAAACGCTTAATAATCTGCTAGAATGCTGCAAGGGTCGTGAAAGTAAGACATCTGCAGTTGCCATTTCAAATTCCAAGTTTTGTAGTTCCACAACAGATCAGAAACAATTGGTAGCCAATCAACTACTGGTTATTGTACAGCTCTCTTACAAATATGGTATCATCTCCGAGTTCCAGATGCTGTTTTGAATGAGTTCCATCTGTGTTCCAAACAAAAATTTCATTGTTTCAATTCATTCACTTCCAAGACACAAAAGGTTTATTTCCGAGTTCTAGGATTTACTGCTGTTGTCCTCCACAAAGTCTGGAGAATTGTTTCAAAATTAAAATCACAACAGAGAAGGAGGGAGGGAAAGGGCAAACGAATTACATCAAACTAGCAATTTTAAGATTTTGAAGAGACTGCGATAAAAGTTATAATTTCTAGGTTTCACTTTTTTAGTCTAAATATTACTTATTTCAGGCAACACTATTTTTAGCTTTATGTTGGAAAACTGACTGAGTTCTGTGCACCAAGGAACTCACTCCGGATCCACCTCTGATTCTATTAGCATTTTAATTGTCTTGACTGGATAATAGCTTGGAAATCCTAAGAATTTAATATAACAAAACCTGTATTCTAATTCAAAGATCCCTCAGTTCTTCAATAAAGATGTCTGCATTTAAACAATGGTCTTTTAAAAATTCAAAATAGTGGCAAGGAATGGAACATATTTTTGCTAGATAATAATCTTGTTCAACATTGATGATGCCTATCAAGACTTGTAAGATCATGCTTTGTCAAATTACATTTTAATATTTACATAGTATCCAACCTAAACATTAATATTTTTGTGTAGTTGTGATTTTAGATGCATTTTTCATAGACAATACAAAGTACTGGAAACAAAGTTGAGTTCCTGGAAAATGACGATAATAATGGAAAGGTTAGAAACACTTCTAAAAGGGTTTTTTAAAGGGGTTCAAAGAATGTATTTTCAAATAACACATAGATACAAATAACACAGATACATAATAAAGAAATGTATTCAAACCAATAGGTGTCTATTATGTATTGAACTACTCAATGTATCAAACAAGTTTCAACACAGAGTCAGAAAAATATCTACCAATTTTAAAAGTTTATTTGTAGATACGAAGTTTTTATCAGCTTCTTTGCCACTTGACAGTTTGGAAACAGTAATATAATATGGTATAGCTGAAATACATTTTAGTTTATTTATTCTAGTGTGCAGTTGGAGACCTGGAAAATCTAGGGAACATCAATTCTGCTATCAGTGATGAACAACTGGGAAATTTTGAGCAATGGAATGAGCATGATGACACAGAGGATAAATTTTGCGACATTGATGGTAATATTTAATTTTTGAGCAATTAATCTTCCGTTGAATTTACTTATTTTCAAGATGGTTCATTGCATAAGATAGATGTCACTGTATGATTTCTAAAAGGCAAGTCAAATTTTTCTTTGAGGATGGGGGTATCAAGGTGTTTGCTGGCACAAAAAGCCTGCAGCTTTGTGCATTATGTTTGGAGGGTCTTTTGGGCGTTGGTCAAATGTAATATTCCTAAATGATTCCCTTCATTTTGTTCTTTTTGCTTGTTTTCAAACCTGATAGGCGTATTTGTCATGGATTTTAATTTCTAAGACATAGCATACACACTTTCATCGCAAAGAACTACAATTTGTTCCAAAGATCCAGGAGTCTCTTTACAATTGCCATGCAAAATTGTAAGGCTGCTATCAATGATGCAGTAAAGTTTCAATCAATGAGGCAATTGATGCCATATCATTTGAGAGTTTTTGAAGATGTTTTCTGTATTTTTTAATACAGATTGATGTAATTGTAGTAATAGAAGACCTTGCAAATACTACTGTTTGTGATTCAAACCAGACTCTTTTACTTGCGCCCATCCAACCTTGAAACACTGAAGAACATACTAACAAACTAACATATTTTAAAATTTCTAAATGATAATTGTTGGTGCAAAGCTTTAAATTGGCAAGTGGCAAAATTTGTCTGATTTTGTCTGGTTTGGGCATCTTGTTGATCAAGTGTGCAAGGAAAGTGGCAATATTTGTCTGATTTTGTCTGGTTTGGGCATCTTGTTGATCAAGTGTGGCAGAAAAATAATTGGTGAGTTCAACTTTTTGTGCATTGTTATAAATATAATTGATTCATGATGATGCCAGAGGGGAAGGACTTGAGGCGATACATTCTCCCTTTTCTCAGCAGGATTGATGTTGCATTTTGTCTAAATCTGATGGGTAAATGTTTGGGGAGGGTAATGTTTTGACTGTTCTTTGTGATGCAATTCTATGGTTCTGAAACTGTCTTTACCTTGAACAAAAACTGTCCTTGGTGTTCCTTATTGGTAAAATTAATATTTCCTGTCGGGAGAAGGATGTGACCCAAAATTTGTTATCTTGCAAGCCCCCTCCCCCCAGTTACCTAGTGGCTTGCTTCATCGCTGGTATCAAGCGTCCATTATTTGTACCAAAACAGTAGTTGAGGTAGGAGTAGGAAAAGTCAGGATAATTTATCAGGAGTACACTACTTAAGTTGAATTGTTTTTTCGCCCTTTATTGATCAAAACCCCAAATTATCCTACAATATCAGCGTTTTTTGTTTTGATATGAAACAACGATATGATTAAATGAAACTGCTCTTTTTCGTATTTCCACGAAACAAAGAAGACACTTAACTTGATGTAGGCGTTAATGAGATTCATGTTATTCCTTTTTAGATTGTCGAAGAGGTCTCACAAACCACAAAAACAACTGAGACGATTAAAAAACACGATTTGCTTGTTGGGTCATGTAATTAATGAACTAAAAGGAGAGTTTCCGAAGGACTGCAAAACCTTTCACAACTGCGCAGCTTAATTGGCCAAATGCTTTTGATGTGATAAAGCAAATCCAATTTGGCAAGAAAGTAGCTCCTACAGTTTTTTATTTTATCAAAGCCCACAGAGCGAAAATCTTTTAGGCTGTGATTATACATCAACTTTTTTAAATCAGATAAATTTTTGCAAAGATATTTCATTGCACGTAGCTTAATGGGGGCAGCACAAAGAACCCCCTGCCTTCTAATATGGCCGGGACGAACAAGGCAAAGGGTTTTCTGGCCCAAATTCCCAGTGAACGTTGATATATTTCTCTGTGGAGTGCCTGTGATTTGGATCATCCGATTGAATGACGTTGACATAAACACGAAAATCGATGATGCTTTCCATATCTATTAAAGATGAAAGACATTTTCAACAAACCTGCTATGCTGAAATATTATGCTTTAGATGTGATAAACTATACATTTGGCTTACATAACTGGAGAAGTGTAAAATGATGCTATTTCACAGTGCCGTAAAAAGAATAGAATAACTAAAGGGGCGCCATTGTTTTGAACAATAGGAGCAAAGGGGCTTGTTAATTGGAAACAAAGGATTTTCAAAACTTTTGTAGGGGCAGCAATAGCAGTCACGATCTGTGTTTTACACTGATGCTTGGGTTGAAACAGAAAAAGGGACCATCCAAGAATGGTTTTGTCCTCAGTACGTACGTTCGGCATCTTGGCTTGAAATTTAGAAGATACTAGTACTTGCTGAATACAGAAACGTTCTTCGTCAGAAGCTTACATGTGTGTGGCAATTCCAAGCCAGAAGAGAAAAGTCAGAAAGTTTGGTCGGAGCCATATCATTCCACACTTTAATTATCTAAATAGCGCGAGAAACTGGAAAAATATAATATTGTAATACTGTATTTAAAGTATTTTTCATGTGAAACTCATTAGATATCCAGATGCGGGGGAAAATTATATGTTTGATTGCTTTCTTATTTTTAACAAGAAAATGTCATACGAAAAGTAATTCAGGATTAAATTTCCCGTTTTTCAAGATATTTTCAACTCTCACGCTAGAAAAGGTTTATGTTAATTGATTCTCAAAAAATTTTGTAATTGTCGTATCATTCTCTGTCATTGTGCGTTGCTTCTGAGAGTTAATTGAACGGCCTTGTGGCAGAGTAGCTTGATTTTGTAAGCGAATTCAAGAGTAAGCATTTTTGCTGCGAATTTGGCTTCATTTAGGACTTATTGCGCTGTAATACTTATTGCGCTGTAATATTTCCGAAGTTCTCTTTGCAGGGAAGTGGTGTAATGATGAAGTAATGTCGTTGTAGGATACATTAAAATATGTTTGTTATGATACATTTGAACCCTAAGTCCCATTGAAATTATTAATTGGAATATATCATTTTTTATGATATTCTGACAAGCAGAAAATTTCTTTTTATGTTTATAGGCAGTAACTGTAAAAAATAATAGCTATTTAATTGTGGTTATTTAAAAAGATGTATTTTTCTTGCGAGCGTCTGCTTTTTGTTTCTCAAAATATATTCCTTAAAATCTCTTACCGAAAGATACATTTTTAAAGGGATTCTTCAAGAGGGAAGCATCTGTAAAATACTTTTCCTAATATGAACAAATAAAGGATGTGTTTATTGTTTTAGATGAGCAAAGCCCAGATATGACGTACGTTGATCTGACATTGAATCCGGAAAGGTACACGGGGTATACAGGCTCCTCTGCCAAAAGAATCTGGGATAGCATATACAAGGAAAATTGCTTTCAGTAAGTTGAGCCAAACTGATACTAGCTAGTGATTACCCAGCATTAGCTCCATTGCCAATACATTTTCTTAGAATAATTTTTTACTTTCCTCGGGATAGTCAGGTTTAACTCTTATGTGTTGCCTTTGATTTGAATTTGCTTTGTAAAGCTCGTCGAAAATCACTATAATGTTGGAATTTTAGGTTAATTTTGTTTTGGTGGATCGCCCTTTCCAGAAAACGTCAGGGTTTATGAAATTTTATGTAAAGTATTATAGTACTAATCAGTTCATATGATTGATTCGATAAAATTCTATCATATGAACTAAGAACTTTGTATTTTCGGAGGATGGTTGTCACGAAGTAGTTGTGCCAATGGTATTTGTTTACCTTTATCATAACTACATAACTACACATGTCTAGAAATTCCCATTTTATGCCTACCTAAAAAAGCCTACTGAAAATAGTTCTAAATCACTTTTGCTGAAATGTTTGAACAAATGCAGACGATGTCGATAAAAACTCTTTATGATTCATGTTGCAGCCTATTATATCTCTATTGAGTATGATAATTAATTTTATGCTCATTCTCTATCAGTTGAGATTATGCTCATTTCTATATTACAGACCGCAAAAGCAAAAGTTGAGCTATGCAAACCCAAAGAAAAGTAGTATTGAAAGTATGTTGAACACATTGTTTTCAATATTTTGCTCTGAGCGCGTTGCATGATATTCCATTTTATTTTTCGAATATTACTTCAGTTTTGAATTATAGTTGTTGGTCATATTGAAATTGCAGTTGTTAGGGCATGTCTCAACAATTTGACCCATTGATACTAATGATTCTGCACTTTTCAGAAGAAAGGTACCCTTAAATTATGGCACGTCCCCGTACCTCAAAACCTATTAGGGTACCCCCACCTCCCCCTCCCGAGCCTCTGGCAATGAAAACATGCTTAAGAATAGATTTTCTTTTATTTTGATCATGTGGATGCATAATGTGACAGGTTTCTTGTTTCACTCAACAGGCATGTGTTTGGAACGGAGAATATTTTACAGAGTAGTGTCTGGAATGCATGCCAGCATCAATATTCATCTAAGTTACAACTTCCTATTATCAGGTACCTTATGATTTGTTTTCGAATTTAAATCCCACATTTAGTGAAATAAGCCCTCATACTTTCTGCTAGACGACAGAAAATTACATCTTTCTGCTAAAAACTTCTATGTAACATAATAAGGATACCAAAGCTGCAAAAATTCGCAGCTCTAATTATTTTTGCTGTCGCTAAATTTTTGCGGCTCTGGTACCCAGGGTATAATAAGAACTGTTTTTAAAGTGTTCTGCTTCACGTTTCATAAGATTGATCTCATCATTGAGTTCCGCTCTGCACATTTGGTTTCAAATGTAAGTTGCACGGAATTTAAGATGTTATTGCAACCTTATTAGGTGTGAAAATGAACCCAATAAATCAGTAACCTTGTATCATGTAAACAAAACTTCAGTCTGATCAGGCTCAAAGACACTGCGGACAAGTCTCATATCAACTGTAACTCTTAAGCTTTCTTTTTGTAAAACAATACTGGATTTTATTACAGTCTTCTCCTTCAGGTACAAAATCTTTTTCTTTAAAGTATTACAAAATGTTTTATCTTCAAAGTTTGTAGACATTGTGAAAATTTCTTTCAAGTTTCTTAACCGTGTAGAACTGAGGGATCGAACAAATTTTTTGCCTTTACTGCTTGAAGATGCGATGCCTGTAGGGGTTCTGAAGCTATGCAATTTTATGTTCACCTTTCTCGATGCTACCTCATTGCCACATCCTGTGCTTCCCTGTACCAGGTTCTTTCGCGTTCTTGAAACCTAGAAGAATTTGACTATTGACTAAGATAACATTGCTATCTTATTTTCACTTTGAAAGTGAAACCATTTATTAATATTTTTAACTGCCTTGTTGAAGCATCAAAGGATTCAAAATTAGCTTTGCAATACAAACCAAAATAGTTGCTGCATATTTTTTGGTTGCGATCCGAAAGTTTTCCGTCCGTCATAGAACCGTCATAAAAATAGTAGCAACTCATTTTCCAGAAATCAAAATTCCCAGAGCTCCAGAACATTTTTTTCTTAAACCTAGATTTTTTGTTTTTTGTTTTACCAGCTATATTGACATTATTTTATCATTAATTATTCTTTAGGCTCAATGTACGGCAAAAAGGTATGGGGTCCAAATGTTAACGAGTTCCGGAAAAGATTTGACCCTGACAAAACCAAAGGGCAAGGTATGAATAATTCTTGATAAACTGGCAATGATTTGAAAAATTTGAAGGAGAATTTGAAAGCTGCAATAACATTTGACTTAAGTTGGCAGTTTTTTAATTAAGCGGTGTAACTGATGATTTTTTCTCCGAACAATGTTCGCAATGTTTACTTAATCGTATCATTTATATGTATAATGGAAGTTTAAGGTTTAGTGTGTATTGGTAACTACAGTTTTATTGTTAATTGAGCGTGTACAGTTCTGTCTATCGAGCAGGCAAACTGTAACCTTGATTTTCACAGTGCTTATAACAAGAAAAGTTCAATGCCTATAGTCGAATAAGTTAAAGAAAGAACTAGCTTAGCACTTCAAATACGGATGAAATTATTGGTAGGAATATTAGCTATTTTAGTAGGAATATTGCTTCAGTGAATTTCATCCATCAATCTTTTTACTGAACACATAGGGCCAGTCTGGCTGAAGAACCTATACACAACATATTTGCTGGTTCTACGGGCGGTCACAAAAGCCAAACCATACTGGGAAAAAGAAACATTCTACACTGGAAATGCAGAAGAAGATAAACGTCTCAAGGATCTGGTGCTTGATATTTTAAAGTCAGCAATGTAAGACATTTTAACTATAGTTCGGGCGATTTGGCATAACCATTGCAGTGTGGCTAGCCAACCAATAGGATCATGATTAGGGTGCTGCATAAAGGAGATTGCATAAACTGTATGACTTTTTTAAGGGGTTTGACTTTGACAGAGGGTGAAAATGTTCACCCGGAAAGATTTTTGCCCTCAAATTGTTTGAAGTTTGCAAATTTTATATTATCAGAAAATCTGCAATTCATGGCACAAACTATTGTAAACTATATTTTATTTTCAGGACATGCCCAAGAACATTCGACGAGACATTAATGTTTTCTGGCGATCCACTAAAAGCAAGAAATCTGAAGGTAACGCTAAATACATTGAAAGTCCCTTGAACTGTAATCTACATTTTTGTTTATTATCTACATTAGATGTTTGTTAAAGAATCGTCTCATAATAATCTCAAATCCACCAAAAATATTACGACATTTTAACGCTAGTGGTATTTTGCTTTTAGGAGGAATTCAGATCTCACTTCTATAATATCACCCGAATTATGGATTGCGTCGGATGCGACAAATGCAGATTGTGGGGTAAACTCCAGGTAAACGTTGTCTTACACGTATGTTAGTATTCTTCAAGCGCTAGTTCAAGATACGTATTTAATTGCAGAGTTGTGCTCAAAAAGAAACATCTTCCAAGTTCAACATCACAATTTTCAATTCTGAGACTAACATTTTTTTTAACTCTAGTCTCAAACTCTCTACTCTAAGTTAAATCACACGTGCATATATACGTTTTACAATAAGTACAAAAATAGCGTAACCAATAGGAATTAAGAAAAACAATTCGTCAAACCAATCAGATTTTACCAAAACATGAAAAGTTTAATCTCTCTAACAATAGATTGACGCCAATTCTTAATACCTGTGAAGCTTGAATTATGCTCATGCATTATGCTCAAAGTCCTTGAGCCACAAAGCTAAAGTCGATAAGCTCAAACTAAATGAATGAACTATTGTTAACTACATCCATACAAAAATAATAATTGCTATGCGTGGAGTTCAAAGATAATGTGGGCAAAGGGCGCGCGGGGTTTTCCCCAACAACGTATGCGTGAACACTTCCTTGCAAGTTCAAACTTTGTTGCGTCTACCCGCAGTGTATTTCAACCGCACTCATCCGTCGTCCGTCCTCCCACCTTCAGATTTCCTGTCATCATATTATTGTAGTTGGCACGCATAGCCCATCTGTCCTTGTTGTCTTCAGAGCATGCGTCGTCAAGCATGTGAGTCAGCACTATGTCATCGTATCAGAAATTATCCGGTTTGAGCGTCCACCCGTTATTCGATTCGTAGCGTATTCAAAATTTCTATTCTCGGATGCAAATTTGAAAAGTTTTGGAATCGGTTACGTATGCATCGAGTAATTGTGGACGGAATCCCTAAACGCCAAGAAAATTTTGATTGTTTAAAAATGCATTCAAAAATTTGCATTCGTTGGGGTGAGTCTTGAGTCTAGAGTTGTTATCATCGTCACCGTCATCATCTTATCATCTGTGTCACCAGTGTCGTGTTATTCGTAGTCACTGAAGTTGATCGTTTGACTTGGCCAGTTTCTCAGTAATTCATCAAAGAATAAACAATAAATTTTCCCAAGCCCAAGTCTGGAGGGAGGAGAAAAAAGAGAAAAGGGGAAGGGAGGAAATTCTTTCCCTTCCTTCTCTCCCTTCCTTCTCTCCCTTCCTTCTCTCCTCTTCCTTCTCTCCCCTTCCTTCTCTCCCTTCCTTCTCTCCCCTTCCTTCTCTCCCCTTCCTTCTCTCCCCTTCCTTCTCTCCCTTCCCTCTCTCCCCTTCCTTCTCTCCCCTTCCTTCTCTCCCCTTCCTTCTCCCCCTTCATTCTCTCCCCTTCCTTCTCTCCCCTTCCTTCTCTCCCTTCCTTCTCTCCCCTTCCTTCTCTCCCCTTCCTTCTCTCCCCTTCCTTCTCTCCCTTCCTTCTCTCCCCTTCCTTCTCTCCCCTTCCTTCTCTCCCTTCCTTCTCTATCCTTCCTTCTCTCCCCTTCCTTCTCTCCCCTTCCTTCTCTTCCTTCCTTTTCTCCCCTTCCTTCTCTTCCTTCCTTTTCTCCCCTTCCTTCTCTCCCCTTCCTTCTCTCCCCTTCCTTCTCTCCCCTTCCTTCTCTCCCTTCCTTCTCTCCCCTTCCTTCTTTTCCTTCCTTCTCTCCCCTTCCTTCTCTCCCTTCCTTCTCTCCCTCCCGCGTTTCTTTTTTCTCAAATTTATTTAATTTTTTCATTAAAAACTGAGACTTGGGCAAGTCAAGTTGCTCGTAGACTCTTATTTATGTGTTTTGACTTTTCCATTTCAGACGCAAGGACTTGGCACAGCACTGAAAATATTATTCAGCTCAGATAACTGGGAAACCATACCAGTCATAAAAGGGAAGAAATTCAAGCTAACAAGAGCTGAAATCGTTTCTTTATTCAATGCGCTTGGAAGGTTTGTCTTTATATTTTGAATAGTGCTAAATGCTAATGCATAAATATGTTTGTTGAATTGAATTGAATTGCATTGAATTGATCTATATTTGAATTAAATTGCATTGAATTGCCTTTTTTAAAGTAGCCAGTCAATAAATGTTCTTATCTCTGAAAGCGAAATGACTTTTGATTAAACGCATTACTTATTTGCCCTCTCTTTCTAACAAAGAAACATATATTTCAGTGCTTGAGATAATTAAAGCTTTGACAACTGAACAAAGAAACTGAGCAATAATTATATGTGCAACGGCTCAAAATGGTACGAAGGCGGAAAACAACTTTATAATACAAGCATAAGGCTACTTTTTTATGTAGCGCCTCAAAAATTTATCCTTTATTTGACTTATAAAGATGGCCTTTTAGGCTGGATTCTATCATTGCTGCATTTTTTCTTTGTCTTTGAAATTGTCGTTTTACTCTCGTGTATTAGACCTTTTTATCACAAGTTGCATACGGAAAACATTTGTAGATGTGCTCACAAGAGCCAGGTCTCTGAATCTAGCTTGATGACATTATAACAGATCATCCGCAGTGATGATTATATGCTTACTAAAGTTTTCGGTGCTTATGTCAAGCGTTCCGTTTCGTGCTTTTCTGTTCCCATGAAAACGGTGTCTTAGACACGCGTGATGTGCCAAATGGGCTCAGGTTGCATCACGTAAATTATCTGAATCCAACTTCCAAAGGGTAATCTTTAACCCATCTTTTGCAGGTTTTCAAGCAGTGTACATGCACTCAGTAAATTCAGAGAGATGAAGTAATTCTGGTTGTCACAGGTATATTACAAAACAATTAAATAATCCTCACAGTTTCTAAAGGCCTTTTAGGTGAAGTACATCTACTTAGCCCCTTTTAACTTCTCATAGCCCTGAAAGTAACCGAACTGGATTTTACACTGCAAAACATGAAATAATTATAAGTTGTTCATTTACATGGCTTTAAGTAAAGCCACAAAAGAAGTAAAGGTTAATGTAGACGAGAAAAACTAGACACAAAGCAAACAAATTTAGGCAAGACTTTTTGTTGCTGAAACATCTTCTATAATATATAGCTTTTATTCTTTGTTTCTTAGATTGGATTTTTCTCTGTGATGGGTCTTGAGAGATTTTCAACAAGTCCCTTGAAATGATTGGAATGATCACCAAATGTCCAGCTAAATAACTAGCTTTAATTTTAAAAGGTACTAGCAGATGATGCAGCCTTGTTGAATCCTTTTTTGTTATCTTACCAAATAGCCAATAATTACAAAAAAATTATATTTCAGTGTAAAAAAAACCACGAAAAAGGATCAGACATGCACAGCTGCCGTTACTTGCTTTGGAACCAGTATGCCTGTCAATTTACATTTTATTCTGTTTTCACGCGACCGTTCAAGTTCTGTTTAAAATGAATTTTATTATTTATCTGGTACCTTTGTTTAATAGTTTAATAGATTTTTAAGCTATTTGCTGAGAAATAACGAAGATTGAATTATTATTAAAAGCAATTAATAGTTATTGACAATGTTTCTGTTAAAAATAGTAATATACCAGGTACCATAATTCTCATATAAACCAGCACAGTATTATACACATTCTACTAATGCTTTGGAAATTTCAAATGGTTTACACAAAGCTCATAATTCGTGAGCAAAGCGCTGAATACAAAATTTTAATAATCTAGACACTCGGGAGTTATATCGCAAGCATACTTTTATGGTTGATATTCATCTATAAGATTTAAATTAAATTTTGAAATTGTTTGCTTTTGGAATGTTGAAATGTTGCGATAATCGGTCATTTTCCAGCTCTGCTAAGGATTTCAGTTTAATAAAATGCTTAAAACAAGAAATATAGGACCGTTTTTCCTAACAAAGTTTTAAAATCCAAAGGAAACAAAACTCTAGAAAATCACGTGGAGAAAATGGCGTTTCTCCAATCCAATTGACTTTATTGTGGTTTGTTAATACCATAAAAAGTAAAGTTTATCAAAATAATGAATTGAAAAATGATTCTATCAACCTTTCAAAAGAACTGTAAAGTTGATATCTCAAATAATGATCGTACCCCCAAACAATGACCGTAACTCCTGACACAAATCACCCTGCATATGGAATTCAACTAACACACTGCTGTTGAGCTGGATTGGAGCAAATTATGTAGTCAGAATTTTAATATAATTTTTGTCTGGTACATTTAATTTTAGAAATCTGTGTTTTCTCGAATTTGCTCCGATACCTATGCTAAAGCAGTAGTGGGTTGATGGGGATGGTATCTTGACATTATCAATTTCCGTTTACTTTTATGTACTTAGCTGATTAATGTTTTCATGTAACTACAAATTTCTTAGCTTTTGTTGATATTCTTTAAAAATAAGTGAACTACTAAACTCCATATATAAAGTAAAACACTAGTGCTGCTCGAAACTATCTTAATACACATCACTGTCCAATGAAAGCTTATCTTGATATGAGAGCCTGGTCTTTCTTCTACCCATGTAATTAACAGTATGAATACATGCATTGATAGAAACGCGTATATTAAATGAAGTAACGAGTAGCTGTAAGGCACTGGGTCTGAAATTTTTTTATCGGCTTCAGGATAAGAAGTCTTAGGCCTGCTGACGTCCGATTGTATCGAAATAGCAACTTGTTGATATTGATAGCCAAGTAAAACCTGTCTAAATCCAACTTTTTGCAAGTCCGTTGAGCTTTTTGGAAGTTCGCTGCCTGAGGCTGGTTTGAGGCAATGAAAACGAAAGCACACTGCTGCGAAACGCTGGAAGAACTCTTGTATCCGAATAGTATATATCGTGACATATGCTAAAGTTATCATGAGTGCCATAAAATCAACGATAAATAGTGTAGTCTTTGTTGGTTTTAATTCAGTTTCAAATATCTCATGAGCCATAGGGTTACATTCCTCTCTGGGGTTGTTATACAAAGCACTCCATGTGCAATACATACAAAATGACGTCACAACTGCACTTTGAACCAGACCTCCATCCTGGACTGACGGATGCAATGATATTACGCTAGCCATCATACATAGGCCTAAGTTGATGCAGATAAAAATTCTGTTTGACTTGCAAACTGAAAACTGTGCAAAATATACGTAGAAACAGAAGAAAGCTGTCAATGCCATTGTGTAGAGAAAAATGGCTATAGAGCTACAGCTAAAGTATATTCTATTTGCTTTCTTTGATGATGTTTCTTCTTGAATATGAAAATGTGCTATTAACTGGCTAGTGCAGTCAAGGACAATGACAACCTGTATCAAAGTAACCACAAGCGTAGCAGCTAATGCAAAGTGTTTCCATATCCTGTCAAATTCAAGCGGAACGTAGAACGCTGTGATGAATGCTAGTCCTAACAGCAGCACTTTAGTAGGCCAAAATCCCAGGTGTAGTTTATTCCGTGGATTAGCCACTGACGAGACGCCAAGTAGAAGAACAGACATGATGAAAAATAACGTCGAAGTCGAAATGGATATTCTGTATAAAGCAACAAGACTTGGATCTGCTGAAAGGCAAAATCCCTTGGTTGTTTTGTGTGAGCAGAAGAATGTGCTTTTTTCTAGCATCTTTTTCACTTTTGGAGACAAAACTACGAATGAGGCAATAATGCTTGAGGCGAAGATCCCAGTGTACAAGTATTTGATATTTGAGATGATTGCATTACATTTAGGTGGCTCGACCATAATTTTGTAGAACAACTCGGCAATCGACTTTGCTAAGGTAACCAGGAGCGTGAAGCTAGAGAACTCATTCACATTCTTATGGATTTTTCCAACCAATCTTGTCCATACAAATATAATCGCTATAGCAGCTGTAGAAAGTTTAAGGATAGCAACCGAAAATATGCTGCAGTTGACCTCGAAGTAGCTTCCTGTTTGAACTAGCACGTGAAATGACGTAAGATTCGAATTCAAATCGAGGCTTGTTATCAAAAGAAAAACATGCAGAAAAGTAAAGGAATACGACGGCGCTTTTTTTGTCGGTTTTTGAATAGCTAGATGTTTTTCGTTTTCAGGACTAAAGGGCTTGCTTGCTTGAAATGACGGTTTTAATGAAGCCACCCCTATATTATCTTTTGTTTCAAGAAGTTGTTGGGCTGCATCCTTGCTTCTCTTGTAGCTGTCCTGCAAGTTTTCCACGGAGTTTGTATCATTATGTCCAATTTTTCCATCCTTGTATTGTTCACACGTGTTTGCTATGTTAAAGTTTTTCTCAGAAAAGCCAGCATTTGAATAGACGCTGGATATTCTTCCGTATATTTGAGAGCCTCCAAACTCGTAATGATTTGGCACCATTTCCCTAAACAGTGCATAAATCAATGCAGTCAGTTTTAGGACTGTGTCCACGAACAGGTATATACTAAGAATGCTTTTATTTGTAGTGAGCTCGTACCCCTGTGACAAACCTAATCGAAGCATCAGGAAACAAAGAATGAAACAGCTCTGTGCTATTGAGTCTTTGTCCTTTCTGACTAAAAAGCACATGCATACTATGAAGGTTATTAATAGCATCAGCGAGAAAGCGCTGCTAAACGTAAGGCCACTTTCATTCAAAGCACTGTAACTTGTATAAATGAAGGCAGTGGTTGAAAGCAAAGTGAAGACAAACGTCATTGAGTATCCCATGGCTTTTTGTTTTGCAGTTTGTTGTTGCCTATTTGAATTTCTTGAGTTTATAAACATGTCATTGGTCAGATCAATTAGCAGAAATGTTATCAATATAGACTGTAGAAGCGACGCTGTGACACATAGATAATGCCATATCACATCAAACAGTGCAGGAGGAATCGAGAAAGCTACTAAGGATGCCAAGAAAATGAGTGACAGCTTCAGTATCCAAAATCCATTGCTTAGTGATGGCTGCACGTGGTCATTTTTGACGAAGCATTTCATAGTTATCAGAGCCATAAACGTAAACAGACTTGTCACTGCCAAACTGAAACGATTGGCGAAGATACTCGAAACGATCTCAACACAAGAATCTGGATTCTCGACAAACACGCATATATTGACATCTTTCCCTAAGTATGTCTTAATACCTGGCAAGTTGGCAATGACGTATGCAATAGGAATGAACGACACAATGACAAAATAACATGCATGAACAAGAGTGTAACCTTCATTTGTTGAGGCTCCAGGCCCAATCAGCGCTTCCAGCGGAGAGCTACGAAGATGAAGTAGACTGTATATGATTAAGTTTTCGCATTTTTCAACAATTTTCTCAAAAAGGTTTATTTTTCTGCAAGGACTTTCCTTCTTTCCGCACTCATCTTTTTCGTCACATTGTTTATTCCCAACATCCCCAGGTGTATGTGGATCGCTTTCACTTCTAGTCCACACCATCTTTCTGATTCTGAAATTAGATGTTTCCAGTTGGTCAGTTACTCTTTGCTCTTGTCACAATTTCTGGTAATTTCCAGCCCAGTACTATGTGATGTTCTGTTCGTTTCTGTGCTTGACAATATATTTCCATTTATAAAGATTACTTTTGCGGGACATATGAACCTCTCGTGAACAAGCATTTTACTCTTACTAGCTCTTCCAAAAACTTATCGAATGAAGAAACGGTTCAACAAGCCAAGTTAATCTCAAGACATCACATTTTTTTGTCAATAATTTTTTCCTCTAACGGAATGCACAAACAGGCCTCGCGTCAAGCGATGACAACTTCTGTTATGTTCTTCTCTCTACAACAACGGAATGCACTAATATGGCGTTTTTCCTCTATACTGTCTTCTGAAAAATGCTTTTCAAATTCCATAAATATTTTGTAGTTTTATCTTAGAACAACAAATAGTTTGCTTTGCAGATTCTTTTTTCTGTAATAAAATCATGCTAAGTTTTAACATGTCTTTTGATCTTTGAACCACCTGTTCAACGCACTTGCATTGGCTGGTTTCCGAATGTTTATATTGAATTGGATGGCATCCCTATCGTCACGTTCTGCAAGTGGCAGCAATAGGCGGCCAAGCGATAGGTAGTTTCTGAACGGCTGCTCGCTAGGCACTATTAGTAAACTAAAAGTAACAAATTGCTCTATTCCTCTGATCTTTCTGTTTCAAAATTTTACTTCACTCCCTCCTTAGAAGTGCGGTTTTCAGCAGATTAATAACAAAGTATTAAGTTAATAATTAAAACCCAAGTTTCACGACAGTTGTATCTTTTCTGTTAGTTTGTGTCACATACCAAAGTTGAAAATCTCTTGGCTTACATTGCTTTTCGTATGTGAGCGGAAAGAGACAAAATATATGCGATGCCAGTGGATCATAGAATCCCTGGATTCAGAATATACATGCTTCGCTCTTTCCCAATGCCATAGACGTCGAAGGAGCAATGTATAAATGCAATAAGCGTTTGACAATAAGGATTTTACCCTGGATGCCAAAGGGGCTCCATTATTAAGCCTCAGAAATATAGTTCGAAACTAGTCGCTGAAATATTATTTTGAACAAGGATAGGCTCATTCTCTGCCACCGCAGTCGTCTACAATTCTTAATCACCGGATTCATGAGGCTCCGGTACCCAGGGTATAAGAATTTGATTTAGTTTTTTGAGTCCGTATCTAGTAACTGCGTTTATTAATAAGGGCGGAGATTCCTTTCATTTGTTCAAAACCAGACGTCAAGAAACAAGAAATTAGCCACAGAAGGCTGCAGAAAGTTTTGCATTAAAACGTTACCCCTATAAAAAATATTTTGAAAATTGGCTTTCTACCATTTAAAGAAATGTTGAGTTTACGGTTCTTAAGATACGAAGCCAGAAACAATACAGGGTTAATGCGTATGTTCGATTTCTATTCAATGCTGACTCTTATCTTAAGAGCTATAATACTTTGAATTTTTACATGTTTTCTTTTAATAGTCACAAGCCATAAGACATCTTATACAATAGTTAACAAGCACTTACAATGATTAACGAAGCATTTGTGCAAATGCAACAAAAGATTCAACCCATTGCATGGGCATTTGAGTCAACACATAGGCGTAGGAAGGAGGTATAGGAGTTGGGAGGGCTGCAGCCCTCTTTGTCTGGCATAATTTATCACCCTTCAGTCTCCTTTCGGGCAGTTCTATCTCCACGAAGCAATAATATTCGTGGAAGATTCATACTAAGCCAACTAAACGTTTAGCATTCTCTAGATCCATGAATATACACAGCTAATTTGCCAGAGAAAAATAAAGCCCGGTTTCCATATCGTCGTAACAGACGGGGACTCATCCCCATCCAGTCATCGGCGATATGGGAATGTTCCTTCTTGTGATGTTGTCAACGACGGAGATCGATCGGAAGAAGTCAATTTTTCTTAACGACCCTGTTGCATCCCCCTTGCTTCACTGTTGCTTTCAAGTCCCTTCTATATTTTTTCGGTTTTTCACGTAAATTTAGAGTATCGATTTGGAGAATTGATAATTTTTTATCTCTTAGGGATTGGGGCTTATTTACATCGAAGATTCTTTTTGTTGCGAAGTAGTCATAGTAACGGTTACGGCTCTTGTGTATCTATACCCTGGGTACCAGACTCTCTATTTTATTTCATATATAGTGAGTTTCATATATAGTGAGTCTGGTACCCAGAGTAGTGTAATTAGTGAGTTCGAGTTAGAGTCGAGTTAGTGCTAGACAAAAGGGTTCGCGAGTATGATCGTTAGAGTGGACATTTTATAAACACGCTATGCTTGTAAATATACGTTGTAAATAGTTTTATATGAAATGGAGTTGGATTTATAAGAAGTTTCCTCAATCGTGTTCAACTGCAACCTACGATTGCAACACTATCCAAGTTGCTTTGAAATTTCAGTTGGTTGTAAATTGGTTAAAGTTCTGTTGGTCCTATATGGGTTAGGTGGAGCGGCTTGCGCCGAGGCACCGACGCCAACCATTGCTTCCTATGATGAGGGGTGTTGCCTGCAGTCCTGTTTTGATAGGAGATGTGGCAATGTCTTCTGCGGGAGCTATTTCTAAATTCCTTTGTTGATGCTTTCTTCCCCAAGTAAGACATTAATAGTATCTTGTCACTTTCTGACTCTCTGACGCCAATTGACGCAATTTGCTTGCAATAAATTGATTAAAAGACAGTTTAACATGACATAGCTGATAAAATCTGTTCTGTTCTGTAAACACCCCAATGAAGGGATACTCATTTATATCGAGGATAAGGGTGCTCGGGCTGGGGTACAAGCCATCAACCCATAAAAGCGTAATTTCAGAGCAAAAAGTAATTTCTTTCGCCGTGTGCACGAAAGTTTGCAATTGTTCTCTAGTTGTTTTTAAACATTTCCCATATTCAAGACCTAGAAAAATAATTCCGAATTTCAATAACCAAAAAAGTAATTGTACAGTTGCCTGACCCAAAAAGATAATTTTTGCTAAAAATCTAGACCCAAAAAAGCAACCTAGCCACCCCTTTCTTAGCAGTATATGATTACCCCCTGGGGTTAACACGGGTATAATTTCCAAAAACACATTACATTAATTTTTTTTTGAATTATCATCAAAGCCTAAGTATTTTTTACATTGTTCTAATTTTTTTGGAAATCAAGCCTTAGCGTTCTTAAAAACGTGTTCTTATGAAAAAGATTGTACTGTACGGCATTGATAACTGAAAATTCCATTTGCAATGTAGTTATACCGGGAACTTTGTTAATGAAGGGCTTTTGATGTAAATAATGATTGTAAGAGCCTTTATTTCAATGCCTCTGCTACAACCGCGATCTCTGCTGTGGTCGAACATGCGAATCTGAACGCTATCTAAACTTCGGAAGGACAAAAGAAACAGCATAACTTCCAGAGACCATTCATACAACCTTAGCAGGCCGTTTTAAGAAACGCAAAAAGTAAATCATTTTTGACTTGCCTGGTTTTCTTCCCATTTTATCGTATTATACTCGATTTTAAATTTGATAACATTTTTACTAGAGTGCAGAAATTTAAGATCAATTCAGCTTTGCGTATGATCCGTACCCCGAAATAAAAATTTCCGTTTCCCCTATATTGGCCAATTGATATCCGTTACATTACTCAACATGATTTCTCTCGACGATAGACCCTAACGTGAAGTCTGCTCTTGTACAAAAAATATGACAACATAAAGTTAAAAAGTAACATATCAAATTGAAGGGCAACCTGCAACTCATGAAATTAGTCAAGAACCGAAATACCGGGGGGCATTCCCCCCCCCAAGAAAACTTAAGAAGCATAAATAAAATGCTTTTATTTTGTAACATATGGCTGTTGTTACACTTATTTATCAGGGCTGCCACCCAACCCCCCCCCCCAATCCAAACAAATGTTGCATCTTTGTCTTGAAGCTAGTAACTCGTGATCTTTAAGCTGCATTTCTCGATAAAGGTTAAGGTATTCACCAGTGGTAATTTGAATTCCGTTTTTCACTGGTTAACATTTTTATCATATCTCACTCTCCTGAAACCTTGTGATCAGTTATAACAATTAAAAGGGTGTTGCCTTGAGATTTTTCGCTCTAAACACCGTAAATCCCTTACCATACCTAAGTGACTAGCGCTGCCACTGGTGTTCACCTTGCTCCGTCTTTTTCTGATGCATCTGAAACATTCCGATTTTACCTCTTCCTTCTTCTCTTATTCTCAACAAAAGCAAAATGTCTATTTAAGCGTCCGACCAGGCTCAGTTAGAATCGATGGCAAAAAAGGGCAAATGGAAAGTGCTTCTTTGATTTCGGTGAGAGGAGAAAATTTGAAATCAATTATGAGATTTTATCGCATAACTTTATGATAACCATGTGTTACAATTTGCATTCGAATGATGAATCTCATATCCGAAAAGCGAAAGTGAAATGAGTCTTAATTTTCCGTATGTCCAAACAAACATTGAGTAATTGTATTGATGTGAGCTCATAGGGCAGGGATCGTGCTCCTTGTTGAAAAGAAATTTTGCGTAGATGCTTGTCCATAAAGGTTTGCAGCTGTAAACACAAAAGCAAAGCATTCCTGGGAGTAATTTTCCGCTTTTGCGCTCAATCTTTTCCCACAGGATGTAAACAGATCACATGGGATCTTCGAAGGCTATTGGTTGGATCGAACAATAAACTTTTCGAAACGTATTCCTCTGGGATTGTTTCCTTGGAAGATGAAAATGAAAGCAACATGGAGCTGGTGAGTTCTTCGAAATTGTGAAATGATCTTACTAGCAAACAACTGATTTAACGGTGACTTTGGAAGAGTTCATTTTGGATTTTTAAATATTCTCGAAGTGGAATATTCTCACTGGCAGAATATATGTCTTTTGGTGATTTGCTGCATGATTATCTGTTACGCAAGCAACTCAAAACCTAATGCAAGAGAAAGAAGCAGCAAAATAGTTTGTCAAATCATACAATGACTCGCTTGGTACTCGCCTTGTATCTTTTCTTAAGCTTCCAAAACTATTGCCACGCGTTGATGGTGAAGGAATACCGCGCGACAACGAGCTACCAGTTCCTACGCAAATTGCCCTCCGCAGAAAATGGCAATTACATCTGGAAAATATTGCCCGCTATGTCGAGCACAAGCTATTTTCTTGAAGTCTACTGGCTTACCTTTAATGTTCAAGGATCGATGCCAAAGTGCGACCAAGATAGTGTTGAAGTATTCATTACCAGGTATAAAGAAGTATTTCCACTTTATTGATTTGAAATTTATCATTTTCAAAGTTTGTTTGCTTATCAAACTTTGCTTATCATAATTACATTAGGAAATATGGGAGTAATGAAGTTTTTCTCTTCTTAATGTATCACGATAATAATTGTTTACCGGTCCATCATCTAGTGCTAGATCTTGACAGAGTGATCCTCAGCTTGGCGTTCTGATGGTAGCATTAAGCATGAAACTCGGAGTTGCGAATTAGAATCGTTCTGTTCTTTACAACGAAACTTGTTTACCAAATCATGTAGGTTTTTGAAGACCTTTATATGTCCATAAACGACAATTAAAAATTTCTTGCCCTTTTTTAAGGTATTACAGAAGCATCGGGAAATTCTGCTCTTCAAACACAATAGGATACAAAATGAATTACATGTTTTCAATCGACGGAAATATGGCGATCAAGTACACTTCAAAGCAAAATGCCGACCTCTACCTTAGATTTAGACTAAGAAGTCGACAGTCACAATACATGGGATCTTATATGACTACAGCCTGCTAGTAAGTTATTTCCCAAGTAGCTTTCGGAGCAGCGCCTAACTGGATGTATTGCACGACAACCGAGCTGAATGAATCCGTTGCGATTTTGCGTTCCCATTAATACGCTTTGCAACAGAGCCATTTGATATCAAACCGGAGTCATTTGAAAACGAATCGTTTTAATGGGAACAGCAAAAACGGGTTCATTCGAAAACGTAGTCATTCATCCCCAGTTTCAAAACGAGCGAACAAATATCCCGTTTACACTGAGCAAAAATTTGTAGATTGGGATATCGGGATCGCAATGCTTTTCGATCGCAATCCTGGGCAGGTTGCACTTACAAGGCTGTCCCTATAGGGATGTCGAACCCGCTTTCACGGTTGAAAACGGGATCGCCATCCCTATCCGTTGAGACATGCGTGTTGCGCGTAGTTACTGGACGCGAAAGCATATATAACAAAGCGCAGAGAAAATGGCAGCACCGCCTTCGCCTTGCAATTAGATATTTTAAAAGCTCTTGCGCAACCGGCATCCTTAGCAGCAGTTGTCTTGATAAATTGACTGTGTTTTGAATTTTCATGCAGTACGATATTAGGCCGGTTTTTCGAATTATAGTCGCAAAGCGTGCCGGTTGCGCAAGAGCCTTTAAGTGGCAGACCTAGCGAATCCGGAGAGGAGAATCCAATTAATCCAACATAATGACATCCAACAAACTATTTTATCTATCCGGATTCGTTGTGTCCGCCCATGATTGCTTCAAAACACAAGACAATATTTATCTAGCGACTGGACAGGCTTAGAATTTTCCTACCTTTAAAACCCTTGCAATTTGAGATGGACATTCGCTTATCGTTCTTTACCGCTGTTCAAAAGATGTTGAATATCGAACATCTTTCCAAAGTATCAACAACGCTTCCACATCTTCTGATGACCAAAATGCTGGGTCGGACATTTCTGTTGCTTTCTTCAATTTAATAACCAGTTTTTAATGCCTTTCCACACTGAAATGCAAGAAAAACAAAGAGGTTGTCGGGATCTTTACGATTGCACCGCTATCTACTTGACATGCTTACACGGGAGACGTTTTCAGGAAAGCGATCCTCTAATCTTTGCTCCGTGTAAACGCGGTGAAAGGATATGAAACTGACTAGAATTGAGCAACGGGAAACCCTTCGTTTTTGGGTCAGACTCTCTGAACGAAAATGGAGTTGGCCGAAGTAATGGAAAAACGCTTCAAGTAATACGAAAACGGAATGATCTGAAAACGGAACACTATGAAAGCGAAGTAATGGGGACAGGACCTTATATTAACAAAAATTGTTCTTTTTCTTTGTTTTCCTTTAAAAATTTTCCTCTTCTGCTATTAGCCACAAAAATTACATTTTGTATTTTACTCGAGAATATAAACTCCCAACATTTTCACAATGTTTAATGCCTCGTATCATTTACTTCTAGTAACACAAACAATTATCTTGGCAGTGGTTTAATACATTCTTCTGGTTATCCGAGATCTTATAGAAGTAGCTATTCTGACTGCTATTACAAAATAACAACAGCAACAGGAAAAGAGACTAGAATAGTTTTCATGGATGTGCACCTCAACTATTACATTTGCGGATCTTATGATTATGTCAAGGTTAGAGGTACGGTAGCTATTTAAATAATCATGTTACTTGTTTTTTATTTCTTGCCAGGGATGGCACCAGGGTAAGCCTAGAAGGAGCTATAGACCCAGTCGCACTTATATCAGAATCAAAAATACTGCAGAAAGTTATATTCCTATATATACCCTAGGCGTGTTCAGGTCCTAAGTTGAAGAATTCTTGCTCTACCCTTGCTTTTTTACAATTGAAAATGTCTTTAAGAACGTTAGAACCAGAGGGTCAGGGACAGGGGTGTTTGAACTTTTAGAAAATCAGCCCCATTTTTAGAGTTGCCCTCTTTAGAATTTTCAAGTTACTTTTTGGGAAAATGTTCCTTTTTTAGACATGGTTTCTCTTCCTACTTAGGCACTTAGAGCTGCTCCTGACACCCCTAAATCTCATCTTCTTTAGCATTTGCTGATAGTTCTTACGAAATTATATAAAAAATGTATATTCTTGCTGCAGATCGTGTGTGCTTGCTAACTTCCTTCCTTGATATCACTCCCTTAACGCTATTTCAATTTTAAAGGATCCGACTCCTCATCGTCGACGTACAAAACTAGTCAATCTATTTCTTCAAGACTGTGCAGTTACTCCTCAGTGGTTTTTGTGGCACGAAAGAAATATATTTATATAAAGTTTAGGCGGATACGAGGCTCTGTAGCACATCGTGGATTTGTGCTCAGCTATTTAACATACGGTAATTATTTTAATTTTTTGTATGCGATATGAATTCACACTCAATTTGAACAACTCAGTCCACATTCCTCTTACAATTCACGAGAGACTGTGTTAAGATTTTGAATTTGCCCCCCTCCTCCCCCCTGCTCGTGACATGTATAATTATTTATTTATTGATACAGCCCTATGAAAAACAGAACAGCAAATACGTAATAAATCGTGCGGTACGGCGTGACCAAGTTCTACTTCTAACTCAGATGTTGCGGTTGCGGCATTCCATGCCAAACTTTACTTCTGCCACCAACGTGTTGCTTCTTGACAAAATATAACAAGATATATAGGAGCCTTGATATAAGGTTGTGAGATGAGGTTTCTTCCGTGCCTACAAAGAGGTGCCAGATCAAACCGTATCGAATTCTTGCATTTAAACGATCACTGGTATGGTATGAACTCTTTTGCTTTTCAATGAATATCATTAATCACTTTTTCAGATATACAGCCTCCAAGTCTACCACCAGGTGGGTTTTATGACATCCAGAAATTAAATTTGATCAAAACTGTTAAACAATTTTTCTTAAAAGGAAACATAGCCTATTAAAATTCTATGTTGTCATGTAATTAAATTTGATTGATGTTAACATTAAAATTTTCTAGGGATATATATCATAAAAATATAGATGAATCATATAAGAAGCAAATAAAGATAAAGTATTAATGGTTGCAGACAACGGTGCTTATGACGATTTTTTATATTTTTAAGAATGCTAAAAAGAATTGTTTGTCTCATTGAATGAAATCCAAGTTATATCAAACGTTGATAAGTATCTTAATAAACTTCAAGCTTTTGTTAACACTTCACAAATCATGGGAAGATTTCTAGAAATTTTCTTTCAAATACGAACTGAGTCCCCCTTACTGGGGCTTTACCTATCACATAGAAAGTCAAAGCTATTGCTATTATTTTTTTATTTTCTTAAGATAATTTCTGTGTTCAGGTGTCTGCAGCTTTGAAACCGGTACATGTGGATACGTTGAGGATACAGCAGATCATTTCAACTGGAGGAGACATCGTGGAATGACAACAAGTTTTAATACAGGCCCCTATACTGATCACACAACAAAGTCAATTACTGGTAAGAGATTTGAAGGTTTTAGTGTTCAGTTATTTGGTACATCAACCTTTCCATTTTTTCCCCTTTTGAATATTTTCTGGTATTAATTATGAAAATACCGTAAAAGCTCTGTTAAGCCCCCCTCTCTGTTAAGCCCCTCCTTATCAAGTAAAATCTTAAAATAAGCCCCCACTCTCTATTAAGCCCCCCCCCCTTTACTTTAGCATTTGTTGTCTGACAAGGAAAACATGCGCATTTAGAGGGTCTTTTAATGGGTGTGGTGATAATAAGATCGCCTAAGAAGTCAGTGGAAATTTGTTTAGAAGATATCCCGGGGTCATCAATTGATCCTGGTGATTCTGATGAAGATACGGACCTTGTAATAGATTAATTAGACTTTCGAAGCTGCTAGCGAAGATTTCTGAGAACATTTGTATGACATTTTTATAACAGAAAAAAAGAGCATTTTTAAAACATTTTTTACTTCAAAAAAAAGAGAGGGGGCTTATTTTAATATAGCTTTTGTTTTAATAGTAAAGCCGCTATGAAAAGATCTAGAAAATTTTTGTTAACTGGAGAAAAGTAATAGGTTACAAGAAAGGGACACTTAGAATAATGGAAAATTCAATAAATCAGCCTTGCAGGAGAATTGAGACAGTAATGAACTTATTAAAAATTGGAAAATTCACAAATGGTAACAGATAATGGCTGTGTAGGAAAAAAGCACAATGGCTGTGTAGGAAAAATGATAATTACGAAATACGTGCGAATTAGAAAATTTCTTTGGACACCTATCCCTACAAAAAGTATAAGAAGAATGGACAGAGAAACCCTATTGTACTGTAGACTGTAATTAAAGTGTAAATAGGATTTTGATGTTGATTTTATATACTGTCTTTGAAAAAAGCAAACATTTGAGTAAACTGAAGCTTTTCAGAGTATAAAATGTCAGAACATAAACCGAACAAATTTCTGATGTTTTATACTCTGAGCAGTGTCAGACGAAAAGCTTCAGTATACTCAAATGTTTGCTTTTTTCAAAGCAATTTTTATTTCTTGTATCACCGAAAGATTGTTTATATACTGTTTTCTAATTTTTGGTTTTATATGCCTTTTGGTTATGTCCCTATTTACCTTGTAAGCTAATTTTTTGGCACATATCTTGCTTGATTGGTCGATTAGTTGATTGGGTTGATTGAAGTAATTGACTGACTGGCTGTTTTATTTTTTTATTTATTTATTGACTCGTGCTGCTTAACTTGGGTTAAAAATAGTTTGATCTTCTTCAGATTAGAGGAAAGGCTTCAAAATGTTAATTTACGATAGCTTATTGAAGCAGTAACAACTTCATGCAACTATATTTTTAGAAATTTTGAATTTTGACCATGTATTCTGAATTAAGCTAGGTCTAGATCTAATAAACATTGGCCATAATATCGCCAAATGTATTCTTCCATTTTGGCTATCAAATCACTGTAATTTGTCTAGGTTCCAAACTCTATAAGCCAATCCAAAACTGAAGCAATATTTTGTTCCTTCAGTATTATTCTCGAATATCGATATTTACAGGGTATTATTTGTACACTGAATCTTCAACGCCAAGAAGGAGTGATGAAAAATCTCGGATATCGAAAATGTATTCGGGACTTCAAGTAAGCGGTAGCTGCCTGAGTTTTTGGTATCACATGCACGGGACACAGATTGGAAGATTGCATGTATATTTAAAGAGTTCGTCCACACGTGCACTTGGGCTTCCATCATGGAGTGCAATTGGTCAACAAGGAGAAGAATGGTTACAAGCACATGTGAACATATACAAGAATAGTACAGTGGTAAGGGTCTCGCCTCTATAGCAATTTCAATTTCAATTAATTCTCCTTCCATTAAGTACCACTATTTATTCAACAAGAAATCGCAGAGTGACATTCAGCAAAGAATAGAGACACTCAACGTCCTTAATCTACCTTAATGCAAAGTGTGTTTTGCGAAAGGTGGCATTTGGTAGCGATAATTGCGAATGTATCGGTCGTAGCTCATGAAGCAATCAAAGTATCTGCTTGCCAGACAATTTTTAAAAGGGAACCAGTTTCGAACCAGTTTCATACCTGTTTCAAACCTGTTTCAAACCTGTTTCAAACCTTTTTCAAACCATTTTTAAACCTGTTTCAAACCTGGTTCCATACCGATACAGAAAAGATAAATGACGCTTTTACAAAATAGTATCTACATAAAATCTTGCAAAAATATCAATTTTATTTTCTGTGTAAAAGTGAGTAATCATAGTATATTTATTGTTTGTTAAGCGCAATTTAAAATTTTGGTTAAGTGATTCTAGTGTTTTTCAAGATCTTTATTCCACGAGTTTAGTCAAAACAGTCTCCAGTAAAGCCTGCTATGCTCGCAGCCTATAAATCTCAAAATTATGGTACGATTAGCGTTTGTAGATGTTGGGGGTAGACAATAAGGATGCGCATCTCTGCCTCAGAGCCGGACCATCCATCTAACGAGTTCCATGTGTGATAAAATTAAGAGCAGTGATGCCGATTTCATTTAATATAACAAATTATTTGTGTCCCATATAATATGACTAATTATGTCCTTAAATTTGAAGAAGGCGGTACAAAATCTGTATGTCTTTTCTTTTGACTGTTTTTTCTTGAAATTGCTTCTTCAAATCATTCTCGCTTCTTTAAAGGTTGTTTTTGAAGGAGTTATTGGTACAGGCTTTAAAGGTGATATTGCTATTGACGATATTCTTGTGCGGAGTGGTCCGTGTATTAGCTCAGGTTTGTATTAATCAGATGCTCATTGCGATTCTGTTAGGCTAGAATTGAATCATCATAGAGTTGTCAAGTGATGACGTCACAAAAATATATTTTTAGAATTTTTGAATTTTTTTCCCTTAACCTGAAAGAGCATCATGAAATACCTCTGAATCTGCAAAATCAGTAAAATGTATTACAGATTGGCTGAGATCTGGCCAGATGAGCACAAGCTCTGGCCTCATCAAACCTCTGTGATTTGGTCTCAGTTCATAACTTTATGAACTGAGCCAAAATAACAGTAATCCGTTAGCAAACTTCAAATCTTCTATTGGCCATAGCTCACACTATTTTTGACAAATTTAACTGATTTCGCATATATGGGAGAATTCTAAAAAAAAAATTTTGTGACGTCACACTGGAGAACTCTATTTCGTTAACCCAACCATAGGCTGCACTTCCTGATTATAAATACAAAATGGATTTGGATTCCTGCCAATAAAGAAAATGTGTTCTATTGCAGTCTCTTTTGAGCATTTTGAACTTTAATTGACTCAAAATACCGAGATTCCTCGAATTAACCTTCGTAAAGGCCTATCAATTTTAAACTTTTTGGAAGAGGGTAATTCGATGGGAGCTTAAACGAGATTGCGGGCTTACAATATACCAATAGTCCATTTTTTATAACTCTTTCATTTTTCAAAAACACGTTGCAAAGCAAAAACTTCTGCAGAATGTTGTAAACTCCAGCTCTCGTTCAAGTTTCTGTCGAAGAAGCCCTCTCCAAAACTTGTTGTAAATATGCCTTGTTTGTTGTAGATTTTTATATATTATAAAATTAATATATAAAATATTATCTTTCTATGTATTATCTTTTACAAAATATTAGCTCCCATTTCATTTTGTTACCATGACAGGCATGAAAAGAGTTTTTTATATTTATCATAGCTTATTACGTACTCATGTTTTATGTTCTTCAGCTACCAAACAGCTTTTCATCATAAGACACCATTATGGTGGGCTTTGTGTCGCTCGCAACCCTGTAAATGACAGGCTGATTCTTACAAAATCTTGCAACGAGTTCTTCACATTCACTGACGATGGCTCCCTTCTTCATGTTGATACCTTAAAATGTGCTATGCCTCTAAGCACAGTTGACAACTCCTTAATAAAACTGCAGTCGAAATGTGGCTCTTGGAACTTAATGTTCGCTCAAACAAGTGCAAGCTCACTAAAACACTTACAAACCAACAAGTGCGTGCACCCACTTAATGGCTCGTATCGACCGGCAGTTGGAACAGAGCTTGTGATTTATGTTGGATGTGACGAGTTGAGGTTGCGTTTCGATTTACTCACCGGTAAGCCAAACTTACAAATGATTCTCAATTATGTAATTTCGATATCTAAGTTTATAAGGAAGGTCTTACTGTTCATCGATCTCTTGATCTCTTGCTGAATGAAATGTCCCGTAGAAGCAGTTTCTCTGCTTTTTGCTGATTTTTGCTGGTTTTATTGCTCTCTGTCTGTCTGAAATGCTTTGCTTGCATTTTGTAAGAAAGGGATACAATGAAATTCCAGACAGCCTTTCTTTCTTTGTTGTTCACAAAACTTTGCTGTTTTACTTTTAAAAATGTTAAGAATTGGCATATGTGCTTCTGAATAGTAAGAATTCTCACTGAATTCCATTTCTATCCATTTGCATGAAGAATGTGTTTGAAATTTTTGTTAACAGCTATTCCATCAACTACTAGCAGACCAGTCACAACAAGGACTGTAACAACTGCTTCAACAACTAAGGAAATACGAACGACTTCTGTGATCAGTCCAGGCAACAATTCGACAGGCAATGGTAGATATAGCTCTCCTTTCGCATCCCCTGCTGTGTTATAACTCTGTATTACACGACTTTGCAACCGATGCAAAATGAATGTAAATTCAAAGCAGTGAACATTTTTCATTATTAAAAACTATTTGTACCCATAAAATTCCTTTAGTAAATCAACGAAAATGTTACTCAATGATATAATGTAGTTTTTGGTGACATTAGCTACTTTTCCTTGGGGGAACATGCTCCCTATGCCCACTGGATCCTACGCCAATGCCGAGAACGCTGGTTAATGCTATATGTAAAAATTACCTAATTCTTTTACCTCTCTAGAGTCAACTACGAGGCAAATGACCAAAATGTCATCAACAACAAAAACAATAACTACAAAACAAACAACTGATTCAACACCCAAGAAAAGATCTTCCACAGTGTCAACAACATCTAGTACCAGCAAAACATCAGGAGTGCCTGGCCAAAGTGGTAAGTATGCCAATAGAATAGTAGAACCTTTATAGTAGAACCTTTATGACAAACATTTCTATGATAAAAGCATTAAGGTTTGGAAAATGAGTTTTCTTACAATAAATGTGACCTGTATCAATGACAGCAATTATCCTGCCAAAATTGTTGTAATTTCAAGATTCCTAATAAATAATTGTTATGCCGATATATTATGGGCCTAGTTTCATTCATCCTTATGTAGTTCAATTCAGGGAACCCTACACTCAAGGGGGACAGAGGGACAAAGCACCCAGGAAAGAAGGCGAAAAAGAGCAAAACAATAGCAATTGCCCCCACTGTCACCCCCGGTGAAATCGTCCTTGTTTGTATTAAAGAATAATGTTGTCTTCATGTTGATTTATTTTCTTTAGGAACGATATTTTGGTCAACACCACAGACAACTGCTTATTCCAAATATTTTGACCAGAAAGACCCTGGTGCTTCGAAGGACAAGTCCAACGACAATCAAAATGCAATCATAATTGCCACCAGCTGTGTTGTGAGTTTAATGCTAGTCTTGCTGACAATATGTATCGTTTTCAAAATTAAAAAGAAGCATAGTGTAGAAAAGGAAAGTGTATTGAGCACTGTAACGTTGGCACAGGACAAAGCAAAAAATATCTACGTAAGCAGCAATGCAGGAAACAATACAGTCGATGGACAATGCTCTCATCCAGTAAACAGCAGACCTTTACCAGGAAGGCCTTTGCCAATGGTCCCTTCTGATGACCAAATAGTACGTAGAGAGTTACGCAGAGAGAGTCTGGCATTTGCGCAACACTCTTTCAGCGAACCGGTTTTATTCAACGCAGAAGTCAGGCAAGATCTTATAATTGAAAATGCAGCAAGCAACACTCTGGCATCTGCTGGAAGAGCGTTAAATGGAGCACTGCCTGGTGAATCAAAACTGCCAACCAACAGTATCAACGATTCAAGCAGAGATTACATTGAAATGAAAGTCCCGTCAGGTATATGTGATTTTTGATAAATTGGTGATGTAATAGAACCACACTTGATCTTTGCTAATAGTGATTGCATTTTAAGCTCTTTCACAAATGGGTTTTTCGTGACTGTTACTTGCTGACTTTTTTTCTAACTTAAATGGCAGCCTCAAGCCAAGGCACAAGCCAGCCAATATTGAGGCCTTGTTTGGGATCATTCCTTTAGGAGTTAATATCTTAAATTCTTACAGTGATATCTGTTCTTTCTCTGTTTATCATATTCTTCATGCTTATCACGCTATATCCCCATGAAATTTATGTACTATTTTTCTCATTCTCTTATCTAGATGGAACTTGCATTGACTGACACTCAGGGGCGTAGCTAGGGGGGTTTGTAGGGGGAGGTGATAACCCCCAATTTTTCACGTTTTGTCGGTAAATATTAAGTTAACCTACAAAATCCTTTATTTTGTCAATAAAATTGCCTAACAGTAAGTGAAATAGTATCTATGTTTTTCTACATCTTTGTTTTAGTCTGTAAACTTTACTATTGGTGACCCTCCACCCCTTAGATTGAAAGGGCCAAGCTTACTACTACCATCTATTTGAAACGTTGTGATGTTTTTTGCTTTTGTAATAAGGTAATTATTTGTCAGGAAAATTGACTGATCAAGATCACGATGGAATTTATGACGAAATTGAGCCAAGCATAATTGAGGAAATAATCAAACAATCAGCAATACCATCTGTGCTTGTTTGCAATCAAGTCGGTTCAATAAGACTCCATGGAAAGCCACGTTCTCAGACTGTAGATGAGTCTCTCTTATCTCACAATTCACCATTTGTTGAGCCGAAAATGCGGCAAGGCAGAAAGATGTCCGAAAATTCTCTGCCCCCTATGATCAAATCTTTCAAAAAGCCTTGCGAGCAGCAGCGAAGGGCATCTGCCTCTATGGTAACCGCTTACGCCAGCCCAGTGTCTTTGTCACCATTTCCAAGTCCTAATTTTTCAAGTCCAGGCAATACATGTGTATTAGAAGACGAGGACACAAATTATCTTGCACCCTGTCAGCTCAAAGGTCCCAGTCAAACTCAGCCGATGTCAGTAAATGCGAATGGCACGCGCTCTCTAAGAGATCACCCAAGGAAAAACAATTGGGAAGGAAATATTAGAGAATCTCATATGTGTAATCAGATCAGTCCGAAATATCATCCTAAGCCACGCTCTGTCACTCTAGATGAGTCTTTATTGCCAAGCAATGATCCTCATTTTGGCTCGAAAATGATGGTACGACAAAGTAGAAGACTGTCCGATAATTCTCTACCCCCGATGATTAAGTCCTTTAGAAAGCCTGATGAGAAACAGCGGAGATGTTCTGAGCCCGTGTTGTCCGCAATTTCTGGTGGATCTCCATTTTCAAGCCCTAAATTTGACCAGTGCAAAGTAATGAGCGTATTGGAGGAAGAGGACACAAATTATTTGGCACCATCCGAGCTGAAAGTTGCCTCAGAGACAAAGCCACAGGTTGCCGTAGCTGACCAACAAGCTAATAAACAACACGTTACAGAACAGCAGAATAACGAGGACATTAATGTTGAAAGCAATGAAGCGTACAATGATGGGAGAATCGATTTGCCCATGCAGGATCCTGTCGATAGAGACGTAGATGAAATCTTCCTTACTACACATTGTAATTGCACTGGAAATGAAAGTGACAAGCATACTTTGCAAGAAAAAGAGGAATATGTTGAGGATGGAAACATTTCAGATAATCTTTATGTCTCTATGATTGCAGTCGATTCTGAAATGAAGAGTGATCAGGAAGTTGGCTGAGATGAAAGAAGATAAATTGGAAGAAGATCATGTTTACACGTCATTGACCATATCTTAAGAGAATTCAATGCTATGCACGTGACAATTGAACAGGATGATACCTTAGCTATATGTTTTCAACAGTACCAAAGATTGTTATCTACTATAGTTTACAAATGCTTGTTTTCTTATATTCGTGTTTTACTTCTGTTTTACATGCATTAGAAATTCATAAATGTCCCTATACTTAAGTCTGATATAATAATTTCCTTCCGCAAAGCTTACTGCTTTTTGTCAATTCCTGCTGTTAATGGATGTTTAATTTAGATGCAGTAAAGCAAGAACGAAAAAAAAATTTTATCTTTGGTGTTTAAATACTATTGTAATCAGTTTTTTTAATGATAGGTGATCTCCTCAGAACTTGTTGCACTGTTTCTTGCCTCCTTTTTAATATTGTGAAAATTCTTTAAGAAAATTAAGAAGTCACGTTGTCACTACCTTCAAGTCACAAGCTGTATCGTGAAATTGAAATTATCAATGAAAACAATAGCATTTCTGTAATTGTATTCTGTGATTGTAGAGGAATTTGGCAAAGGTTTATTTGTGTCGCGTGCGATTGGAATTTCAAATGCAAGAATTTTTAGTAAAACTGTAGACTAGCAATTGTTTTTTATCTTAGTCCATTTGGATAACCAAAATAGTGAGAATAGTCTCGGTAAAATGCTTCATTTTCATAAATGTAGTAAATTGAAGTGTAGTTAACTTTTCTACTCGATATCCTCTTAGTTTTGTAAGGTAGAATTAATCAGTATTATCAAGTAATGACTGTTACTCGTTAATGTATTCAGTCACGTAATCATCATAATTTGACACGCTCTGTCTTCTTTTGCTCTCTCTATTTTGATTGCATGTACCTATGCAGGTATGCAGGTCGATAACTTGAAGAATATAAACTGAGCCAAGCCACAGCCTGTGCTCCAGAGCATTCTAGCTCTAGCTATGCCATAAGTAAAACATTTTTGCGAAAGCCTTATGAACGATTTAAAACTGCATTTCTGTTTGATCTGTAACGCTATTAAATATGTTTATCTCATTCTTTATCCGAGAAAAAGGGGACTGTTTTCAGAATAACACACAAAGCCTTTATTTCAAGTTGCACTAGCAGTCAATGCTTTTATGCTGCTACTTTTTTTTCGAATTCACACTTCATGTACAGCAAATGCCACCGAATTGTATATATTTAGAGGTATTTGCTCATTCGGGTTATTGTATGAACAACCTTTGGTGTTGTATATGAGTTGAAGCACTCAGTTCAAATAAACTAAAATTATGTTTTGTGACGTCGTTGAGAAGTACTTGTGAAATCGAGGTGCTCCTGATCGAGGCAGACCATAAAGAAGAAGAAAGATGGCGGATGACTACGAAAACGTGGAGAAGACCGTTGGGAAGAGGAAAAAGGGTAGCATGAAAAATAAAAGGAGTTGGAGAAAAAAGACAGATATAGCAGATGTTGAAGACCATTTAGATGATCTGAGAAGACAAGAAAGAACTGGGTAATCATAATTTTTATTGTAGAAAGCTCGGCCTTTTAATAATGCGTTATGTCGCATCGCATGCGCCTAGCACATGCCGATAAGTCAGTGGTTATCAATAAATATAAAAAAGTGAGCTCTTCGAAATAATTGAGCAACAAACAGATCAAATTTATTCTAACTAAGCTCATGATCCTAGTTTCCTAATTGTTTGTTGACCCTCTAATACTAAAAGTTTATTAAAGGTTTCATAAATTTAATCTTTATCTTAAAATTACTACTAAATTGCTAAGAAGCTACTTTTAAGTAAGGAAAATGACACCCAACAATGTGACTTGACACACCAAATAGAATATCATGATCAACCACAAGTAGCATTTTTTATATTATTAATGTCGTTTGCTAGAATAAGGCCATTGGAATCAACAAAATTCTTAAATGGACGGTCACCAGGCTGGGCTGTGGCCAGACTGGAAACTTTGCTTCTTGCGCGGGCAAGTTTATTTTGAAAATTTGAGACTGCGCGCCTGAAATCATGCACTCTTAGTTATTTTTATTGTTAATAATGTTAAATCCTATTGTCAAGGGATCTAGGGGATTTTGCGCGGCCAATATGCAAAAGCGCGCAGAGGTGTGCGCGGGCAATATATTGCCGGCACGCAGCAAAGTTTCCAGTCTGGGGCTGTGGTAGCAGAGGGATCTCCTAACTTACAATAAGTACCCCTTTCCCAGCTTAAGGCCAGCCAACAACAAGCCTTTTACATTTAGGACTGTTTCGTTTTTTAAAAATACACTAGCTCACAACCCATTTGAAATAAGTCCAAAATGTCCTAATTATGAACTTTCCAATTCACCCTGTGATTATTCCGTTTTCAAGGCAACCTCTACACAATAAACTCTCTACAAAAAAAGGGCAGCCTATTTTGCCTAGATGGGATTCTTTCACAAAGAAGATTCCCTTGCAAGCAGACAATGATCATTTCATTTCAAATTACATTTCTTTACCATGGCCATGTGCTTGGGTCAAAAGGGCAAATATTTATCCCTTGACATTTAACAAATATAGGTCTAAAAATTCATTTCTTTTAAACAAACCACTAAAGATCAAAGGTGAAGTTATAAAAACTTGGCATAACAACAAGAGGTCAGAAAACACTAAAAAGACAAGACATGTTTTATTTTCTGAAGTAAATAAAGCGGTTGTGACTGGTTTATCAGGCAAAGGGGTAAGGAATTGGTATTAGTGGCCCAGTGGTTCAAAAAGAAAGCAAAGCTTTTGTTATCATTTTAGGGTCAAACAAATTGCCTCAAATGGCTAGTCAGGGAATGGAAAGGCATTTTAATATTTCCCATTTTTGTTGCTCTAGAGGAAAGCCAACAACATGGAATATACTGCTATCTCTTGGGCAAAACATTTAAGAAATATAGTTGTATGTCATGAGACTGAAAGATATTTGGAATGTAAGGCTGGAATTTATTTTGGCTAGCATTACCTAAAAAGTCCTTCTCTCCTTAAGAAAGACAATATAAAGCAGGCATTGTTTATTGTGAGAGGTAATAGAGGCAAAATGCCCTAAAGCCATGACATGCTTCAAAACGTACAAACAAGACATGGTCACATGAGATATTCTTTTTCAACAACAAAAAGACATAATTTGGAACTTATGCAAATGATTGTGATGTAAGAAATAAGATTGTTACTTTTCATTGGCAATGTAACCCCATGAGCTTGAAGGAATGTTTTCAATATAACAACCAAATTCTTCCAAAATAATACAACTTTTTGCCAATACATTCATTTTTCCCAAGATGTGATACAGCAAGGAACTGAAAGTCTTATTTTTCATTGTAGAGGTATTGTTTCTGAGAAACCAAATGAAGATCTTTTCTTCATTGAAAAAGATGGAAAGGTAGAAAATGGTATGTACAAGTGCAGTATATAACAGATTTAAGGCCCAAATTGGTGTGACAAATGAATAATCTCTGTTTTCCAGTATTGCTTTCCTGTGATCCTGTACAGATTTCACCAATTTGACATAGCACAGAATTCATTTCTAAAGTTGAAATTGGTGCTAAATAAATCATATTGGCCAAGGTTTACACAGAAACTGTGCAACATACTTGGAGACTACCAGAGTTGGCAGATCTGTTGTAAGAATATAGTTCAACATAGGCTAAATTAAAACAATATATGTGTTAAGAATGGAAAATGGAAGCATTAAGCTGAAATGTCTTTCTACATTAATATGGAGTTCACTCTTTTCTTATCAAAACTTTTACAGATAATGCTGCAAAGACTAACAGGGACAAAAAAGTGAAAGATTCAAATAAACTAGCACAGTCTTCAGATGAAGAAGAGTTTGTTCCTAAAAAAGTAAGAATACTGAGAAAGAGGGCATTTAAAAAGGAAAAAGAAAGAAAGTTACTTGAAAAGATGACCAAAACTACAAATGACCTCTGGGTTATGTCAGCACCTGTTAAAGGTAATTCAGATGCAAAATACCAACCAAAAAACCATTCTGTTTATATGTTGATATAAAGGAAAGGACCTATGGTTGATGTTTTCATACATACTTTACTGCTATAGATTTTGGGGTGTTAAAAATCGCTGTTTGTGCTATCATATTTAGAGATATAGTAACAGATATGACTTTTTAGGATAAAGCCACCAAAAAAGTATGATCTAACAAATGGGAAAATCCTTAAATTAATACATTTTAGACAAAAAAGTCTTGTTAAAAATTGCCTATTTAAAAGTGTTATTGACTCCTCTTTGTTGACTCCAAGCCACAAGATATTGATTTTGAGATCTGCAATTTTGCATATATGCGTACTTACACACTTTGTGGGCCTGTGTAAGACACCATACCTCATCCAAAAGTTTTGTTGAGCCCTGAATGTTTTCAAAAAATGAATAACAGATCGATTTTATCCCTATGTGTGATTAAACAGAAGAAATGCTGTGTGTAAATTGAATACCCAAGGAAGAAATGAGCAATGTAGGGTTTGATGTAAAGAAACATGGGAGGGGGGAATGGTATGAATGTAGGGGACTGTGGGATGTTGATTTTGATAAATTTACATCATTAAACTACCAGCCTATTTTATCACACTCCAGACAAATTGATTTATTTATTACCTCGATATTTATTTTGCATTTAAGAGAATAGCTGGATTGATGTCACCAAGAAAGCACCACCTAAAGTATGTTTTATATAGTAAAAATCTAATTCTAATTTCCAACGCAGTTTGTAGATGAAGTTAAAATTGCTTAAATATTTAAGCTGCAGCCACTCTGTCACTTCTTTTTCTAAAGTTGATTCACTGAAAGAAGTAGTTTTTGCTTATTTACTGCAGTTCAATTTATCTAATTTCTCTTTGTTTTGCTTGCTCTTATAAGTATCATGGCATTGTTACCATATGGTCAACTATATAATTTTTTCTAAATAACCTCTTAGGCCTGAGGTAGCAATTCGGCATAGTGAATCATATGCTTGTGGAATAATTTATCAACATTTTTCTTCTGTAGAAGCCCAAAACAATTGGTGCAAAGCCCTCTTCCTTGAAACCTGTTCAAATTTGCCATCCTGGAGCATCATACAACCCTGAATATGATGACCATCAGGTATTTGTTGAAGAATTATTTTCAGTGTTTCATTCAATGTTAGAGATTAAGGCTTGTTTTAAGCTCAAGATCAATGTTACTGTTACACAAATAATTTAACACTCCAATACAGTATTTGGCCATGTTTTGAACATTGCTTGATCTCTCTTTACCTTAAAACGTTTTTAAGGACAGGAAAATTCAATTCAGTTCACTTATTTTAAATTTCATTCAACTCATTAGGCCTGCAATTTATTTTTGGAAAACATTTTGCCAGAGATCGCAAAGAAAATTTCAGCTAGAAAACTTGCTTCGTGATTCCCTAAACATGGCAAACGTTCGTTTACACACAAAATAAAGGGTGGAAATTAATTGAAATTAAATGTGTCCTTTGATATTTCGCAAAAAAACATAAAACTTTCGTTAATGGCTCTTAACTTAAATTCAACATTTGTCTCTTTGTCTCTTACAAAATGTCTCTTTTCTTTCAAAGAAAATACTAAGCCGCGCACTAGAAAAAGAACAGGCGTTTTTAAAGAATTCAGAAAAGCTTCAAAATAAATTAAAGTTTCTCACAGAAGAAGAATTCAAGAAAAAGGTAAATTCTTGTGTTTTATATTTTGTTATAAAATTTCGTTCCTATTTAATTCTGGCTCAACGTGCAATCCTTTCAACAAATTATTATTTTTATAGACTATCTAACCCGTAATAGGTTTTTATTATGATATTTTAATAAATATGATGACTTTTTTCTATATATTGAAAAAGAGACTTAAGTTTTAGTAAGGTAGAATTATTGAGGCGTGTTTCCTCTAGCCTGGATGGTTTCAAGAAATGAGTGAAGGATTGGTACCAAGTAAAGGCAGCGAAGCTACAGAGGATTCGCAACCTGGAGTTGAGGATATTGATATATTACCTAAGACAGTGAATCCAGATGACAGGAAAACAAGGAAACAACGAAGAAAGGAGCTGGATCGTCGGAAGGAGGTTTGTGAACCATTCGATTATAATTTTATTTTTCTTTTTTGAAGTTTTCAGACAGACCTCTGCGTACTCATATACAAAATATCCTTCTATCCAGTGTTTCTATATGAGCATTTTACTGATGTTCGATTTTTAGGACAAGTTAAAGGAAGAGGAAAGGTCAAGAAAACTTCGTTCAAACGATATCTACAGGTATGCGCTTCCGTATGAATTGCTTCTAAATATTTTGATATTTTTGGTGGGGAATGTTTCGGGCCTAAAGGCCTAAATGAAAATAGCAAAGCCCTAGCAAGGGAGAGATAGGCTAAAAAGAACGGGAGTTGGGATGAAATTTGTTTATTTTAGTTTTGAAAAAAGATAGGTTATAAGAGTCTTGGAAGCAAGAAGAAGGTAAAACGTTGAACTATGTAACAAAATTCGTGAATTTGTCATGGGGACTTGAGGAATGAGTGAGCAAGGGAAAGGTCTCCGGTGTATCAGACATGTATCAGGGGTCAGGGATAATATCTTTGATCTCCATGGACTGTTTATCTGTATGAAGTCAGTCTTGAAATGCAGCATAAGGTCTTTTCGTTTGATATTTTTTTGAAGTCAAATTCTTCTTCGATTTCCGTGGCCTTGATGGTATTATGAAATTGATATTTAATTTGAAGTGCGGTGAAATTATGGACTATTACTGTTAGTTCTGTTAAATGTTAAATTTAATTTTTCATCACTTGATCCACTCGACAGATTGAGGTCTTTGAAAAAGGAGCTCAGAGAAGATGAAGGTAAAAGAACAGAAAAACAAACATTGAAGAGAAAGCTAATGCTGCGAAAGTCAATCCAGCCGAAAAGGCTCGGGAAACTCAAGTATCCTTACTCGTGTTTACGGTGCTCCATTGTACCTTCCATCTCTTTCAAGTCGATTATCATTATCGGTTAAGTGAAGGATGCATGCGTTGGTCATTTGTATTGAGCATAATGTCATGTAATTGTTCTGGACACTGTTTATAACAAATGTTGTTTTAACCGTCCATTTTACTTCTTGTTTACTGCCTTTTGCTCGCTGTTTACTTGCCTGACTTGCTCCCTATATAATTCTTCATTTGTTAATTCTACTAGAATCAATTTAATTTTCTTACAACAAACGGGCAGTTAATCTTTAAATTTTTCATTGTATGAAGACTTTTCTTAACACTGTTTAAGATACAGAGAACCGAAAATCGATTTTCAACTCAGTGAAGAATTGTCAGGCTCTTTTCGAGGACTTCGGGTAAGTTCAGGAGAGCTTCACTTACATCATAATCCAAAGTGCCAACATCATGATCATCATCATCAGCATGATCATTACCACCATAATCGTCATCAAGTACTTCAACCATATACATTTTCAGCATAGTATGACATAATATCCTAGAATAACATACAATGCCTGCCAAAAATACTTGGAAAACCCAGCCATTTGCGTTATATTTGCATCTGTCATTTCATTTCCGAAAAAAATCACTTCTCCCAACCCCTTTCCCCCTAGAACGATGTTGATAGTGTAAACAAATACCATACACTTAACGCAAATGCAGAAAATTCTAAATCTTTAGCGCCGTTGTATGGTAAACCAACATTGTTCCCCGGGGGTAAGGAGGATATATGAATTTGATCTTGAAAACTGACGTCTGTGTTCCAAGACTTTTTACAGGCATTGTAGTAATAAGACCATGCGATCAACGGAAATGTGTCATCTTCAGTTTTCATAGTCTTCGTTCTTGGGTTGAATTGACGATTATTTTTAAAGTTTTTCCTGTGAATTTATTTTGTATGATTTTACAGCCAGAAGGAGATCCAATCATTGACAGAATGAAGAGCTTTGAAACGCGCTCTCTAATTGAGCCTCGGAGAAAAGTGATGTATGTTGTGCACCATTTTGTTTAATTTCCAAGCTTTTTTTTCTTAGACTTGTTTTGGTAGACAATGGAAACTTGAATTCGGTTTCTTCGTTACATAATGATATCTTTGCATAGTAAGGTAATCTTATGATATAAATTGATGACTGCTTCACATAATTTTTGGCTTTCCGAAGCTATTTGTTTTGCGCAAGCTTTACTTTACATTTTGACATGATGACAATGTACCTTTGAAGCATTAGATGTTTGAAAAGCAGAGATGTTTGTCACATTGAATCAAACAGAATTAAACCTCGATTTTGAATGAAACATGAAAAGGTAGATATTCCATTTTGTATTTCAGACCTCACCGGAAATTCAAAATCAAGTATGTCGAGAAGCGTTCATACAAGCAGCCGACAGTCAAAGACTTCATTAAAGCAACGTAAGTATTCTTAATTTTTTGCAGCACGGACACAACATTGCACGAGTAGCAATTCTGCAATTTCCAAACAAATAAGATGCTGTTTAACTGCGCTCGTTCTACTTTTTCTGATATTGCTGGTTGTCTAGGGTTCCATTCTGGCAGTGGTGAATTTCAACTTTTAAGTGATGGAAATTCAAATAAGGAAAGGCCTTTCCTTCGTTTTTCGAAGCTCAGTATCAGATTCTTGGGATACATTTTTCGTGTCATTTTTAATTCAGGGAGGGGGATCAGGCTGAATTTGCCCTACATGTGCAAATTGTCCTAGACTGAATATTTGAATTTTTGTCATTGCATAACTAGCGCATTCATGACATGTCCTTAAATTTCTTTCAACAGCTAATAATCTGAAATGCACACCATCAATGCAGCCCGGACTGAGCTTTTCCCAGCCAGATGTTAATTCGCATCCAGATGAAACAAACCTCCGGGGCAACAAATTTTTGTGGATGACCAAAGATTTTGAAATTGAAGATAACAAGTGGACTCTAGAATGTCTCAATCCACTTCTCCACTTTTAATCTGTATCCACTTTTAGTCATATTTGTCAGTATAACTCTCCCTTTGGTACATGATATTAGAGCCAGACGTCTGGCTAGTTCCCATCTTTATAGACATCCAGAAAGTACGTACACCCGAAAACCATGATTTCAAAATCCCCATCTCCTTCTTCAATCATGATCACCGTCTTCCTGTAACAGGATACTTGACGTCTCCTGCCTTCGATTTTAAGAAAGTACAACGTCAAAAGATGCTGTATGAAGCCTTCTGGTTGAAAATTTAGGAATTTGTATCACATGTTTGATAATTTTTAGAAGGCATGTGCGTTTTCCTGGAACCTTCTGTCCTCCTCCTACTCTGTACGAGATCCTATGCTTTCGTCTTTAGACTTTCCTTATGTACTTCATTGATGCCCCTTAATAGTGGAATTCATAATGTTATTACTGATTTTACACTGATGCAGTAAATCACATTTAAGTCATACTATACAGTAAATATACTATACAGTAAATCAACGCTTAGAAGAATCTGTTTTCATAGTCAGACTGTTCTAGGTTTTTTTCAAGGGCGTATGATGAGTTCTGGGTCAAAGGTTCTTTTTCCAAGTGGTTTGTTCCTTGAATTTCGAACCAAAATATCATTTTTAGAAATTATTTTTATAAAAATTTAGAATTCAAATTTTTATCTGATGCACGGAATTTTTAAAATGAACAGTTAACTAGACACAGAATTTGTCGCTTAAAATTAACTAGACTCAGTCTGCAATTACAAATGATCCTTTAATGTAACCTGCAAACTTTCACGAAGGTGCTTGTAATATCAAAAACCTTACATATTTCTGGGCCTAAAAAGTTACTTTTATGCAATGTACTTAATCGAAGAGAGGCAGAGTCAATGTTCTTATTTTCTAAAGTTCCTCGTGGCGGGGGTTCACTGTGTAATAAGCAATCTACAACACTGTGTCGAAAAACTGATTTGTCGAGAAGTAAGCTATTAGAAATTTGTTGGTATTTTAAAGGGCATAGAAATTTGTCCAGAAAAAATGTGAACAATATTCCTTTTGACAATCTGTCATTCTTTGTATTGCAGTATGAAATTTAAAAAAAATGTTTGAAAGTTTTAAATTTCTCTTCTAGTAAACTTGGAATATTTGCCTAACTAACCATTGCAAGTAGCACCTAGAAGATGATCACTCGTCATAGCTGTGAGCACTTTGATAATAAGCCTGTATCCCCAGTTGTCAGTTGGATGTCACAAGCCAGAAATGGGCCTAGAATATCAAAGCTACTTTTTGTTTATTCTACCTGCTCGCTGTTTTCGTAGCGTATTCTTCAAGAAATAACCGTTCATAAAGTTGTATGTTACAATTAGATTGTTGTAATCACAAAGTTATGGAAGATGCACTGGGAAGGTGACATTCACGCCCATTTCTGTTATAAAAAGCTGGCAGTCATATGGCCCTCCAAAAATGTTGATGTCTTTGTTATAGAGAAAGAAATGTGGAACTAGTTTTTGAACCATTTTAAAGTAGGTCTGTTACCTTTAAGCCGTCTCTCTGTTTCCAATCTTCAAGAACGCAATTTGTAGCCTCACTACCAATACATATTAGAAGACAGAAAACATTGATTGGTAACATCAGCATGTATGGAAAAACAGAATCTTTAACAAGCTTTGGGATATGATTAATATAGGTAGGGAAGTTACTGAAATCTGAAACAGAAATAAAGTTTTCAATTGAAAAGATAAGTAGGGATCCAAGACATGAGCCTTTGCTGGCAAAGTCTTTGCTGGCATAGCCTTTGCTGGCATAGTCTTTGCTGGCATAGTCTTTGCTGCCTTGCAAAACCCTGAAGGGTGGACAGCTGAAGGGAGTTTTCGAGTTGTGAAGGGAAGTTGTTTTGTTTAAGTATGAACAAAATTCGGAAAACGTGGTGGAAATGAGCCAAGCAAACAATGATTTGTATGTTTAGAAAGTTCTGTATACATAATATATCTTAGCAGCTCGCCTTGTACTGCAGGTGCATGTCACTAAATCAAATGAAGATGTTGCTAACACCATTCCTATGAAGTGACATCTGTGAAGCTAATTGGAAAGGAGTTCATGCTGACAGCGACAATAGCAATGAAGATAGCGATAGCGAAGATGATTTTGTAGATACTAATTAGACATTCTACTATGTAGTTATTGACAAGATTCAAAATGTATTTATCTTGTCATGTAAACGGAGAAAGAAAGTGTCCCGTCAATGTTGTCTCTGATGGGGTTTTTCAATACGAGGTCAAGCGTTGTTCCTGTCAAGTTAGGCCTTTCCTTTGGTAGGGTAGCAATTTCAAAGAAACAGCGGGAAAAGCGGACGGCCCCTTGAAGTAAAACATATCGGGTATGAATAACTATTTAATATGGCTAAAATCTGCATTTTTGTTTCTTTGCTTTTCAAATTTGCAAAATATGTCGCGTTTACGAGATTTAATGAAAGGCGTGCCCTAAAAACATTCGTTCCGCGATCAAATCATCAACCACCAGACTTTATTTTTCCAAGGAAATGCACACATTTAATAGCGAAGTTTAGAAAAGGAAGACAAGATATATTTTAAAGGTGCAAGAATGTGAGAAATTAAAATGTTTAATAACTTATGTCTTGCTATTTTTGTAAAGATTAGATTACCATACCAAGCCAAGTCTGTTTACATGACCATTTCAGTGTTGCATATTCAGGATACCAGTAAATAAACTTACTTGGAATTGAATCACGTGCCCTACCAAAATTATATCTTGCTCCTCAAACAGTTTGCTGTTACATTGCTACTCACTTTGATATTTCCTTACAAATATATTGGAAAAGTACAATAAATATAAATGCCAGGGTGCAATCCATGTAAAGCTCACAGCGACACCAAAGGTTACAGCGCCATGCTGCTATGCCATTTCACCAAAATTTCAGTGTATGTCACACACTGGCAGATGCAGGCAGGTAAATGATGATAGGGGGTGTGGAGGGTGCTACGCCCCCAACGTTTGGAAAATCCAATAGCAGTTGGACCCATCCATTAATTGTTTGCAATTGTGAAGCACTGATTCCACTGGATCTCAAATCACATCATTGCATCTTTTGTGTTCTTTTTGATGGGAGTCTAGTTGAAAAAGACTATTTTGAACAGGCAAAGTAAATTTCCAGAAAAGAAACTTGAAACTTTACAATCAGTATAGAGCCTACAGTTTTTAAAATGATAATACTTTCTATATTGATAAGAAAAATTTAAAGTGGAATTTTTTTACAAAACTAAAATAGTTAATTCTATAAAAAATTAAGAATCTTTCAGTACTAGATGCTTCTTTTATGGGTATGCTAAAAATGAGGGTATGCTAAGCTACGCCTGTTGTTTGTAGACATCCTTAGCACTTTATCATAAATTGCCATGAAATTAGTATAAATGTGATATTCCATTTAGAAAATGGCATCTGTTGTGAACCTTCGTGTCTCAAGCAATGTTTCTACATTTGGAGCAGAAAGAAGATTTAAGGCTGATTCAACAATTCATAGTTTGAAGGTATATTACATATTCTTTGAGAAAGTTTGGAAATGCTTTGTTACTTTGTTACTGCTTAGAGGGGGCAGTAGGGGAAATTGCTCTAGGGCCTCAAGGTCTAGGGCCCCAAGATCTAGGGGACCCATGGTGTAGGGGCCTGATAATAGTTATCAATTGCATTTGAAGAATGTAATTAATCAATTATAGCAAAAGTATGCTTAAAAAATTCACCATTTTAAACAATTGCAAAAAATTGGTTGCAATAAATATTCTGACATGTATTTTGAGCTAATCTTAAAGGAAGAGTAGCAAAAATTGTGTGCTTGCTCTGCTTCCAGGGGGCCTTGCTTTTCAGCTTTGGTGTATTTCAGCTTTGCTAATTTTCAATTTTGCTGCTTTTCAGCTCCTAAACCTCTCAAGGCCTTGCCAATATTTTCCTAGCAATAATGATTGTCACTAAAATTATGGACACTGCATATATTGATGCATTTTACTGCTTTTGGCTTTTTGGGCAAATGATTCTCCTAACTCAAGCCTCCCCCACTTTGAATTTCTTGGCATGGCCCCTGACGAGAATTTTTTTTGATTTTCCTTATATCAGGCTAAAAGATCCTATACTGAACTTTCTTAACATTTTAAAAAAGCCGTCTAGCCTACTACTTTCATTGTTATTGAATCTGCATTATCATTATTTGCATTGTTATTGAATCCAAGCTTACCATGTTATAGAAAAAGTTAATATTGTTATTGATATGCACAAGCATCAAAGCTGGGAGGAGGAGCTCTTTAAGGAGTTGCAGCAGCCCCCCTTCCCAATTGAAAGCCTTAAAGATAAATTTTGTCCTAATTTCCTAGTATTTTCAATCCATGCCTTTTTGAAATAGAATCTCTTGCAAGTTCTCCAAGTTATTAAACTTGAATGATGATTTTGTCAACAACAGCATTCCAGTGGGAGGCATGTTTTTGGGTGCTTAATTGCCAAACTGTTAAACACTAAATTGTCCCTCTGAGTTATAGTTGTTTTAGTGGCATTTTCTCTTCTATTGCCAAAATGATGGATTTTTGAAGCAAAATTTTTAAATCAAATAAATCCCCCCCCCTTTTCAAAAAAGGTTTCCTTGATAATGTACAAAGAAATACATTACCTGTATGTCTGAATGCGTTACCTGTATACCTGAAGGATGTTAGTATTGTTTTTTATAATTGATACTAATTATACTTAAATTGGATATTGAACTATCACAGAACTTCAAATTCATTTTATCATAAATATATTTTCTTGTTTTATCATACACAAAGGCAATTCACTCTCTTTCAGGGAAACTTAGAGCTAATAACCGGAGCCACCTCCCAGTTTATGACCCTTGAGGTATATGACAAGGATGACAATTTATTTGTTAGAATAGATGATGATGATAAAACATTGGAGTCATATAATGTTGGGGATGGAATGAGGATACATGTAAGTTTTGCCAGCGTTAAGTTAAATGAAGTAGCAAAATGTTTTCAGGCCTTTTCGTTTGACATGAGCAATCATTGCGATTTGCGTCAGCACTCGGGCAAACCCAACCATGGGAGCATTTTATCACTCGCACAAAACTGAAATTTCTGAGCAATAAATGTCTCATCAATTAACACAATTCTAGTCACCTTTTGTGTGTGACCCAAGCAAGTGACATAGCAGTACAAAATCGATATATCAAAACACCTAGGATATATAAGTAAGCCACATCTCAACCAAAAAATGCATTTGAAAATCAGTTCCATCGTGAAGGTTTAGGAACACTTTAGGTACTTAGTATTTGAACTACAATAGCACTTAGGACAATTTCTGGGCAGCTAAAGCGTTTTTAAAAAGTTATGTAACAACATTTTGTGATCATCCGGCAATAACATCTATATGACCTTCGTGATGGACATAAAGTTTATAAACAAAGCCCATTTGTATTGGATATTTATTCTTTCTTGGAGTGCATTAAAGGTCATCGAACAAGTTTGTTTTCATTTGAAATTGCTTTAAAGAAAAGGGTACCTTGTATCAGGAACAATTTTTTCTCTATCAGAGCGATGGCTCACGCAAGAGAAATCATGCGAGCGAGTAGCCAGTTGCATGGGCTATTTCTTACGAAAAGGCCTGGTTTTTATTAGCAATTCATTCTATTGTTAAAAAAATTATTTCTTTTTTTAAGAATCTATCAAATAATCAGATTTCAATTTTTATTTCAAATTGGTAAATGCTAGCAAATATATCACCTTGTATATTTCCTGAAAGACAACTAATCTCATTGGTAGTAGATGCTGGTTTTAGTAAGATAATGGCTCAAATGTATGTTGAAAGTTGTAAATTCATTAATTGTCACACTGTTAGGTAGTTATTGTTTCCTTGTATTTATCCAACTTGTTTCCTTGTGGTTCATTATAAATTTTTAAAAGGTTCATAGCAGGACATTCTTTGTTTCATCATCAGACATTCCTCGATTTTAGGCAACAGCAAGATGAAACCTTCCTATCTTTTAACCGTGTCTGTCATCTATCTATGCAGACAGTGTTTACATAATGTTGGCTACATATAACACTCTTTAATATATTCGTTTGTAATGTTAACAACTTTGCAATCTTAAAGTTGGTTTGAATTAGTTATACATTGTGGTGGATAACACTGAGGAGACACAAAACGGTTTGAGCCCACTGTTTGCACCTCCCATATTCAAAAGAAAAAGAAACTTAAATTGAAGTCAGATTAGAGGACAAAGGGCCTAGGTACCTTGAAACAAAAAAATAAATTAATGATTGGAAAAACTAATTGTGACATAATTTCCTGATGTCCTTTTTACTGATGACAGCCAGAAGGTTGGCATGCTCTATAAGTTAGTCTTTTCCCTGGAGTCGGGTTGAAAGGGCCCATGATCTGACACCAACCATGTGAGGGATGCCATCAGATTACAAGGACAATCATTATTGTTTAATTTATATGTCTGCTTTTTCTCTAGACATTCATTACTTTTTTGCAGGTGATAGACAAGAACCCAAACAGAAGAGCTGGTGAATTTGAGGACTTGTCAAAAGTAGAAAAATTTGAGCTAGCTAATGAAGAATATGATAAGAAAACAGGTATCACATCTATTCATGAAATCTCTTCAATAGAAAAGGTACCAAAAAATCTTTATTAAACAACCTTGCTCTGATTGGAATCATTGTCACTTGAATGCTTTCAAGTGATTGATGTTTGACAGTAAGAGGTGCCATCCTAAAAATTTAGGAAGGAGGGGGGCTTTAATGTAGGCAAGTTCAAAATGCCACACCTGCTACCACACCCTTACCACACCCAATTTACCTGCATTTTTGTTAAAAAATTTCGATCGTATGTAGGAATCATTCAAACTGTTAAATCACACAGAAAGACTGATAAGAAGTTGGTCGTTCATGAGAAATCTATATAAGTTTAATAAAGGGTTGTCAACACAGAATTCGTCCAAGCAAATATAAAATAACTTGCTAAGCCTCCTCTCAAAATTCCCTTGCCTTTAAACAAAAGGGCTTTAAATAAAACAAAAGAAACAAAAGGTTCCTCCTCAGCAACACTGTTGTTAGTCAGGTCAAAGTCAGTAGGAGGTCAAATGTTTTACCAAAGGTCAAAGGCTTCTTAGGGCACCTTCATAACAAGAGATGGATGCCATGAAAACATTTAATAGCCTACAAGAAAAGGGGATGCTCAGGTGGGAAGTTACATACCATCTCAGAGGGTCTGGTAATGGAAAGCTCATATTAATTGAAAAAACATAGGCTGAGAATTATTTTGCCATACATCAACACATTAAAAATACCCCAACCTTCACAATGAGACAACACAATACTTTTCTCTGTGCCCTTTCACCAGTTTCAGGTGAGATATAATGAGTGTACTTGGATGGTGGGAGGGGTAGTCGAAGCAAAGAATGCCAGTCTGTACCCAAGAAGAAGGACAATTTACTGATAAGTCAATAGATCATTAAGTTTTCAAGGGCCTAAAATCTGGAATTCACTCCCGGAATCAATAAGGACAGCACAAAAAACTAGACAATTTAAGAATTTGATCAAAACTTGGTTCCTTGAAAACAAGTGCGCATGCTCATTTTGCATTAAATGAACTGTCTTATGCAATCCTTGAAATTGCTTCATGTTAGTCTTAATTAGTGTATATTCACTATTGTTGAAACTAACATTAAATAATCTACAATACAAGTATGTTTAAAATTCCAAATCATAATGTCACTTAACTTTAAGAGCAACGAGTTCTAGTATAACACTTTCTTGTCGGTCATCATTCTTTACTGTTACCTATTTATATTGCGATGTATCAACGGAGGAGGGAAGATTTGTTTTAGTTCATGGCAAAGGGTTGATTTTTATTTATTATTCTGAAGTTAAGATCTTGCTAAGAAATCTTTTTAATGGCAAAAGTGTTACAAAGTTTTTTATAAGCAGGTTTTGTTGCCATTTTTACTATTGTGTTGTATTTTCTAGTCACGATATGACTTTGAGTTGAATCTATTTACATCATAGCCTATACGTATTGAAGACTTAAGCCAATAAAGATTGTGTCCATCCAAAATTGACGCATCTGTGTTTCTTTTCATTTAAGATTCAGTGAGGCATTTTCTCAAGCAGCAGAAACTTGGGAAGTACTCCGCTGATGCCAAGGATGCAGAAGAGAGAGCAAAGCTTAAAGAATTGGAAGAGGAAGCCAAAAGCAAATCAATGAAAATCGGCGAGCGATGTGAAGTCACGGTGTTGAAGCAGCCAGTAAAGCGAGGAACTGTTATGTTTATTGGCAAGTGCAATTTTCCCAAATATTTATCTTATCACGATTTAGATCCTTTTCATTTCTGCAGTGTTTAGATAATTGCCTTTTCATCCTTTACATTTGCTTGCCCCCTTTCTGAACCCAGTAGAAGAAACATGTCTGGCATGGCCAGAATTTTGCCGAAATAAGTTTTTGTCTTAAGGTTTCGTTTTCTTTGGTTCAAGAAAAGCCTCTTTCCAATTGCAGTTCACATGCAAACATAAACAGAGGTTTCACTTGTACCTTACTAAATGTGTGAAATGAAACCTTGGTTTGTTTCATTGGAACGGCCACAACACTTCAACTCAACTTGGATCAGCATTGGAAATCTGAGTAAAAGAAATTATAAGCATTTCGATTGCTTATTTGTCCATACAAAGAGCAATGCATTTTTTTCAGTACTGCGTTGTAGGTCGGATTTTTGTCAAAGCAGAGAAGATCAGATTTTGCATTTGCGTATTTAAGGTTCAGTGGCAATGCCTGAAGATCTTAGTCAAATCGTTGTTTTCGTAAAAAGCTCTCCGCCATCAGTTAAAAAGGTGTCGCCTGCTAGGTTTTGACAGCAGATTTAAGGTGTACCCCGTTGGTAATGTTTCAAAATTTATACCCTATTGGAATGGGAAAATCTATGCACAGTTTGGATAGCAGAAACTCAAGTGACCATCGTTACGATTCTTTGAAGAGCCAAGCAGACTTCCTGAACGCATAAATTAAGTCAACACAAAAAGTAAGTTAGCGTAATGCTACAATCGTTTTAAATTTACTTCGGAGTTATATTCAAACCATGTTTAACTAATTATCTGACTTTTTTAAAGGTTTGGCCGACTTCAAGCCAGGAGTCTGGGTAGGGGTCAAGTATGACGAGCCGGTTGGAAAAAACGATGGCAGGTTAGTAGATGCCAAATATAATCGATTAAAGGGGCCTATATCATGGCCCAAAAATTTTGCTTTTAGAACTTTTAAATTTTGACCAAAAAACCTAAAAGAGCACCATGAAGTATCTCTGGATGTTCAAAACTAGTTAGATTTTATAACAGGTGGCTGAGATAAGGCCACATTAGAACAGACTTTTTCTAGTTTTCAGTAAAGTCATACATAATTTTATAATGTCTTTGAACAAGCAAACATTTCATAACATACTCAAGCTTTTCGCCTAACACTCTTCAGTGTACAATAAGTCAAAATAATTATCAAATACCCTAACGAACACACATTTGTGTTCTCTCGTTATGTTCTTTGTTACCTCCTGTGTTCTATATTTTCTCGTCTGATTGTGTTTTAGTGTACAGGGGAAAAGATACTTTGACTGTCCACCAAAATATGGTGGCTTCATTCGCCCTAGTCAAGTAACAATCGGCGATTTTCCAGAGGAGACATTTGAGGACGATGAAATTTAGATAAAACCAAAGAACACCAACAAAAATTGTTTCCGTTCACAGTTGAAGGAAAACTTTCGATACGTGTCAGAGGGTGGCTGTTTCGATGGCATTCAGCAAAGGGCTTGGCTATATCAGGTTTACAGTTCAAGACCAAGTTGTGTATGCTTACAAGAAACTACACATTTGCCACTGGTCTCGATCTGTTACTCTCAGTTTGATATGCTTGGTATGAACAAAAAACTCTGAAAACCATGGATTCGTTTCAAAATTAAAATCTTTACAAAAAAGTATGGACATCTTCATGGCAGTTTATGTAATTTTACGTCAGTGAATTTTAGTCGCAAAGCTCTATTGTTTGTATTTTTAAAACAACTGTCACAATTGTGTTTTTGCACCAGATCTTATCATTTTTCTCGTCGTATGCAAATGTATGCTTTCCTCCGGTTAAAGTCAAAATGTAAGTCTCACCAAGTGTTCACTTTTTTCTGCGAGAGGCTTGCTCATGCCATTTTGCTTCTTTGCTTCGTTCCAGTCGTTTAGAGTTATAGCGAGTTGCAAAGATAAGACAATTGATTAAAACTGTGAGATACAGTCATATTGATATGGTATTTACACACTGAAGCTTTTTAAGAATAATACTAAACCAATGGTTAAGAATAAAACAGACGAGAGTTACTAAGTGAAATGAAATAACTTGTAGCTGAAAGAGCGTGTTTTCATCTCTGCTGTTCTAGATCCTATGGTGATTCAGCTAAAGGTTTGTCTGTGCACTGATAATAGGCTAATATCGAAAGAATCTAGTTGAAACATATCACATAGATTTAATTTCCACTTTTCCACCATTGTTTAGAAAATAGATATTCAGAAACCCAAGTTAGTCAGAAAAAATTGGTTGATGAAACCTGACTTGTTTGTGTACTAAAAATTTTCAGTTGGGCAGTTGCTTACTTATGGAGGCAATAAGATAAAGGCAATAATTAGAGCATACTCTTGGTTACCTGAAGCAACGTATTGGCTCTATGTGCAACTTAAGAACTAACATCTATCCCCTAAAACTGTGAATATACAATAAAATATTTTTATTTCACAATCATATAAACATATATTAGCATCTTTTACTTGTGCTAGAGAATTATCACCACTGATGTTAAATTGTGTTTCGTTTTACAGCAAGTCTAACAGCCAGGCAACCAGTTTCTCAGATAGCTTTGAACTGATTTCGGGAATGCACAATGATAGAGTACAGAGTAATTTCTTTTGTGCAGTCAGCCAGTTTTGCTTGAAAGTGCCAATATGTCTTTCGGTCTTTGTGAAACTATTCACAATTAATCTCCCTGCTATAACTTGTAGTTCGTTTTACAATCACCAAAAGTTTAATAAACATATGGGACGATGACATATTTAACGCGATCTTTGTACTCATCCCAGCTAAGTCCGTACTTCTTTGCACAGCGCTCATCATCTTCTTTAGCCATAGCAACCAGCATTGCAACCAAGGCAATAGGGTATAACCAAGGTGCAGCATGATTACAGCCTGTGATTTGCGAAAAAAGAGATAAAAGACACACAATTTTAAGAGTTATAGAACAATGAGTAAAGATATGTGCACCAGAAATATCAACTTATAAAGTTTTCTGTAATATTGGGAGAAAATGCACGATCTAATGGATGGGCATCAAACAGTAATTTGAAGTTTCCTGTCCTACAGCATAAGGTACACCATCTACATTACTGAACAGTAACCATGGGCAAAAACATCACATGGTCTGAAGACCATCAGGCAGAACCTTCTTCTCATCATTTTTCATGCTTGCTATTGTAATTTATTTCAACCATGAATTACCAGACTACTATATGGCTATTTGTTGAATAAACCTATTATTGAATCAAGTAAAATTGCAACACATAATATGCAGGCCCATAAAATGCAGGTGTCAAAATTTATGGGGAACACTTGACATTCTCTTTAAAAGGTGCTGCTGAGAAGTGGGAAGGGGAGGAAGGCAATTGTGTTACTGAAAAGTACATTCTCAGTTGATTGCATAATGATAGCACTTACATAGAGATATAGAAATTATCAGAAAATTTGACAAACCTCCCGGAATTGCCCATGAAATGGCAACAAGAATATCACCAAGGTAATTTGGATGCCTCAGCCTTCCCCACCAGCCATCAGCAAGCAAGTTCTTGCCATCTTGAGTGAAAACAACTTTTACATCTAACATAAAAACACAAATCAAGCAATTTATATACATACTTTGAAGCAGAATTTAAAATAGAGGGTGAAATTAAAGTGCAAATGAAATCAGACTTACTACAAATTCAACAGTGAAGTAGATTAGTAATCAACCTAGGCATGGAAAACTCCCATTGTTTTTCATTGAAAAAGTTGATTATAATCCATCTTTCATTTGTACTTTTATTAACAAGATTTGAGGAGGCCTCTGTTGAAGAACACATGGGGAATATTTGGAAATCCACAATAATATGTCTAGTAAAGTATTTATTTTTCTCAGCTGTACAAAATCTACACCAACAAAAAGTACAAAAAAGTCAGTTCTTACTTTCAAAGCAGGATAACAGGCCAGTAAACAATACCAATTTTCTACAAACCTCTTTTCATCGCTTTCTTTGGGTCTGATCTAAATTGGGATTTCTCTCTATTTGCTTTAAAGAATATGTAGTACCCAAAGACTGAAACAGAAATTACTTTTTAAAAAATTGCTAGATATGTTTATCACTTGTTAAAACATGAAGAAAAATTAGTTGCTGATCTTTTGCTCAAAAAAACTTGCAAACAGGATTTAGACTGCTGGATTTACCTTGAAGAGCGATAACCAATGCCCATGTAGCCGGTGGCAACTGGGGTGTTGTTCTAACCAAATAAAGAACCTGCATTGAGTAGAACAGAGGTACAAATACCATTGTGCCAAGTATGAAACCAAACCCTGGAGCCATTTCCATGAATAGAGGACTTGTAGCCATCCGTTTCTAAAAGTAAGCACACATTGTCACAAAAACAGTAAAACAAAACAAAATACTTTTGATTTGGCATGCTTGTTGAAACTCCAGAAGAATGTGACCATTTATGGTTTGAGATTTGATGCTGAACTCAAAGCAGATGTTAGAGTGTCAAGATTTGTGTAAAGAAAGGAACCGGTAATGACATCAGTGCATATTTCATCTTGCCATTGCAGTATTTGAATCTTTATTAAATGCTAGTTACAAAGAGGTTAAGTTTTTGCTATTTGTGGACTCTGACTTTTGAGGGTTAGTCCAATGCAAAGTGTAAATAAGATGTTTCCCTGGTGTATTTCTTATCATTGCCACTACATTTTATGAAGCATATCATGTCAATAGCCAAGCAGTCAAATTTAGGCTGAATTTGAAAAGGGGGTCAGAAATTTTTCAAAAAATAAATAAGCTGGGGGGTTTTAGTAAGTGGGTAAATATCTTTTAGCTTTCTAAAATTCAGAAACTTACCTCAAGAAGAAAAAATGTACCACCCAAATAAACCAGTTGGAAAAAAGCAACCGCCACAGCAGCACAGTTTACTTCACCTTTTGTATCAGAATAATGCTTTGCAACAAACAGGAGGTCAAGCACAATCTATAATAAAGGGTTATACCACAAAGTAAATAAAATAAATATGTGCATATACATTTTTTCAACCTAAGCTTTGTAAAGCTAAGATGTGTTTTGCAGTTGCCAGACCACCAAGGCTTTTTATGGTAACCTCTCTTCTTGTGCTAAAAGATTTAGTAGCAATAGGGATGTCTCTGCACTGATGTGAAATTTTGTATTCATTATTTACTCACATTTAATGTCAAGTTTTCCCTAACTGTTTGACTTTGTGTTTGTCAACAATAACAAAATGAATGAGATATTTCTCAAAACAATAAAATATTTATGATGTAGGTACCAAAGGACAATTAGAATACTTGTCTTCTTTGCAATCCAGATAATCTTAAGTAAAGATCAATTTTTGCAGATTCATCATAATAGGTCACTATTAAACCTACCCATGTTATGAATGATGCCCTTGAACAACACCATTTTATATCAAATGTAAATACACTTGGGTTGATTTCTCTTCCATTGAAGAAGTTTGCAGGTGTCAGTCCTAAAATGAACATCATTCTTCTTTGTAAAACAACATTATTCTATATACATACTGTAAGAGATTCTTATAAAAGTTCAAAGAAGAACTGAGCAAAAAATTCATTACATTCATGTCAAAATTTTGGCAAAAAGTTAGAGAAATACAGGGACACCAAGTTATGTTAAAAAAGTTGAAATCATTACCAAAGTAATGGTATAGCATTCAAATACAGTTAAGATCTGTGTCTTGCTTTTTAAAAAAAAGCTTTAAGTAGAAGTATGTTGACGGTATTACTTACTTTGACCTTTGAAGTTGGAATCAATCGATGTTTTCAGTGCAACCAAGACAGATGTACCAAATGCAACAATAATGGCTGATGCAATAATACTTAAGTAGAACTTGTCAACCAGGTCTGCTACCTGGAAAGTTGTCTTTGTATACACACCAATGCCAAGAAGAGCCAGTTGCAAGAATAACCCGATACAGCCTGTGAAACATTGCATAAAAAACAATTCCAAATAAAAAGGCACTGCTAGAAAATTTAAATGTAGCTATAATAAAAATAAAGGTTGGTACTCTTAACTTTTCTTAAATTTATTTGTAAGTTGCAAAGAAATCTGGATCGAATTTGTAAATAAAGAAACCAAAAAGCAAATTGAGTTTTAAAAAATACAGTAAGTTATTTAACAAGCCCTCTGGGGCTTATTTCAAAAAATAATACTTTTGGTGTGGGGTTATTTGAATTTCAGTTTGGGCTTATTGGAAGATAGGGGCTTATTCAAGGACTTACAATATCTTGAACTTTATAAAAGGGTTGAATAACATGAATTCATACCATTACATCTATATGTTAGCGGTTGTCCCTCCTTTGTAACAATGCCTTGGGAAACCTAGATGGCAAGATGAGCAATTGATGGTAATATGTAGCATTCTATAATTTAAAACAAGCAAAAATCTACCAGGTGATATAATACAAAACTATCTAAAAAGTGAAAATTGTGTGCATGATGCTTGTATACAGGAAGAGCAGGGGCGGCGCGCTGGGGTATTCAAGGTATTCACGAATACTAATTTTTTTCCAAACAACTTTTAATGCTTTTAATATGTTCCAAAATCAAAATCCAAATAAAATTTTCTTTTGCCCATACAATGCCATTACAAAGCGGGCAAAGTTTCTTTAAAAAAAATCAATGACCTTAACAATCGATATTGTTTTGGCGGTGGGTATAGAGACTTCTTAATCCCTTTCGTTTTCCGATGAGGCCAGTGGCCAGCAGTCACAAGGTATTCAAAGGCCATCCTGAATACACCCGCATTGTTTTTGACTGACCCTGACGTCAGTCACAGGAGATAACTGTGAGGCTAAACAAAGAATTTTGAAAGTGAAGGTATTCAGAACTTGTCCGAATACCTTGAGCGTACATGTCCCCTTCTAGCTTGTGTTTTCGGAACCGAATACTGCTTGGAAATTTGCAAGTTTCGAAGTATGCTCAACACAGATAATCAGAATAAAATGCTGGCCTTATCTGGCTATTTTTTTCATTTTTAATGGCCTCATTCGGTCATTGCCTCAGTCCACAAACTGTCACAGCTTTGTGGCCACACTATTCAGAATCCAAACTGAATACCTTCGAATATGGTGCGGCTTCATAGAAAGGCTTTTGGCCGTGCTTTGGTCTTGGATACAGGCCTCAGTTTTTACTGCCCGATAACCTTTCATATGTGTTTATCAAGAGTGCAACGAAGCATTTGTTTTCAAGCGGAAGGTACGTAATGCAAATGAGTTCTAGTTTTCTTGCAAGTTGATCCTGGATAACTGAGATATTTAGCAAATAAGCCCTTTTGAGTAAAACATTTTAAATATGATCTAAAGCACACCACAAATGATTGGGTTTCTTGCTATTTTTTGTTGGCATGTGGACAAGGTGAAGTAATTTATCAAAACTACTTAGACATCATTTTAGAACCAATTTTGAAAATCCTTTCTGTAGGGCTATATAATGGGGTGTGGCATTTGGGGGATTTTATTTTTTTGGGTGTGGTATTTTATCGAGTAGATTGTTAGTACCTTGAATACCAATCTAATATTGCTCCAAGCTGCCCCTGAGGTAGAGTGGTCCATTAATAAAAATGATTCTGTGAGACAGATTTATGTCTTTGTGAATGATTGAGTTTTGTATTTTCATGCAGTACGATATCAGGCCGGTTTTTTTAACTACAGTTAACAAGAGCCTTTAGAAAAGTGAAAATACTACAAAATGTTTTAATAGTTCTGCCAAAATAAGGGCTTTATATTTATGAAGCAAATATTTGCTATTAAGACCCCTATTGATTTTATCAAAGCTTTAACTGTTAGATTGCCTAAATATATATACAGGCTTTGGTGAATATAACAAAACAGATCAAAGTTGCAACTCCAAATTTCACTCTTTCATCTATGGCTGTTTTCATATTTTGTTTTATGTCCCTGGAGATTAAACCAAGAAAAAAACGAAAGACGCTTACCTCACCAAATGGAAACTTTGTCAGAACAAACTGGAAATCAAACCAAACACCAACCCCAAGAAGCACCCTCCAGTCCAAAAGTGAACCAGCTGATGGTAGTTTGGGCCACTTAGTGAAAGAAAATGCTTGTAGTTTGTCACTACAAACAAAGCCTAGTGCTAAAACAGCTAATGGCATCAAAATTGTTGATAATAATCCGATTAATTGGCAAAGCCAGCCACAGGCCTCGTTCGGCTCTCCTTCCACTTTTGCCTCTTCTTGTTTTGAAATTTCTGTTTCCTTCTCTTGCAACTTTGCCACTGACCTTGTCACACGCCTTGTCACAATTGTTTCAGAACGTTCTTCTTTAATCACATTTGTCTGCTCTTCTTTTGAGTTCTCTTCTTTTGTCTCAATCCTCTCTTTTGTTTGCTTTACTGGAGTATTATCCTGAGGAAAAAGGTGACATTTTTTTTACCTTCTCAAACAGGCCAATCTCCTTCACCATAAGCTGTCATGGAAAACTAAACTTTGCATAATTAGCAGCTAAGAAAATAAAGTAGTTTAAGATCCTGTTTACTCTACAAAAAAAGAACGGAACTCTTTGGTTCTGTGCCTGAAAGTGATGATAGACATTGCATCTACATTAGGCATCTTGGTTCTGTGCTAGTTTGGAAATGGTTCTGTTCTTCTTTGGTTTGGCTAAAATGGTTCTTTTCCCAAATTGTGCTTGTTCTCTCTAGTGTAAATGGAACTTTTTGGCTACGATTGAAAACAGGGCTTAATCTAGAGTTGGGACGAGGCTTTCTAGTGGACACTCCCGCACCACTGCGCATGATTCATATGAAGTTCTCTTCCTTTTACTCAAATGTAAATAAGTTCAGATTTGGATCTATTCCTTTTTGCTTCAAAGTAAACATGCTGAAAAAAAGGTATCGCGCCAAAAAAGAACGGAACCAAGGAGTTCTGTTCTTCTTTCTGTAGTGTAAATGGGGTCTAAATAGTTTGACCCCAATAGCCAACTCTGCTCCTTAAGTTTTGTTTTAGTAAATAGAAGATAGGCTATGCTAAAGGTATACAAAAAAAATAAGTATCATACTGCTACACAAACAAGGTACAAAATCTATACATTGAGAGGAAATGTGAGCAAATAGGCTGGATTGCATGTGCTCTGTGCTTGCACCTGACCCAAAATATCAATAAAGTCATGGTTCTTATATTATAGTAATGTAAATATACATCAGCATCATTGCTCGCAGCTCAACTCAAATGCTTCCACTCAGGGGTCACAGCTGAGGATGTGTTGTTGGTGGCAGCTACACTAGGCAAAATCATACATGTTTTTCAACCTGGGTGAGCCAGTCACAACCAGGGCAGCGAGTGAACCTGCAACATGTAACTCTGTACATCATTGCTCTATCAACAACCTAACATGGTTGGCAGGGCAATGACATACAGAAACAATGGTAACGTGTTTCATCCTACCCTGATTGTGTCTCTTGCTTACATTTTCTCTTATCATGTTTTCCAAATCCTATTCTCCTACCACTTATAACTTTATGTATACCAAGTATCAGTAAGCCATTTTTGAAGCAATTTCTATATTGAATTAAGAATAAGTAATGTTTCTTGTTTCAGTTGTAAATAAAATTAGACCCTTCTTCAAAATGTTAGTGGTGTGCAGGGGTGAAGTGCTAGAGGGCCTACGCTCTTTTTTTATAAGAACCAGATAATTTTTGCCGAGTCTCAGATGTTCTTAACTTTTTGATAATTTTAGGCTCAAATGTTGATAAAATTGTTCTTATTTAAAGATTTTTTGCAAATATTTGAGAAGTTACATACTATAAAAAGATGTTTTACTGGGTATAGTTTAAAAATAGAGAAATAACTGTAATAGTGTTTATGGAACAAGAAAATGTCGGTACAGTAGTTGAGTGCTTGCAAATTTCAAATGCGAATTGTTATTTTTAAATTTCTCATCTGAAGCTGAGCATGTTCTAGCCTTGTTCTTATTTTTTGGGCAAATTGAGCCTCATTGTTCTTATATACAGTGTGTTCTTATATGGGGGGGGGGCTGAGACCCCTTGTTAATGCCAAAATATAACCAATTTTTTCTATTTTTTTATCAACATCATGTGCCCTTATTATTTGATAGCACTGCATGACTGTCTGTGTGCATTTTTCACGTTTATGAATGCAGCCTGTTTGTGAATAAGTCAGGGTAAAAGTTGCTGTTTAGCTCCTAATTTTAGCAATTTTTTTTTGTTTTGCCATTTACAGTTTCTCCCAATGCCCCCACATTTCCTGTCTATTTTCCTGTCTGTTTTCTTTAAATTGAAAACCCTTACTAAAATTCATACCTGCTCAGATTTGACTTCCTCATTATTAGGACTTGACTCATTACTGTCTTGTGTTGATTTTGGTTTACGACCTGGCGATCTTCTCCTAGTAGGAGACCTCTTGTTTGAAGCTCTTGATGGTGACTTTGATCTGGACCTTGTCCTCCGTTTTCGTCCTGGAGTTCTAGCAGGGGATGCAGAACGGCTCCTCCATTGTCTTACTTGACTCGGTTTCTATGATTGAATAATAATAATTATTACATGTTGCCAAAAGATTATTTGTTTTGCTTCTTTTTTTGCAAGTCTTTGGTAGATTGTCTGCTAATTTCAAGCACCGTACTGTAAGGTATCGATGTCTTAAGGTAAAACATGTAACTACAAAGATGTTCTAATTTATGATGTTCCTCAACACAGCCTACTAGTAGAAACTTAAGTTTCACTGCTCAGCGAAGTTGCCCGCAAGCTACAAAAACTATACTCTTTTTAATGTTCAATTGATTTTCAACTAACTTACAAAGAAGCTACTTTTTGCTGGTTAATTTCAATCATCAGCTAAACAGGCTTTTGTCATTATACTATGACATAGTTAGATTGTAGAGGAGAACGTTTCCATTCAGAGGCGAATGCCCTTTGGCCGACCTATAATGGTCTGCCAACATAAAGGTCGAAAAGAAAATATATAAAAGATAGAAATGTAGGTAAAACTTAGCATACCGAAATGTTTTTTGCCAGAATCGCTAAAGGATCGAGTTCACTTTCAAATTTCACCATGTATGAATCTGTTGGCTTGTCATACTCTTCCACTACGGTGCCAGGATAGTACATGTTTGTTCCAGGCCATTTTGCAAAAATGTCACTTCCGATCTCGTAGAAATTTTTTCTAGGCATCTTGATTAACAACTTCGAACACGAAATATAGTAGCAAAAGTTAAAACATCAACAGTATAGCCAGATTTCCTAGAGAAATAGTTGCCTTGCTTAGGCCAATCTCATATTCTTCTTTGTTGTGAAGTTATTACCAGCAACCGTTGCAAAGTGAGCCCGCGCAAAATCGTTGAAGCGGATTGGTTCATTCGAACAGCCACACGAGTTGTATTGTTCGATAAACAATCGAATTGAAAGAAAGCGTACGATTGGTTGGTAAAGCACGATATTTCTTTGTTGAGAAAACAAAAGGATACATGTGACATCAGGTGTTAAGATGGCAGATAGGCAAGGTATTTGTTTATTAACGAGCCAAGGTAGCATACCTGTTCAGCTGGCAGCACTGTCAATCTATGCCCATAGAAATTGTTCCTATTTATCTTTCTCCCCCCCCTCCATTTTTGAGATGCACAAGCCGTGGGCAGTGCCGTTGGAACGAAATTTATATTAGGATGGGGGGCTGTCCATTGTTTGCTCCCATTCAGTAGCTTGACAATTATTGTAGCCCCCAGCTTCCGACGGCCCTTGTGGGTAGGAAAATGCTCGAAATATCCATTGTTGTCTATTGCCATTGTTGTCTAATATCCTTTGCCGGGAATTTCCCTATGTTGAGCAGAACACGGAAATGACGCTGTCTGCCATCACCAAGTTTCCCTACTCCTGGTCAGAAAAACCCCAACTGCAAAATTATAAGACAATACATAAAAACAGTAACTTTTCCTTTTTGGCAATAAATCTTTGTCTTGTTTGCAAAATGTTTATTATTTGGTTTTCGAACTAAATTTATTTTTCTTCTAACACACTTATATATCACATCAACCGAGGCTCAGGCTTGTAGTCCTTATATTTAAACAAATTTTGAGGCTGTATTGTTCTTGTTTTTAAATCATTAGAATGTAGTTAAAGAAATTTAGACACGAGACGACCCATTTTTGAAGAACAATTTCTGACAACCTTTTCCTGCAGAATAACGAAGGGTAGGTATGGATGTGACACGCCCCTTCAAAAAAAGAAACCTGGACGCCCCACTTTATCATAGGAGCCAGCGACGGAACATCGTATTGTTGGTCGATTTAGGTGCACAAATTATCAAAATTAAGATACTAGATGACTCGCGTACTACACATATTATAATATTGCTGCCTTTTCAACAATAAATTGTTCACCTGCAACATATTAAAAGTCCTTCTGGTGTACTGCAAAACCACAGAATGAGATATCCGAAACACTTTTCTTCCACACTAACTGCAGTTTTATGCACTAACTGCATCACTGTGGCCCAAAACTTTAGAATCAGTATTGTGGTTTGGGCACGCAAAATTAATGTTCTATCAGACAGAAATTCGTTTTCTGATAATAAAACTAGACAGTGAAAGAAAACTTCTAAAGGTGGTAAGCCAGCAGATCGCTTTGCATGTATATAATTTCTTATCAGGACATGGACAAAGTCGCTTTTATTAAATTTACCAAAGGTTTTTAAAACAAAAATTGAAAAAAATTAACCTGTTTGAAAATCCACTTCCATCTACGAGACAAACTATCATCGACTGAGAAATGAAGGAGACGTAAATCTTTCTTTTCCTTTTGTATTTACGTAGAGGAAATCTCCATTTAAAGAAGGAGCTGTAGCTTGCACAACTAAATAACTAGTTTATCCAACGATGGGAACTAGATAGAAAAAAAGTTTCGAGTTAAATTCTCAATAGAATACATATTAAACTGTAACTCATCTAAACAGAAAACATATTATTCGCTCCAAAATCTAATCACTCATTACTAGACAAACATAAAAGTAGCGAAAATATTTATCTGGCCTGTAAGAACAGCGACGTGTGCAATGGGGAGGGAGGGGGTATTACCCCCAGAACAGAAGTGTCGTTTCTACTCTTTGGTATTATGCAAACTAGATATACGGTCGTCAATAATTAAAGCTAGTTAAAAGTATTTTCAAAGACACCAGCACCTTTTCACCAGTTCATAAAGTGGGTTCAAACCGAAGGGTAGCAATTTCTGCCAAAACAAAGCTAATAAAAAATAGGCCGTGGGGTTCCACATTAATAGTCTCATTTAGATGATCAATATCTCAATATCACAACAACTTGCGAAAGAGGCTCAGTCTGTGACAATTCATCTGACACTGTAAAAAATTTCTTCAAGGCACATCTCTTACAGCCTCATCTCTTATATCCTATCATGAAGGATATTCGATGTGTAGAATGGGGGAATTTTCAGGCTATTTCATTCAACGAAAACAGGTATGATACCTGAACACCTAAAGTCCTCCTCTAATCAGATCGCATTTTGTTTGGTGCTTGAATAAACATTTACACGATTCTTTATAAATAACAAGTGCAACTTTGCTTCCAAATCAAAACCAGCAAAATGTTCTTTTGAAAGCATGCAAGTTAAAAGCCCCCAGGGTTTATTTTCATAGCTCATGTAAGTCCAAAACCCTTGCCATTCTCTATTGCTATAAGAAGCTTTCCTTTGAGCTTGCTTTCCTTATATTCAGGTAGTAAAAGCCTGTTAAAACAAGTCATTGACGTTGGTAAATTGTCAGTATCTGGTCCATTCCTTTGAATGATAAATGAAATTGATGTTAGCCCAGCAAGGGGCACACGATCGCTTCCAGTCACAAATGACAACAATCTCTTCTTCTGCTCTTGTGTGAAATTATTCACAACATGCCAAAAATGTCTTATCAAAGAATGGTCTTCCGTGAATCCATCGATGTATGTGGTTACTTCCTCAAGTTGAGAAAAATCAATTTCTGGACTACCGCAAATCAGTAATTCCAACTCATCTGATCGAAATAACTGGATTGCATCACCGTTGCAAACCTAAAAGATAAAAACATAAGGAAAATGAAATTTCTTTCCAGAGGAGCAAGACCTTTTTCAAGAGAATTCCTTTAGCCTGTACAACATATCAATCAAAAGGGTGGTACATAGAGAGGATGATGCGAGAATGTAAAAGCAAGAGCTGAAATGAAGAGGCCAAAAGGTGCTCAAGTTCGTTCTTTAACGCTAAATGTACTTTAGTGAATTCAGACCCGAGCAATGAACAATATTTCAGAACGAGAATAATCCTCACAGGGGTTTAAAGAAGTTACGGAGGAAAGATGTGCAAAATTCATGAAACTATGGACAATTTGTGAACACTTAGTGAACAAAATTCATTGAACACTCAGTTAAAAATAGCAATACGTCTGGTCCTTAACTTTTCCAACTTGACCCTGATAACTGATTCTTTTACGTATTCCTTGGCACGAATAAACTTACAATAAGTTACACAGAAAGCCTATATTTTCTCTGTTTGCATGTATTTAGAATCAAAGATAAATAAAGTCGTGCTTGATAAGTATCTGACGATGCAAAAATTTCAATGACAGTCCTTATATCCATCACATTACATGCTTACTAAAATCAAACAAAATCTTTCATTCCTCTAAAAGTAGCTCATTGCTTTTCTATTTATTCGGAAGTATCATCAATAAACCATGTAAACACGTGTTTGGTGTTTTGTTTTCGAGTGACCTAATGAGTATGACCATAAAATTTTTCACATATTTAGCCTCCTGGCTTCTAAAATCTGATAAGACGTTTTTGAAAAATTTCTGTTTTCCAGGAATATTGTGCATGTAATACGCTGAAGCTAAACCTAAATGATATCCAGTTTTCGACATTGAAAACATAATCCGAAAATAGGGATAAGTTAAAGGGATACATACCTTTGCAAAACCAGCTGCAAATGAATCGAACTGCTTTCCAATTCTTTCATCTAACAAGTAGTTGACATACAATTCAACGTATAGGTTCCGATTTTTTCTTGTCACAGGAATATCTTTACCCCCTGGCAGCAGATCGATTGGTTGTGTAGATGCAAGATATGACTCAGTTATCTAAAAAGAAGCGAAATCATCGTGTACATAACTGTAACATGGAATATGGAGCATAAGCGATAGTGAAATGAAAGACGTACACGAGTTAACATTACACAAATATTTATTATAAACAGATGCCAGCGTTAATCTGTTAGAAAATTTGTATTAATAGAAATGTAATAAATGGAATGAATGATCATAATTGAGATTAGAACTATTATGTCAGAGGTACAACAAGGGAAGTTGAAAAGGCTAGTCCCTGCTGACATTACTTTCTCACTGAGAACGAAAGCATATTCATAGGAAATATGATCCCTATCTTTTTTCAGCGAAGCCAATTTCACAATTTATTCATATGTACTACAAGGGATTGAAAAAAATTGTGATTCCAAATTGGTTTATTAATCTCGGATGAAATTTAAACATCCTTCGAGCGAGATAAAACATCCTTTGAGTGTTGCAAACCTTTGTCCATTGTCAATTCCAAACAGCTGTAAAAATACCCTAATTTGCTCCATGCTAGCTTTGAACAATGACAATATCCCTTCGACATTAGCATGCATCAATTTACATTTGTTGAATAGGTCATCAACAGTAAGGTCATGAACTCCTTTCTGATGAGTGTTTGATGATAATAGCATCAATCTATGGATACAAATATGCGTCTCTACCGTGATATAAAAACAAAACATCACAACCATTACCTGAAAGTCTAAGCATAAATCCTCTTCAACATTTCCATCATATTGAAGCAGCTCGGTGAGACTCCTTGCAATTGTTGGCTCGATCCCCCACAAATCTTTCAGTGTTGTCTTCTGCTTTTTAAGTTTTGCATAAAGTGCACCAGGAAGAGGTACATCCAAAATGATACCATTGTAAATCGCAAGCCCGAGAATCATACCAGTCAATTCAAAGTTAGCGCTAGGTTCAAATGACTGTGGGTTAAACCAAACATTCCTGGTCTCTCCGCACTTCAAGAACATCCCATACGCTATAAAACAAACATTTCATTTTGCAAACTATCTCAGCTTTCAATTAATCTTATTTCATTGTCAGAGAACAAGCAAAGTCCTTTAAGCTTGATTTGGAGTTTTGAAAAGCTGATAATTTCCGTGAAAAGGATAATGAATAAAAACTACGGGACATACTGTTGCCACCTGTTACCTTTACTAATTAAGGCCTTTAAACAGTTGCATGGTCCATCAAAAAGTGTATCATACAACTTCTTATTTATCTGTAAGAATATCGAGCCACTGTAATTATACTTGTATCCCAGTAAGGTGTTATTGATATTTTCGACATCCTGTTTGCTGCTTATCTACATATTAAATATATATGATAACAATGATACAATAATTTGTCTACCAATATTAAAAAACGGAAGGTCTCTTGTGGTACATAAACATTAAAGAATTGGAAAGATGCCTGACAGATCATTAGAAAGCAGTTTACCAGGGAAAGTATAAAGGTTTTTTCAACAATTAATAAACATACCTGGGTCAAAAAGTTTCTGTACACATAATTGGAAGAACTCCTTTTGAAGTCCACCCATGTCAAGACCTTGCTCACCACCTCCGATATATTTAATTTTCAGTGGTTTTTTCAAGTCATTCACCTAGACAATAAGCCAGTGAAAGTTAAAGAATAAATAACCATGCACATCTAGTTACCAAACAGAATTTTCACAGAAATAAAAAAATGCATTGAAATTGTGCTTTCGATTAAAATTTTGTGCAACAACATAAAAAAAGTAATTTTTATCTTGGATAGAATATTGACTCAAAAGATAAAAAAGTTAACAATCACAAAAAATAAATGTTCAGAAATATTATTTCTTTTAACATACACCTTTCCTTAACTCCGACATAGCCACCACCATTCCTTAACTTCTCCATTAAAGTTCCTTTATATACCTACAGACCTTCATAATGTATACAACTGACAAATTGATGTACCAGCCAACAATCAAGTCATGTAATCTTATATAGCACAACAAGGCATCTTGTGAATCCTGACAGGGGACAGCAGTATGTTTACTTACTGTTTAAAGCCATGTAGAAAATGCCAAATTTTCTTACAAAGCTTTTGATATATATCTAATATTTGACCTATCCAGATCATTGATAAATACACATTTACTGTAAAAATTACTGTAAACTCTCTGTTCAACTAAGCCTTCTAACAGATATTTATATATATATACATGATACCAAAACTACTGGCTTATAAAACTGTACCTGATGGCGTAATCAAACCAAGTAAAACTGCTTTATATTCTATGTAGATACCAAATCGTATCTCACCTTCTTCTGCAGCTGCTCCAAAGCATCTTCCACTAGAAACTCTCTTCTCACCTCAAGTACCAAGTATGGGCACATAGCTCTCCATACATCCTTAGAATATGCTGAATTGTCTGACATTCCATTCAGGGCACGTTCAACAGTCTGTACTTTTGCTTGATGCAATATAGCAGCTTGATACTCTTTTCTCATTTCATTGATAGCTTCATAATGAATCAAATGCACCTAAAAGTCAAGATTAAGGTGTTAACTTTAAAGCAATCTACAATATTGATTTTAATACTGATACAAAAATTATAAAACTTTGTACTAACTCTACAAACTTCTAATCTGACAGAGCACAATCAAAAGGAAATCATCTTTGAATTAATGAATATCTTGTCTAAGGGGTGAACATTGCAGAAAAAATATGCTAAAAGCCTTGTCAATTGAGATATATGGCAACATATCTTAGCAGAAACATGCTCAAAACGTTTTCTATATTGCTATTCTTTACGTGTCATGTTTGAAAGTTAAGGGGCCTTAGCTGACAGCTAATTTTGTGCTTGTGCATATTAACTTGTGTCTTAGAAGTCAGTCAAAATTTGTTTAGAAGTTGTGTCCCAGGGTTATCAATTGACCCTGGGAATTCTGATGAAGATGAGGACCTTATAAGTGATTAATTAGACTTTCGAAGCTGCCAGCAAAGTTTTCTGCTGTTTGTTGAGAAAAATCTGGTGTATCTGTATTGGTGTAAACTGGAAGTCTATCTGCATTGAAAGTTGTACAGCCTCAAATTAATGCGTTCTATCCGTATAGGTTTTTATCTGGATTAAAAGTTTTCCAGCAATGTGTAAACACAGCCTTAAATCATAAAGTGCCTCTCAATATGAGGAATTTCCATAGATCAGGGGTTTTTTCCCTAATCAAAAGACTATTACAGTGAAATATCTATCAAAGTGAAAATCCCTTCTACGGTCAGGCAAGCTTACACTTTTCCTTTAATTTGGAGAAAAACTCATGATCCTCATATTGAAGGAAAGGTGACTTGCTGTTTTTTAAGCCTACTTTTCACGATAATGTGGCAATCATAAAATAGGTAACTACTTTGGGAAAATGTTGACACCTTGGAAACCAAAAAAAAGCCTTTAAATTTGGTAGCTTTGCCTTCCTGCTGCTTTAGATCTTGAATTTTAAGTCTTTCCTTGCAAATGTTTCATTTTGCATCTGCAATGTTTTAAAGGCCTCAGACAATCTGGGTGTGTGTGGAGGCGCCTCATATTACAAAGACTGCTTCAGCAGCTTGGTTACTTCAATCAATACCTGATTCATTGTGATCTGTTAGATATTCACCAAAAGTCAAACAACAGTCAAAAGGTGCTACTTTGTCCAGTAAAATACTTTGAAATTTTGTATTTTGTATATAGATATTATGGATTTATGTAATACATGCAAACCTTGGTTTCAGGTTTTAGAAGAAAAGGGTATTCTAATATTGATCCTGAGACTTCAAGATTGGACCACGATGTAGAGCGAGCCATCCCTGACCTATAAAAAAGAAAACAACTTTATATATAGATACCCATCTCTAAACTGGGCTTCCATTCTTTATGCAAAAAACCCAGAAATTGATATGATCTACAGTCTGATAATATTAATTATTGAACAAAATATACCTAAAAATACAATATATATTATCTGAAATGATAAATATCTTTAATATATGCTACCCTCAATTACAAGCTGCAGCAAATAGGATTCATAGAAACATATAGGGCTCCCTTGATTACAAGCCGCATCCACCTAACATCTAGAGATAATTTGCTTGAATGATGGATGCAAAAACTGATATAAAAATGAATGCATACTTAGATCTCAACACCTGCTATATTTTAAAGTTCAACCCACAACAACACAAGTTTTCAAAAGAATGGCATAGACAGGTTTTGATCTTTTTGTGTCTTAATCAAAGTATCATGATGGTTTGACTCCTTGGAAAAAAATGTAATCCTCCCTTATTAGCCGTGCTTGATTATAAGCCAAAGCAAAAAGTGCAAACTATAAGTAATTAAATTATAAAAAATTATAAGCCACAGTTTATATTAGAATAAATTTGATAATCTGGCTATTGGTTATATGATGAATGTAAATAAGCATTTGACTGCCAATAATATTTTACCAACAGGTCTCTTAACCATGTCATTTGCACCACAAAAGACACAACACGGAAAAAAGCAAAAGGTCTACCAAGCACAAGAGCCAAGTTGCTAATAAAAAAATATTTGCTTTTAATAATTCATTCTATGTAGCATAATTTCTTCGGCATTGAAATGAATCTTGAATTCAAATACTTCTCTACCAACTGAGGATTATCACACATCTAGAAATTCAAAAATTAAGATATAATATGAATCCATAAAAACGTAAGAAATCAATAACTGTATATACCTTCCAATTTCTGGATGAATTAAATTTTGCCAGTGCTGATATTCTCTCTTTATATCAAGAGAATTTGATAGCTCTTCACTGTAAAATTCTGCACCAGGAACTATGAGCTTTTCAGAATTCATCCAGTAATTGGCTTCATTGAGAATTTTCATTACATTACAAAGTGACAGTATGTTTGCGTCTGAAACCACTTTTTCCATCATTAGAGAACTGAGCAAAGATTTGAATCCCTACAAATAAAAATAAATATTTGTCCATTTTGCACTAATAAATACTAAGTTCTTCATTCTTTTGACATGTACTTAATATCTTGTTGTGTTGTAAGTATACCTAAGAAAGGGTTAACTCATTGTTTTTTAAGCATATTGGTAATTACATCTGTGAAAATATATAGTCAGGTAAAGTTAAGAAAATTAATTAGGTAAATTAAGAAACGTTTCTGGTTCAAAATTAAATTTTTTAAATAATCTCTTATAAAGAAGAAAACACTTCCTTATTTTTCATTGATTATATTCTTTACTATTTCATTAAAAATATGAACATAGGCAGATTAGATTGCATTTAATGAGATTAAGGTAACCACTATGATGCAAATACCTTCAGGATTCTTTGGAAACTTGATGGATCATACTTTGAGAGACCTTCTACTAACTTTCGCCTTGCAGACATTGGTAAGGCTTTGAATATATCCACAAGAACATAAGGTAAGTCTGTTTCAAACAACATTGGTAAATCCAAGATGATTATGAAATGATTTGCAGATTCAATCTTCTGGCAATCATCCAACATTTCTGAGCATAGAATCCTAACTGAATCCAAAATAGTTTTGAAAAAGGTACCATTGTCATGTAACAGTATCTTCTCATATGCAAGCTTAACATCATTTCTGTTAACTTCTCTCATATGACCATATGATGAAAATGTTTCATTTATCAAAAAACTGACACTTAGAGATTCGTAAGAAGAAAAGACTGTCCTTAATGTACTGAGCAAGAATGATTCATCACCACATTCCAAAAAGTCTTCAAGAACATGATCTACCATCTCTAAAGTTAAGTGTGTTAAGGAAAACTCATTTGCTTCAGGTTTTATCGAAGTCCTATTCATTTCTGATGCTACTGACATTTCAAACTCTTTCAAATCATCAAATTCATCAGAAACATAGTTGTCACTTCCAAATATTTTTGTACAACTTGATGAACTGGCTGCTAGTGATTTCTCTTTCAAATTTAATCCATCAGCCTGATCAGATCTACTTGCTAGAGGTGTAAGTGATGGTGTTCTGTGGTTACTCCAAAGTGAGGATATGCTTGAAGACAAAGTCCTTGCCATGTTTGAGACTCCTAATGAAAGCTTTTCCCTGTACGACTGACTGCTGTGAGAATCATGCTTCAAAGTTCCATGACTAAGAGATCTATTAAAGAGCTTGATATCACCACAAACTTCTGAAGAAACCATAGGGCATTCATAATAAAGGCTTTTGAAGGGACTTGTTGTTGACAACAAACAAAGAAATGGAATATTTTCTCTATTTGTCTGTTCAAGCAATTTTTTTGGAAATATCTTTCCTTTTTGTTTGCAATTAGAACACAAATATTTATGCCCAGTCTTTGCCAGTTCTATGCTTAAAACAATAGCTACATTTTCATTGTAATTGAACTTAATCATCACATTTTCATTTGATGACTTGCAAAACTTGTTATAACAATTTTCTTTTCTGCAACCTTTAGTTAGTTGATAGAAGTATTTCTGTGCATGAGCAGTGTACTCTGCTTTCTGTTTTGCCCAATTATTTGTAGGTGAATCATAAAACCTTTTAGGCTTTGCTTCTTGGATAGACAAATTAGGATCGGATAGGGCAAGCAGATTGCTGGCACTAAGGCTTTTGATCGATAATCTTGCATCCCTGATATTACTTAACGATGTGAGGCTTGTTGATCTCTCAAGTACACCTGGAATACACAGCTCATGCCTGTTATCTGGAATGTTCACATCAGGTATACTTAGATTCCTTCGCAGACTGCTGATCGTCTTCTTCTCTCCAACCACTTTTGCATCATACCCACCACTCCCTTTGGTTTTAGGTCGATAGATGGGTGGTTTTGCTGCATTCATATTCGAGTCTGATGATTATTGAAAAATATACTTATACCAGCAGCAATTGTTCAGAAACTGGCGCACTATAAACTATAGCCCTCCATTAAACATGCTCGTGAAAATATTAGGCCGCGATCTGTGAATCCGACACAAACCCAGAGAGTATGGCTGATATTTTCAGTTGTCCATTAGGCCCTTAATCATCCACTGATCGCCAGTCCATAGTATTCGAAGATTATCTACAAATTTGACATTTCTATTCCAGATTTCACTATTCTTCGGATTTCCTGTCGACGGCTAATCCAATCGATATTGAATAACGAACAAATAACAACAAATTTTGTTCTGCTTCTCTGCCAACAAACTTCATATCTAAAAATTCAATTTCGTGTGAAACCAATTTCATGATAAACTATAAACCTTCATTTCTTTCTTTCTTGAGCCTTTAGATAAAAAATGCTACTTTCAGTCAATAGTATTAACAGAAAGTAAGTTATTTAATCTCCGACTCTTTCCCATCATCATCCCATGTATATATCAGTCTACCATTGACAAGGAGATTGGGTCCGATTCCTGGACTGACGCCACTGCAACCACTTGAGTTCACGGTTTCCAAGGTTGTCGTAAACCTGAACCTGGGATCAATTTTTAAAGAGCTAGAGCTGGTCCTTGTTTATCATTCAATTTGACCACAATTTCATTTCGGTAAAGCTTTATTGTGTGTAGCATCATGAAGCATAAGACTTCATCATTGTGAGCTTCTACCACGGTTTTTAGCCCAGGCCAATACACTCCCCTCACGAAAGTACCCGGACAGTCCGAAGATCGATTGCGCTTTCAGACAAAAACAAAATTAGGCTGGCTTTTTGATGTTCTGGTTTATTTTGGAAGGGTTTCTCAAAAAATTATTATCACTAAGTTAAAAAGTCCTTTTCGCCAGCCTAATTTTGTTTTTGTCTGAAAGCGCAATCGATCTTGGAACTGCCCGGGTACTTTCGTGAGGGGAGTGTACAGAATTTTGTTTTGGAACGACTTATACTGGTGGCTGTGCTCCATCCCCTCGACAAAGCCTTCTGTATGTAATGGGTACTGCCGGAAGGAATAGACTAGCCCATAAGAACAAAAAAATACCCTGCAATGCCCTTATCAACAGTACGATAAATGTCTAGGAATCATTCCGTTTGAGAATTAAGCTTCTTCTTGACACCCAAACTCACGTACCTTCAAAGACCTATCTCTAGGGAAACTGAGATGGATATGTCTACCCCCAGTTCACCCTGTTGCAATGCCCCTGGCACCCTGGCAACTAGTGTCAATTTTTCCTTGTCAACTTGGTCGCTCCCATCCGATGTAGGGACGTTCGTCCCGAAGTTTTACAAAAAGAGTTCAAATGAAGAAAGGAAAATTGAGAAGACGACTGATTCAACAAATCTTAGGTAGTTTACTTCAAATAATTCTAGAAAATCGAGGTCCTGCTATAGAGTACTTTTTGTTTTTTGGAACGAGATGGATAGCGCACTGCACACCACGATGAACCAGGCAAGTAATCTACATAGCTATATCTGTATTGTTGATTTCCACAGTGCATTTTCTATTGTTTAGCTGTTTATTTGTTTTGGTATTTACGCTTATATTCTTATAATTAACTGTGTGCATTAATACATAGCGACAGATTTACTAATCATTTGAGCATAATTATACTAATCCTGTCTTTTGCGTGTATCAATAATAACTTTACCCTTAGGACTAATCACGAACTGCTCTGTGTGCAGGCTGAGTAATATCAAACGTATAACATCAAGAATATGATTGGATGAAGTATATAATTTACATAATTCTTGTATCTGATTGGTAAACTAATTCAATACTGGGTGTAACACTAAGTAATTTCGTAATTTTGGTTGAGTTGTTGGTTTTGTTGATGTTGAGTAAAAGATTCGCTTAGTTTATATTTTGAAATGAAGAATTGGAAAACTCATTAAACTTGTATTTTTGAGATCTACTCTGTCAAAAGAACCAGCAAGAACATGAGAAGTTCTAATAATCTGTATACAGCTAAGCAAATATTAAGCTCCTCCCACTTTCCATGACTCAAATATGTAACTATGAGTGAGAAGAGCAAATCTCATTAGAATATGGGCAAATCTATGGAATGTTAAACAAACTGACAAATGAATTGACTTGTTATAAACATCATCTTTTTGGATAGAATGCTCCTCATATTGCAGTTGATAGCTGTGACGTAATTGAGCATTTTGAGCGGAATAAGAAATATTTTCAAAAATAACAGACCTGTAACCACAAATTCTTAGCATAATGTACATAATGAACGATTTTACGATTATAAGATTTAAAACTTCATTTGAACAAAACTTGATTTTACTAGTCCTTGATGGGCCACAAATAATCAAGGGTCTTCATTTGTTGATCTAACCCTGAGATTAGACCGTTTAACTCTAAAAAAGCATAGAACTTGATTATCTTTCGATGTAATTTCACATTCTGACTCACTACGAATCATATATACTTTATAATTTACTTAGAAATATTTACATACATGCCTTAATGTAACAATAACATACCAAAAATACGCTATAATGTTTGTAATAAAGGTTATCAACCTTGGTTTTATTGGCTGCAACCAGCAAAAATAAATCTCAACTGTTTCTTGAACATTAGGGAACTGATGGAATCGTCAGCTGTCAGTAGTATATTAGGTTAGGCAGGATGGGTATGGTTAAGCGTTAAAAGTCAAATTATTGAAAATGTATGACACATAAGATGCAGTTAGACTACAAATTCAAAACGACAAGCCATTTGACATGACGAAATGTAGCAATTTTTCACTGTGATGCGATGGCCGTTTTAAAATAAACTGACGACTCAATTGAATTGGTTCTTAATTCAGTGCTCAGTTCTGCCAATTTACTCAAGAACTTGTTGCATTTGATTAATTCCATCCATGTCTGCATGCTCTTTGGACATATTCCCATTTTCAGACGCACAAGATTGTCAACGGCGTAAAGATGATCGTCTTTCTCGTCTCTACATTCAGTGCGCATGAAGTCGGTCAGTCTAAAAAGATATTCAATGTTCGAGCCGCAATAACCGTACGAAAGAAGTATGTCCGTTGATATCTCATCGTAACTAGCACATCCACGGTAACATGGGTTACCTGGCGCAGCGTAATACACCAGCGCAAAAATATCACCGCTGGTATGGCATTCTCCTTGCAAGGTGTGACACTTGGTGACCTGTACCTCGTAGCCTCCTAGGGATATTTCACGCTTTGTCAAATGGCCTATCGCTTTCGAAATGTTCTCCTGGCCCTGTATTCTGTATGCCACGCCCCAGACACGACTCTGTAAAATGACCAAAGTATCCCGTAAATATCTGAACTTAGTTAAGCTTGATGTGAATACAATCAATTTACCAGAGAAATTGTTGTGGACTCTATAGGCATAAGAAAAAAAATACAAAATGCTAAGGGACTTAAAAGAAATATTCAAAAGTAATAAGACAAACCAACTACTAAATTTGGTAAATTTTTTGCATAGGCGTATGAGAAATAGTCACTGGGGGGCTACAGCTCCCCCCTCCCCCCCAATCAGGCAAAATTTATCGAATTTCAGGCCCATTCGGGCAATTTCATCTTAATGAAGCAACACTATACGGGCAAGACCTATTGTCAGCTCTCCTAAACGTCAAGCCTCCGCTACGCTCATGCTTTTTTGTCTGAACTCAAAACTCAAACTCAAAATCTTTATCAGCAAAAACAAATGTTAATTACAATATACCAAGAATTAAAATTTAGAATACAAAAGTTAGCATTTTCAAAAATTTAATTAATTTATTACATCAGATAAAGTAGTTTGTTATGCTGAAGGACACATGAGAAAAACTCGCCAGGAGCTATCGAGTCATATGTCCCAGTGACGTATTTAAACTCAAGATTATAATTTCCATTTCAGTCTAGAAAAGGAAGACTTCGTAGAGAAGATAACGACGTATATGTTCCATGCACTCAAGGGCGCTCTCGTTTCATTTTGTATGAACTAACTTTTAGTGGTTAAGACTATAAACAGCAAGGGCTCATATTGTTTAAAATACTTTTAATTGTTTAAAAACAAACATTACATAAAATAGATGAATATTTTGCGCTGTTCTTACCGTTTGGTCCTTTACCAAAGTGACAACTCTTCCAGGCTATAATAAAAAAGACAGTCCAATTATTTGTGGGTGTACAAATATGCAGCACAGCAAAATGAACATGAAAATATTCCTTACCATAATGATTTCTTTTAGGTCGTGTTAACACATGGCTTAAGAATAAGGGAGACGGGAACCCTCCCAGTCCCACGCTCTTACGTTCTTTCGCTTTCTGAGACTCTGGTACCAAGTGTGCCATATAATGCAAATCAGCCAAAACATCCACGCCCCAAAAATTAACTCTCTTTCACAATGTTAAAACTGATGTCGCAGAATTTAGTCAACCCCACGAGAACGCCCCTGGCAACTTGCGTCAATTTTGGCAAAGGCCCGCAAAGCTCGGAAGGCTGTGTGCTTTTATTGTGTGATAGTAGCTTTTTCATTAGCTGGCGCAAAACATATTGCCATAAACTTGTCGCTAGCGACTATTTATGTATTGCTGTTTGTTCAATCTGAATTTGCTTGTCATAACTGGGAATTGAGTAAAAAACAAAACTTGAGCTCTTAATTTGATTAAAAATTTTCAACAAGGATTCGTTGTTTAATTTGAAGTAGGTATTGAATTTGAAACACCTACATATGATTCTGATTAGAACTTTCGCACTTCTTAATCAGGCCTGGGCTCTGTGTGTCCGAAAATGTTGTTTGAAGAAACGAGGAGCATATCACTCCAGTATCTCGTACACCTTTAGGCAAATATCCTTTGGCATAGCCAAGGGTGTAGTGCTAGGGGGCTCAGGGGGGCTGAGCCCTCCCTTGTTAATGCCAAAAATTGGCAAATTTCTACTTCTGCTACTGTTTTCGCAACATTTTATGCAAGAGCCTCCTTGTAATTTTGATAGCACTACACCACTGGCGTAGACTACGTATGACCAAGATAAATTAATAGAATTGGATGGAAAGTTATATCATTTTATAATGGTGTGACGTAGGTATGTTTATATTTTGGAAGTTTTCAATCATTCAATGTGAATAACGAAGATGAAATACTTTATGAATGAAATCACGTGAAACTTTTCAAGTAGTCAAGCCGAATGTGGTTTACCACGAACAATGTTGCATGACATCAATGAATGGGTGGATGATTGAATTTTTTTTAGTTTAAAACTCACATAGATATATAATGTCCAACAAATGGCAATAGAAGTATGCTGAATGTTTTCCTTCTCAAAAATTAATACTTCATTTATTTATATTAGTAAACAGAAAGTGGACTAATTATACCGGACTAATTCAACAATAACAACAAAAGATTTGAAAATTTGATATTAGTTTAGATATATTTAGACCTATTGAAGATATTATCTGGGGAAGATGTCACGCACGGTAGCTATATTAAAGACGAAACTAAATAAAGTTAACTTACCCTTTCAGTGCTTCCTCTATGATGCATGCTTCCTTGCCAGAATCTTCTCTTGAAGCCTTCAATGTATCCCACTAACCTTTCTTCGTAAGTGAAATTTGGGGACCAGACCAAAGATCCATACCCGAAAACCCAAATACTATTGTCAGTTGGTTTATTCGGTGTCATTTCTCCAACTGTGTCTTTGGCTTCAGACAATCGCTTCTTTCGCTTGCCTGCCAGTGGTAACTTCTTTATAAATCTATTGCAATTCTACCTGCTTTTGCTCAGATAAAAACAAATAGGGAAACCCCCGGACTCCAATGCCATTGGCTGGTTTCATTTCATGTCATTGCTGATTGGCTGTTTTATCTGACGCAAGAGAACTTCTCCTTGCAGATTGTTGTTCAAGCGTGTAACATGTGACTACCCACACAAAGCATCCAACCGACGTCATTCTAAACTTCGCAAGGCTAACTTTAATCTTAATTTTCTGTTTTCAAATTACAATTCATTCATACTGAATCGTTTTTTGTCTTTGCGCAATTCCACATATTCGCCTGTTTACAGGGGCAAAGTCAAAACAATTTTTTGGAGGTGTAAAGAATTGATTTTCCCTACCAAAATGGCTTGTATCACTCTTTAAAGGTGTGGTCAAACGATAAATACTCTTATATGCTGCTTTTGCGCGTTTTCGTTTCAAAATGCATGCCATAACTTGGAAACTCAACTACCAAGGACGGAGTTACCGGGGGGTCATGCCCCCCCCCAAAAAACTTAAGTAGTATTAGGTTTTTATTTTGCAAAATATAGCTGTTTTTACACTTATTTATCAGAGTTGGCCCCCTCAAACAAAAAATTGTATCTTGGTCTATGTTAACTACTACAGAAATGCTGATGCGTTACAATTGTTGTGCTTCTTTTGCTCGGCAAAAATCTTTAATGTGCCGACAGACAAAGTGTTGGGGGTACTGCACCCCCGAACCCCCTTTTTGGCGACGCCCCTACCTGTTTGTCAAAAGGGGAGACCATCGCATTGCTTACTCACATGTCCCTTGCAAAGGGACGAAAACAAGTTGCTAATTTTGGAGGGGCGTGGAAGGATGAAAATTCCAACTTTAAGTGAGAAATTTTTCATTCGACCAGTAAATCTACTGTACCTACCAAATTGATATTTGTAAATAGCCCGAACACCATAGTTCTATTTTCTTTATAATTACAAAATTTTTATTTAAGCAACATTTAAGCAAAACAGTATTAGATATATTCTTTCATATCAATTAATCAATTTTATCTAAAATACATTTTTTCACGATATAGAAGCACCAAGAATTTGAGCCTTTTATTTTCGTTCTTGATCGAAAAAAACTACTAACAATTTTCAGAGGGCCAAATGCCTTTTCATTCTTTACAATTGAAATGATGATTTGAGAACAAACTTTTGCATATGCTTGATTCGAAAGATGAAACACTCTTCTTTGATCAAATACTTCTACTGCAGTTTTTGCAATGTGTTCTTGCTTCACAGCAGTTTTGTCATAGGAATTCATGATAAGGACTCAAGGACATTAACAAATAACAGGGGGAGTTTAGCATAAACTCGTTTTTTATAAGAAGCGTTGAGAATTTTTAGTACTGAGATTCTTAAACTTTTATTGAATTAACTACTCGTAGTTTCTAAAAAAATTCCCACTCTAAAATTTTCTGATCAATGCGGGTATTATTATTCCAAACTGTAAGTCTCAAGTTTCTTATCCGGAAATTCACCTTGCCTGTTCGTAATTTGATTCAACTCCCGTCAGAAAGAAAGAAAAAGAAACGGGGCAAGTGTCTAATTTGGATCAAGTGGAGACGGGATTCACAATAGAAAACGATTGGATGGGTCAGCTTCAGCCTGTGAATTTTAATGTTTAGAATTTTTATATTTAAAATAAAAAAACTTCTTAAAATATAAAATTCACAAGTTTGGTCTTAAGAAAAAAATTCCAAGTCAACCGCTACGTTTTCCAACTGTAACTGGATTTTCCAAACTTTAGGGGGCGTTACGCCCCCCACGCCCCCCTGTTAATTACGTGCCTGGACCCTTGGAGTGGTTCACGGAAGCATGGCGTGGCAGCTTGTGTTAGGACCCAGCCTGCGTCACAGATGGTCTCAAGGATTCATCACAAGGATTACCCTGAGGATTACCCTTGGGCCCGAGTCGACTGTCATTCTTTGATGTTTGTTGGTTCAGCAGACCAAAAAACAAGCAATAAGAACGACTTTATGTAGCTCAAAGAATGCCTCTTTCAATTTTATCATGAAATTACGTTCTTTGCAATGAATATTTCCAGTCTTAAACTATCAAGATAAATTTAGAAAAAAGCTCATCTGACAAAAAATGATTATAGGAAGGAGCAGTATCGCAACAACCTTTATCAAGGAGAAGTTTAGAATACCACATTATTATTGTGATCATGTTTCGGTTACTGATAGGTCTAAAAAGGAATTTAGATGAAAGAACACGAGTCCACAATTTTCCATCTTATACAGATAATCCTGGATTCACTTTAAATCTTTCATTTGACCCTCTTCAAGAAGATAAGAACGTGAGTGGTAGAAGCAAATACAACCCGTTCTCTCGTAAACATAATGTACAAGGTTCGTGATTCTACAGGTGTGGATGGAGTTAAGGGAAAGTTGTTTTTACTAAAAAATTACCAATTTGTGAATTTAATGGAGTTTATGAGAAAGTAGAAAAAGAGTTTCGTGCACGCTTTTCTAGACTGGAAACTTTGTTTTTTGCGCGGGCAAGTTTCATTGCGCGCACCTGAAATCGTGCACATTTAGAACGTTTAGAGTTAATAAAGTAAATGTTATTAAATAGGATAGGGACCTTGCGCGGCCATTATGTAAAATGAATCTTCCTCAAATTTGGCGGTATTTCGGTAAACGGTATTTAGTGAATTCAATGTCCAGTGTACGGCATTGGCCAATTATGAATTAAAGAATGTAGCATTTTTATTAGAAATGTGGGCGAAATGCTAGCGGTGGTTTCTTGTTGTATCAATTTTGTAATCTTCGTGATTTTCCCCGATAAATCCGGAATTTTTTTATTCTCTCATCTATTAATGGCGTTAGTACTGGTTGAAAAATCCTGAAGTTGCAACTGCAAATGTGCATGATTTAATTTCGGATTATTTATATTTCCTTTTTACCCTTCGTTTACCTCACAATCTAAAATATAGATTCGCCTGAGACAGCGAACCACTTATCGTTTTGCCCATAGGTATGTCATTTACAACATGTCATTTATAAAAAGTAAACTCAACTTCAGATGGGGACAAGTAGGAGGAGTCTTTGAAATACCAACTGCGTAAGAAAAGGTCACATTTTTTAAAATTTTGCTATCGAAAACAGTACAATATTATTACAATGCATCCGTGTGCGGCTTTCGTAATACATAAAAGGTTGTAGTGTTTTCCTTATATATGTATATGAAGGAATGCCCTACTTAGAACTTAGTTTTATAGGATTTGCTTGGAACTGAGCCCTAACCCCTTTTTACTTCACGCTGGTGCTGCTGCTAACTGCTTCTGTTTTGTATAAAGCTATCAGCATAGCAGAACAGCATTTTTTGATTTTCAACTATTGGGCGTTAAAGGCGATCTAACTGCATAAAAAAGAAACTAAAAAAAAATTATGTTTGAAATAGAAATAAATTTGGGTCGTTTCAGTATTTACTTTAGTTCCTGGAGTCGAAAGTTTGCTTCGACAAATGGTGTTAGGTCACGAATGGAAGAATTATATTTTGGTGTCGTACAGGGATTTTTTCTTTGACCTCTCCTTCTCCTATTAAGAATTTGTATCAAATGAGTTTTAGTTTGGTCGAGAAAGCTGCCAGGTAAACAGGATCTCTTCTTCTACAAAGAGTATCAACGACTTGAACAGAACAGAGAAAGCACTTTTTTCCCTGAGAAAAATCCCTGAGATTATGTTTGGGCATATCTCTGTGGTCCTTTTCCTTTAGCTAGACCACATTGGCTCTATTAACTTTATCTTATACTGAGCTTTGCAGTAACTGTACTACAGATACTGCAAAGCACAGTAGAAGATAACAGTATTTTTTATTGTAGGGCTTTAAAGGGCTTAATTTCTATCGATCGTCACAATTATTTTGGACTCGATTTAGCCTTTTCAGAATTGTAAACCAATATCACGTAACTGCTTGGATATTTTATATATTTTGATTTAAGAATGAAATTTGGGTACCACTTTCAGAAACATAGTATTTCATTTTCCCTTTCACCCAAAAATTAAATTATCAGTAATACTGAATCTTCATGAAACATTCTTGCCGTTTACACAACAAATGTTGTTGAAACTTTAACTGCAGGAATTGATATAAAATAGATCAAATGGGTGGTCTCGGTTTAAACATTATACTTGAATAGGGGGGGGGGGCGCAGTCAAAAAAATAACTTTCTTGTACGACGTTGGACTACATTAATTGCTGAGGGATTATCTAGTCTTTCGCTAGCTCATTGCCCAGCCTCCTATAACCGTACCTCCTAGCACTACACCCTGGAATTCACATCTAGTAAGAAAATATGCTATCAAAAATAAATTAAGGGAAACAGCATACACAAAACTGTTACACAATCGAGAAAACTATATGCTTCAATGCACTAAAGAATAAGAATAGTTGTATCCACTATCTATCAAATAGACTCTGAAAGGGTATAATGTCAAAAGGGAAAGTTAGCTAAATATGATGAAATCTTCAGAGAATATATGCTAGAAAGATTGATGAAAAAGGGACCTGGACAAGCTTCATATCTCGTAGGCGGATGAGTTTTGGATATATTGTAAACTTTCCGCTGATGTATGGGAATTTATTACATGCTTGAATCTTGAAGATTTCCATAGAAATTACTCGAAACTTAAATGAAGTTAATCAAAATTCAAACTGAAATTTTTTCGGTATAATTCATATTGAAAACTCGGTATAACTCGGTCCAAAAATTCTTGCGGAATTACGGTAATCAGTGAGTTGACCCCACATCAGTGGTTGACCCTGGTTGACCCCGGCCTTCAGCCTCATAATCAAGTGGAGTTCAAATCAAAATTTCCCTTATATTTTGGAAAATGGTGAATTTCGAACCACAGCAATTTGATATAGTTTAGATTAAATGATTGCATAAATATGGAAGACAAAGGAAACAGCAAAAAAGAAAATTTAGGTTTAGAAGAAAGTAAAGTTGACGGAAATCGAAGCTGCCATATCGGGAAAGCAGACGAAGAAAGTGATTGCGATAACAAAGTGGCAAAGAATACTACTACCGAAAATGCTCAATTTGCTTCACCAGCCTTTCTCGCACCAAAAAAGACTGCGCTCAAAAGAAAACCTCAGACAGTAGTGAAAAAGAAATCTCCTGATGGCGAGGAATCTAGTGGGAAAGAATTGAAGACAACAACGATTCAAAATGTGACATCAGTCACAGAACAGTCTCCTGAAAAAAGTGAAAATAAAACTGAAAACCCTGAGCAGCAAGATTTAAGTCAAAGGAAACCAAGTGTTCCCTTTAGTTGTCCAAGCTGGTGTACTACCTGCTCTAAGGATTACGTCTTTGAGATCCTAAAAAATGGTGTTATGAAAGGAAAAATAGATTTGACTGACAAACCATTCTATATCTTTGGACGACTAGAAGGCTGTGATGTGCTCTTAGAACATCCCTCTATTTCCAGATATCATGCAGTTGTTGTTTATAGAGGAGCTCAGGAAAAAGGGTCAAAGATAGAGGAAGGATTTTATGTTATGGACCTTGGCAGCACCCACGGCACAGTTGTTAATAAAATAGCTTTACAACCACATGTTTACCACAGGATTCGAGTTGGATATGTTATAAAATTTGGTGCAAGCAGTCGTTTATATGTTTTACAGGTATAATATTCAATCAGTTTGCAGTTTATTCACTCTGCAGATTGTGACAGTTCCTGGTGAGATTGTGTGCAGGCAGATTCATTTCAGCCTTTTTACTGTATGCAGAGCTCTGTTTTCCCAACGATATAATAGACTAAGTTATTCTACAAAGTAAAAATTTAACCATAGAGTATTTTCCAGATCTCATAGTTGCATTTATCTGTTTTTGCAAGTTGGAGGAATAAAGTCCTTTTGTAAGAAGTTTGTTTTATTGAAGATAAAATTGTTTTTAAATAAAGTTGGCTAACTCTATGCTAGTTAGGTTTCTATCAAATTTTCCTTACTTGTAGATCAAGATGATAAAAGATAAGATAAACTAGCAAAATGATTGATACACTAGTTTAATCAAAAGATAGAATAGAAAAAGTAAGAATATTACAGAAGAAAGTAAAATAAAAAACTAGGAACTAAAATCTAGGTAAAAAGAAGGTGGTGTGGGGAATGACAAGGCTTTTGGCTTGGATTAGAAAGCATGATCAGGTAGCTGAGTTGCCTTGTTAGAGTGATCACACATTTATTGTCTGCAATTGTTTCATTGCACCTATAGCTTTTTTAATGTCACTTACTTCTGATAATGATCATTTTTGATAATACATCTCTTTACAAAAAAATGCTTAATTTTGTAAGGGTCCTGAAGATGATCAAGATGAAGAGGTTGATATGAATATTGTAAAGGAAAAAAGAGAAATTGATAAGAGTGAGGAGGATGAAGAACCAACTGATGAAAGTGTTGAAGATGCTGGGATATCATGGGGCATAGGTAAGAGCTTTTTATATTTGCCATCTGTATCTAACATTAAATATTCTGTCTTGGAGGAATTATTAATCAATGCTCAATGTATGAACTGGATAGTTGTTATAACCAACAAGAACAATTGGTAATCATAGTTTACTTAAATGTTTCAAAAGGTTTCTTTTCACATAAACAATTGCCACTTTCCTAAAGATGTTTGTTTTAATTGAGACTGATTATGCAAGCCTCTGTGTTTGCACAAGCTTCTAGGTTCATTTTTAGGCAAACTGAATTTGTGCTTATTTGTATGGCTGATATAATGGTCAGTTATCATTTTGTTATGTCAACTAATATAGCTTGATCATCTGAATAAATGTGAATGACTCTAGTTTTGACAGAGGGGCATTTTGTTGAAGTACAAAAAAAGTTATTTCAGTACTGAACAACACTTTAGCTGAAAAATATATTCTATTTTTAATTTTTTTTGTTAAAGTAACTGAATGTTGGAGATATTCTGTCAGCTTTTGCTTAATTATGGAGTATTATTGATGACCTCAGTTTGATTCAGCTTAAATTTGTAAATTCCCATATTTGGTTTTAAGTGATAGTGTTTTCTTAAAAGTCTTTTCTTCTTTGTGAAGGTGAAGATGCAGTAGAAGAAGAGATTGATTTGGAGAAATTGCTTGCAAGTAGAAAACCTTTGGAACTAAAGGACCCTAAAAAGACTCTTAGGGGCTTTTTTGAAAGAGAGGGTAAGTTTTAATGGATCACTGTATGGCTGCACCATTATTAAAAGCATTTTGATAAGATTTTCAATCATTTTTTGCAAAATCTGTAGATATGAAGCCTTGTGATTTATGGGTATTTTGACAGGGGTGTAACATGCTCAACTTCCATTGGACTCTTTATGCTTTTGTATTTTGTTGGTTACAAGCTTTCTTGGAGAATGTTTCAATAAAAGGGGCAGCTTGCATACCATTCAAATAATTTTCTTTAGGCTGTTTTGTTTTTAATTTTTCAAACTATTGTACCACACTTGAGTGATGTTGCATTTTTTCAACCAGGCTTGGAATTAGAGTATGAATCAGACGAAAGAGGGACAGGACATACAAAAGTTTTTGTTATTAGGGTCAAGTATGTGCATTGCGCTCTTTATTGTGATAACTTGGAATCAAAAGCCAACAATATCCATCATGAAAAAGCTTCTGAGATGCTTATTTCTTCACAGCCCATATGGCAGTCTAATATTTTCTATTCATTATCTTTGTCATAGTAGATACCTTAATGAATAATATTGTTCTCGTCATCATATATTAGTGTTCATTAGCCAATTTATTATTACTCTTTGGAATACCTTTTTAAATTGGATATAAAAGTATTTTATCAAGATCATTAATTATTTTGTGCTCACATTTCTAACTTGACAGACTGCCTATTGAAGATGCAGCAGGACAAGAACTAGTTGCTGAAGGGACATCAACCAAAAAGAAAGATGCTGTGGTTGCATGTGCATATGAGGCATGCAGAATAATTGATGCTCATGGAATGTTAAGAAATGCTATACATGGTATGGTATTTGTTTATTTGCAACTTTATAACTTTTCAGGTTATAGCCTGTTCCTTCAGCCTAGTTCTTTGCTGTAACTGGGCCTTGCTTGTCTTGCTGGATAAATATTTTTAGAGAACTTTCATCATATCAATCCTTAAAGGTATCAATGACAATTACCAAAATTTTGCACTTTATCCAATCAAACAGAAAGTGAAAGATCAAAACGTGCAAAGAGATTGGCAGACAACGATTATTATGACAGCGATGAGGACACTTTTCTCGACAGAACTGGTGCAGGTGGGCTTGCAACTTGCTGTATTTTTGTTCATGTTTATTTCTTTTCTATTGGAAACTGGTTTATTCCTTCCTAAACTTTGTTACAGTCATCGCATTTCACCTATTATAAAATCTGGTAGAATAATATAAAGATTATTTGATGATAGAAGTGTTAACAACGAAATAGATGATCATCAGTTGATCTAAAGCATTGGTGTAGGAAAACAGGAGAAACAAAGAGGGTAACAATGAATTTGGCACAAACCTTTCTGTTTACCATTTGCGATCATGCATGCGGATATTAACAGATGCCTTGATAAACCAAGAAAGTCATCTTTAAGGGTTAAATCCATTTGATTGACCGATTTCTTTGCTCTCTTCATTTCTAGCCTGTAGACTTGTCATGAATCATCATTTTATGCTGGCTAGTGGTTCAGCTACAGGCTACATATTTTTATTAATATCTGACTTTTATTTAAGTCGAATCAAAACGACAGAAGAGATTGAAAAAGGCTGGACAAGCTGCCAAAGAAACTGTGGAGACTTACGATAGTTTGGTAAATCTTTTTGCATCTCATTATAAATTTGTAAAATATCAAAATAATGTTCATAAAATTGCTGTTATAATCGCTCAGGTCCGTCCTAATAGAATATGGGGATACCATAATGAAGTCAAATTGTATTCAGTCAAACGAAAGTATCATATATCCCACATAGTATATAAATGATGTGAATAATGCAGTAATGTTATATTGTATATACAGTTGTGTCCAGAATCTTTGCTGAACAGCTCCAGTCTTCCTGCTTTTAAGGTCCATAGGACCGATGTTGACAATGAAAAGAGACATCAAAAGATACTTTAAAAGATACATACAAGTTAACATCAATTATTTCGGCTAAATTGAAACCCTACAATAAACTCAATACCCTGAATTTGTTATCAGAGTGCAGCATTAAGATGACTTGTCACTTCAGAAACGCAATGCCTTAATGTGACCCTGCACACTCCCGTTCTCTGCCTTTTGAAGTTTCCCCCAGGAACAGACCTTGCAGAGAGTGTGTTTAAACATTATAGTATTTGTCCATTTTCCCATGAAGTGAGTCTTCCCACTCTCGTTAGCCTCCTTCTTTATTCTACAAACTATGATGCAATTACGTATAAAACTAAACCCGTTCAAGACTCAGACAAGAAGGGAAGACACACGAATTAGAAATTTGGATACACGAACCCGACAAAGTGATCGTTTTTTTGTAGACAGAGGCACTTGAGACGACACTGCAGGAAATACAATCCTTGGAAAAGTCGCTCTCAGATGATCAGAATGGTAACATATTTTTTTAGCGTACATTTCTCTTTTCCGGGTCTTTATTTTAACCAGGGTATGAAAAATGTTTTCCTTCCTGCGACCGGACAAAATCATTTATAAATTTTCTGCGAGAATGGGAAGATAAAAGAAGATAGGGTCACATTCTAAAAAGCATAATGATGTGTCACCAGTTTTATGAAAGAATAAGCTATATTTATAAAGGTTTAAGTTCATTTTCTTATTTCATTTCAAAATTATTATCTGTTTTGGTGACTGAAAATTATTCTTTTTTCATAAAGGCCTAAATTGATCTGATATAGGGGTTTAGCTAAAATCTTTACTTCGTAACTGGTGAGAATATTTACAGTTAGTATGTTAAAATTTGCTAGAATGTAGGTAGAGAAATACAAATGGAGATTAAATCGGGTAGGTGTTATCTTTGGGTGAACGGGGCAGGCATTGGCATAAACAATATTAAAAATGAGCCGAAAATGGTTGATCATATGATGTCCTTGTATCCATGGAAGTTTTAAAAAAACTTTTTGATAAAGATTTTGGTCAGAACCCTGAGAAGAAATCGCTTGTGAAAAGGATTTTAAGAGAAAATTTACTTTAATCAGTAAAAATCACTGTAATAGGCAATATAAAGCAGAGGCCTTGGATGCATCAACATGGCATCAATTTCTAAGAATTTTCAAGAATTTTGCAAATTATAACAAAGACTCTTAAACCAGATGAAAAATTGTAAAAGTTTGTCAAACAAGAATTTTTAAAAACATTCTCAAGGGTTCTTAGGTAGAAAAACCATTTTAACATATGCAAGGCACATATATAAGATACATTTGTTTTGTCTTCATGTTTTTTTATGAACATTAAAGAAAAATGGTGCTTTTTGCAAAAGGGTAGGTTTTAAAAAACTTCCTGCAGAACTTAATTCATGAAAAATATCCTACGAGCGCCACATGGTCGGGTGGGTTTTCATGCCGTGATTTTAATGTTGAAATTTTTATCAAGCATCTACAAAATATGAATCAAAATTGCATAAAGGAAGCATGAATTCTAGGATTGTTGATTCTTTGGCTGGATTTTGTAGACCGGGAACAGGAAGCCTTTGCTCTTAGATGTTGTATGGCTGGATTTTGTCTCTTCTATTTATATTACCATGATTATTGCTTGCAGAGTGCCCAGTAGTGCTTTTCTTGGGCCTCTTATAGTGAATCATTGTGACAATTAATCAGAAAGTATGTTTTCAGACCACCCGTTTCAGTTTTCTTTCAAAGTCTCTCCCCCAAGCTTTTGGGTTAGATGTCCCATAGTTGCCGACAAGTTTGATTATTCACCGAAAAAGCACCCCTGAGATGGCTCTTCGTTTTTGAGATAAAACATGGTTCAAATTACATTTTACAGTAGCTGAGACTCAGCTTGTTCTTGATTTGGTCTTAACTTTTTACCAATTTTGAGGCTGTCGTCTTATAAAATTGTTCTTATTAAAAAAAGAGTGTATAGTCTTTCGTGAAGAAAATTCGCCTTACGTATCTGACCTTAAGGTTCTTCTTTTTCTTTTTCAAAACAAAACTTATTTTTAGTTCCGGTTCCTACCTTTCCTGGGTACAGAAAAAGGAGGGCGTTTGCTTACCAGAAGTATTTTCTGGTTAATTGAAAAAACAACTGATGGGCTATTGGCCTATTGGCCTATTATCCAATTTCTGTCAGACACCCAAGGAACAAACCTGTGCAAACTGTGTCTGTAATTGTAACTTTGTTTGATAAAAAATATGTTATTTTAACGAAGATTTTGTTGTCTGCATGTTTTTAATGTCTGTCTGTATTCACTTGAAGTCTTTAACGTTTTTCATGAGTTTTAACAGCAGTTTTAATATTGAAAATTGGTGCCTTTTCTTAATGGACTCCATCGTTCCTTTGTGAATAGTTACAAGATGCTTGAGACAAAGTACATTTTAAAACTATCAAATTTCCTTTAGCTGAAAAGCGTATCAATCAAGATGGTGGAGATGAGCTCGATCAGTTTATGAACACTGTGGATTCACGCTTGGACAAGAAAACCAGAATTAGCATGAAGCATCGCCTGTCTGCTTTGAAAAAGGTGTGTCAGTGCCAGGAAAATTCAGCGTACAGAGAAACCTCAAAATATTGCTAGATTTATTGTTATTTACTTTTTAATGAAGTGTTTCATAGCCTGGTGCTACGAGAGATGGAATAGGTAGCAACCGCCAAAATGAATATGATCTCTATTCTAAAAGCCAGAAAGATCTGTTTTCAAAATGTTTATGTGGAGAAAGCTTTGCCACCAAAGTATTCTCGCCGTTTTTTTGTTGATTGTAGACAAACGCCAGAGGTTATTTTTTCAATTTCTGAGATGGAACAATTCTTCCCGACGCCCTTGATCTTCTAAAATCCGCTGCAGAAATAAAATTTACTGAAGCCTATATATATTAGGGGGGGGGGGACATTTCTTATTTTGAGGATATGTACTACTCTATGAAAGGCTAGCGTTTTGCAGCCCTTGTGAGAGCGGCTGGATAGTGTAAAGAATTCACCCAGCCAAAGTGGCAATTTGCCAGTAGGTTTTTCGGAGTACATCAAGTACTATCACAAAATCAATCAGTCACAATGCTTCACATTCAATGACTTCTTTAATTAAAATTTGTACCAACTGCTCTTCTTTCCAGTGTTCAGGACATTTCAATAAACATTTTGATTATTTTCTCAGGAGCAAAGACGCGTTGAAAAACTTCTGGAAATTGTCAAACCAGTCGAATTACCACCTTTAAAAGCCCCCCAGTCTCCTTTGTAAGTAGCCTCGTAACCTTGACATCATTGATTCTTCCCTCAATAATCGTTAGTTCCTATTGCAAAAATAAGTTGCCTATATGTTGAACTTCCAGCTGCACATTATGTTTCAAGCAAAATTTTAGACTTGTTGTTTTCAAAGTTTAACTTGCAAAATTTTGCCGTGAGTAACAGACAGCTCATTGTACCAATGTTATTGTCATCAACCGCAAAAAGGAAAAACTTAGCTACCAGTGATTGTTATTTGCCCAAAGTTTCTATTTCTCGTCATTTTTCCGCACTCTTTCAGGGTTGGAAGAAAGAATGATGGACCAGAAATTAAAGGTAAACTTTTAAACTACCAATAAATAATAATTTTTGTTTTGTTATCATTTCATTTTGAAAAAAACATAACACTTACAAACCTCACTTTTACAAGGTAGTTTGTATGTGGCACACTTACATTGCAAAAAAACTATTACAAATGCAAAGAAGAAAAACGGTTGTACACAGCATAAATATAAGCATGATGATGTAATGATGGTGACGATACTGATAATGCTGATGAGGATGACAAAAGTGGTGATGATGTTGATATTGGCAATAAAGATTGTAGTAGTGGTGGTATAGGTGGAGATAGAATACTTGATTGAAAGAAGCTCTGGGTTAGACCAAGGGTTGTTTCTATGGCAGAATTTAAAATAGGTGCATCGAAATATGACCTTTGACCAACCAATATAGATGTAACGACGATGGGAATTTTCAACAGCAAGATCGTCCAGCATATCTGTAAAAGTAGAGCATGATTGCCCAGAGATGCCAGGAGAACCAATGGAGAGGTTAACAAATTTAACTGAATAATAATAAAGCTATTTAAAGAGGAAGCATCAATAACTCGATAGTGCTTTTTATGAGGGTCCTCTAAATTGTGCATGTAAGACGCCTAAACATATCTAGCAAAGTAAGAATCAATGGAGATTTTTCTGTATCGTATTGAAATATAAAATACAACGCTTCTATCAATTTATGCACGTTGTACACTAGTCACATCAAGAGAAGGACAAGAAATCGAGAGGACATACACGATAGCTTGTTTGAGAGAATGTGAAGCAATATGAGATTTTCAAACGGAGATTGTTTTTATAATCATTTAAACGAAAGCTCAAAATTTACCAAGATCTGGTCTGATCAGCCTGGAAGTCTTCGGTTTTCCCACCATGAAATTTTAGACACAAATATGAAGTTTGATTGATGTGAAGTTTTGAAACAAATAAGTTGCAACGGTAAACTAATATGGAATGAAAGGGGTGTGCGTGTGCACCGCTCCGGACGTGTCTGACGCACAGCCACTGTTTGCAGCGCACAGCCACCGTTTGCGGCGCACAGCCACCGTTCGCGGCGCACAGCCACCGTTCGTGGCGTTATTGACACAACGGCACACAATTAATGAAGATTTTGGTGCATGGTACTGCTACTCAAGGTTCCCCTTTGGCCGGCGCATTTGCCGTCCGTTTTACGAAAATTAAACAATTTAAACTGGGCTGCAAGGCAGAGAGAGGAACCTCACTAGACTAGACAATGCACCGCGGAGCAAGGGGGCTGCCCCCACTTTTTGCGAAAAATGCAAAATATTAATAGGTGGACCACTAGAAAAGCCTCTTTTTATTCGGTTTTTTAGAACTTTTTTAGACCCCCCACTTTTCTCAACGCTCCGCGTGCCTGTTGGACACCTTCCGTGAGAATTTTGCTATGGTTTCACCCCGGTACTTTTAGATCCGTTGCGTGAAATAACATGTACCAGAATGTTTTACAGAGACAATCTACGTGAGAAAGAAAATTTACCTGCTAAAAGAAAGTTACATGTCACACCTCCGACGGGACTCGAACCCGCAATCCCCGGCTTAGGAGGCCGATGCCTTATCCATTAGGCCACGGAGGCTTCAAGTTTTGTCATTCAAGAATTGGAGTTCAAACAGTTGCTGTGTGCTGCCAAATAATTCTGGAATTTTTATTTTTCATTGTTTTCATTGAGACATACCAACGTTTGTGGAAAATTCTGGGAACAGGATGAAGGATAAATTTTAACATAAATCTATCATGTGGTCGACCACCTGGCGAATTACCTTTAGACATTTCACCTGTTGTATCGTTGCAACTTTTGTCTGTTTAATGAGCTTTACCAAGAAACATCCCTCTATGCAGGGTACCCCATTCTTCTTTGCAAAAAAGCGTTGGAAAAACTGGCAGTTAACCTTTAATTTACCTTTTCTATCCATGTTTACAGATGGTGCCAATCCAAGACGAGATGGCTGTAAAGTTATCAGTATAACTCTCCTCTGTTTTCATGATTTTTTGGTTTTTTTTCGTTAAGATTTAATTCGTTCCAAAATTGCTTTAAGGGCAATCGTAAAACTAATATTTTAGCTCAGTATCTGGTTAGCGATACTATCCACCATCATGTCCTTCTGTATGAACCCATGGCATCCCTATTTCAGGTCACACTGCTTCCAAAATTGTATTAGGATGACATTTTTCAACTGCTTTCTGCATTGCTCAGTTTAATTGCTTCCCAATTTTAGAAAAAGCAAAAGTTGAACAAAGCAACGTAGACACAGTTATAATAGACCAAGAGAAGGCTCAAGATGGAGCTAAACATGTCAAAGCTGAGAGAAGTACGTCCAACGATTGCAGCAAGCCCACAATGAATTATGGGAGTTCCCTAGTTGATGTGATCTCAAGAATCAACCCTAGCTCGGAAGAATCAGACAAGGTCGAACAACATCCAAGGCAAAAACAGGTCAAATTTGCAACTGCATTTTAGAATCTTTCTTGTGGTTGCTGTTGTTGTATTTTCATCAATTTTTAGAAGCTATGTGAACCATGCATTGACAAGGTTGGGGGGGTTGGTGGGGTGAGGGTGAACACCCCACTTAACGCTGTAAAACCTGGTTAAATATCAAACTTGATCCTATATTTTTCAGTGTTTGTAGTATGTTTCGATAATTAAGTCACTAATATGCCCTGAGGCATTTCGAACTACGACATGAATTTGCTATACGAATTTTGCTGAATTTTGCTACCTTCGGATCGATAAAGCTGTAAATTCAGCCAGATTCAACATGTGTTTCATCATTAATATGTTTCACCAGAATAAGTTTTTGACCCGCAAGCCATTTCCCCACGAACAGGTTATACCTACACTGCAGAATTTTCAATGCAATGTCATCTATTCGTTACGTTTGATATTAAAAATATTAGGCCATTACCCTTAGCTTGGCACTTGCAATTAGTAAGGTAAAGGAATTTGTTTCATATTCACTTATATTTATTTTGTGTAATATTTTCAAGTTCATTAATTGTGCCATTGGAGCTCCATTACATATCTTGAAAGTACTGCAAGTACTTTCAATTTAATCCTTATTCTTTATAGCATTTTCTCTTTAGAAAACAAAGAAAAAAGTTTACGGAGCACAGATGACCCCAGATTCGACTTCCAAATTCGATGCATGGATTCCTCCAAAAGGTATGAACAAGCAAATTTTTTTGTAGCAAAAATATTTTGTCTTTAACGCGATAAAGGCAGCTTGGTAACAAGGTTCAAGCCTCCATTGTCACCATTTTGAAGTTTTTTTAGGGTAGTTACTGTTTGGATGGCAAAATTGTGTTTCATGATTTTTTAAAAACGAATGGTAATCGATTAGCATTTTTGAAGATGTTGCAAAGAAATTATCATTGTAAGATAAGCCTGAACTAGTCCCCATGCAACATATACCGCAGTGCCTCTAATAAGCGCCTAGGCGCTTATTTATTTTTTGAGGCTCCAGGGTGGGCGCTTATTTAAAAAGTATATTTGGGTGCAAATTGTGTTGTTCATTAATCTTTCTTGTTGAATTGCTTTCCAATTATGTTTTCGTTGAAAATTCGAATAAGCGCCCATTTCTGAAGGTTGAAGGGTGGGCGCTTATTCGAGGGGTGGGCGCTTATTTAATAACTTCACCTCTGGGGTGGGCACTTATTCGAGGGGGGCTCTTATTTGAGCGGGCGCTTGTTTGAGGCATTGCGGTATCTCAGATCTTAAATTTTCCTGGTGTTCTTCTTGAGTGCAGCATAGTTATTGTGCCAGGTATTGGTCATATCCTACTGCTGCTCCATGTGTTTTTCCCCCGGCCCGCCAACTTCGAAATATCCAGTTTAGCAAGTCAAAGTCCCTGTTATTTTGCTAAAGCCATTATTCTTTTTCCAGGTCAAACTGGCGATGGTAAAACGCATTTAAATGAAAGATTTGGCTATTAGACAATGAACAAACAGCCGTTTGCTTTCCAAAACATGTCGAAGTGGCACGAAGGACTGGCTGCCGAAGTGACTATGTGCAAAAAGGGCTGATTGCTTCCCAATTCTATGTACTCTGATTGATTTACAAAGCTATATCGAGATTCCTGAAAATAATACGCAATTAGAGCGCTGGTTTGAACTTAAATGACAATTCGACTCTCTTTGGCCGTAGCACAGACCTCATTATTCTATGAAAGTCAACATAGCACAAGACCCGACCCCACAAGAACCTGTCTGTCGAAGTAAATATTTTCAGTGGCTAACATACTTTTAATCCAAAAGTGAGCGCCGGGCTCATTAAATTTTCCAGTGCTTTTAGGGGCAGGCACCGTGGAACTGGGGGGGCTTTAGCGCTTCCACTTTTTGCAGAAAAGTGCCAAATATTTAGTATTAAACTACCAGTAAAGCCTCTTTTTATACGGTTTTAGCTCCCCACCACTTGCTTTAGACCCCCCCCCCCACTTTTCTCATAGCTACGCAGTGCCTGGGAGGTTCATGCAAAGCGGAGCACAGACCAGTTTTCAATGATTTTCCAGAACTAAACCTCTGTCCTCCACTTTGAAAAAAGCCATATTTTGGATTTGACGTATACGGACATGGGAGTTGAAGTAAAGTTAGGCTGTATTTTGTCATTTAGATAAATTTTAATGCTTGAATAGCGATAAAAAGTAATTTTTGAAACTTGTAGATCTTTCTACTTTTGTTTTTGAATACACATGTACATGTTGAATCTGGCTGAATTGATTAGCGACAGCTTTATCGATCTGAAGGCAGCAAAATTGAGCAAAATTCGTATAGCAAATTCATGTCGTAGTTCGAAATGCAAGCCTTTGGGCGTATTCAAAACTAAAGCTAAAAAAGGTTCTTTTTCGAGGGGACCCTTATTCAAGAAGATGTTCTTCTTCTATGCGGAATATATTTAAAAATCAACTATATTGGTGCCCCAAAAAGGATAAAAATTGAACTCGACGAAAATGGTTCTTAATTCTTAAATTATATTATTTGAAACTTACCAATATGCAATAATGCAAAAACGATGATGCATCGTCAAGAATTTGAAATCAATCGGCTGTTTTATTCAAAATCAAACAGTATGATAAGGAAGGGGTGTTCGAGATGGGGACCTATTCAATACCTGATGATAAAGAGAAGGGGGATTATTCGAAAAGGGGGTTTACAGTATAATCCGGTTATAACGTACTTTAAGGGATCAGTGTATTTAGTACGTTATATCCGAAGTACGTTGTAACGAGGGTAAGTAAAAGTTGACTAAAACCAAGCACACCTTTTGCCGGGACCAAGCACACCAGTACGTTATATCCGAAAGTACGTAATAACCGAGTACGTTATAACGGGATTCTAATGTAGTCGAATTATAACATTAAGCTGTTCAGAAATGATCTACTGTCAGCACTCAGTTTGGGCTAGAATTTTTGATAGTTTCAGTAATGAGCTTTGGTGAAATTTGTTTTAACAGACGATACGTGTAACGTTCTACGTTCTTTGCTAGCATGGAGAGACTGGCGTGCTTAGGCCCGGAGGCCTAAGCCAAGTAAAACAACAGCGTAGTTATAGAACAACGTATCTCAATCAAATTCAAACCAAGACTAATTTATTATTACCAACAACGATTAATAATAAAAACGGAAACTACACACTGACTTAAGACAATAGATACCTGACAACAAGATAACGTTTGATCACAGATACATCACGCAACACAACTAATTCACAAACCCTAACACGTTACATACGCATAGAAGGCCTCTAAATCGCAATATTTAACTAAATTATTTTTTGTTTCGATGTTCTTCTCCATTTAAGTATTTAGTGTGGTCACACCCTTGAAAATCAAAACTTCAACTAAACCCTTTGACTGAGGGCCTCCACTTGCGTAAGTAAAAATGCTAAATTTGATGAAACGAATATCTAAAAATTGTGATCAATTTATTTCTTGCATGGGAATGTGGGCACAACGCACTTTGTCAATAGATGACGCCCCTAATTCCCAATAGTTGGCCTAGAGACGGGACTTACTTGAGGACGAGGAGCTGCGACACTCCCACCCCCTCCAAATATTTGTGACATTCTGTGTATTTTGCTTTGATTTGGTAAAATAATTATCGGTATTACGTAGAAATCAAACGACGCCAGAATAGAATCTTAAAAATAGATGCTTCATCGTTTTCTAGGCACCTAAAGTGTTCGGCACCAGTATCCAATCATTATCTAACACCCCCCTAATCCTTGCCGCTAAATTCGTCCCTGCCCCTCTCCCCGCAATTAGAAAAAAATAATCGACGATTCGATTACATTCGATTACATAATGTCCTTTGTTATCTTCTTTTCGTTTGTGTTCCTCGGTCTGTTGGCTACTTCCTACGTCTCCTAATGACACCATTATGGTACGATAAGTCTTGCCACAGGATACAAAGTCCAGCGATGCACAAATAAACAACTTCAGTGTTTTCTGTAGTTGGAGATTACCCCCTCCTTGAAATTGTTTTTCTCGTTGGTCTGTGCATCCTTTATTCCAGTCAATCATCGGTCAATTGCATATGAGAACACTATTTGATTGGATACCTTCAACAGTCTAGTCCATATTTGGCAAGGTGGATTGTCTTCGAGGTTCAGCGGTCCTTATCTTCTAGACAGGTGGCGTAAAGGCAATTATTTCGAAAGACAATTGGGCATGTGTACCTAAAACCCGGCTTCACAGAGTGATTTTTTTTCAGTGTAAGGTCTAGCTAGAGCTTCAAAATGGGTGGTACAGTTTCAAGGAATAGTTTTGACTGGTCCTACACAGAAGAACCACACGCATCAAGAAGGGCGGAAATGTTGAGTAAGTAAAGCAAACTTTTAGTTTGTCGTGACTTTTTAGGCCTTTGGGCGAGCAGACGGTTTCGTACTAAATTCCAGCTGAAAAATTACGAAGTTGTTCATCAAACTCATTATTGAGTCCCTGAATATTTGACAGACATAGCAAATAATTTTGGTTTTCCTTCAAAGGATCCCTTCTTCATTTTAGATGGGCCTATCCTCAAAGCTGGTATTATTTTTAGATAGGGTCGTATTCAACTTCACAGACTGTCCTTGTCGCGTAGACTTATTCTTATTTTCAACTGAACACCAATGCACAGAAAACAAAATTGTTTTCCTGCTTAAAATTTGGTTAGCAATTGGTTGGTAAATGTTGACTGATGGTTGCAATTGCCGATTCTTTCTTAGCTCGAAGTCTAGTTAAGTGTTTCTGCTTTGATTTCGTCTTCCCATTGAATCAAGTGTCATCATGAAAAGTTAGGCTGGCCGACGCTCCACATGAAATATTTTAGGGTTTAAGCTTCTAATGCAGTGGCGTAGCTAGCCAAATAGCAGTGGTCATGCCCTCCCCTCAAATTTGAAAAAATATGGGTGTGGCCAAATTTTACCACGCCCAATTTTTTAGTTGATGAATTCCTTTTGGAAATTTTAATTTTAAGGCTTGTGACTTATAAAAAAATTGTGATTAACTTTTGGAATGAGCTTTTCTTATTTCATAGCAATCATCTTGTTACACTATGAAATGACCTTTATCTTATAGCTGTGACACTGTTTTTGTTTGTTGGTAATTTATACAGACAGAGTTCTGACAATTTCCAAACAGAACTATACAAAAGACATTAAAAAAACATTAGTTTAGTATAGTAGATAAACTTAGCTTAAATTAAAAATTGTTTTGTTCTCCTAATTTCTTTCAATTTGCAGGCTGGAATACATTTGTAAATTTTAGAGATAAGCTAAAATTTTTATATGAAACAATAAATCACATGAAACTGAATGGGAGTTTTTGGTCATCTTTTTCACAAATAGTCTTATTATCAATCTGTTGAAGGTATTTCAAAGCCATCACAATTAACTAACAACCCCAATAGAATTGATAGATGAATAAAACAAATTGGCAAATGAATATCCAATGTAAATATTGATATGAAATATAGGAAGCTAAAATAATGGATAGGCCTAGTTGCAAAATGTTTTCTGCAAAGTTAGACTTAATAGAAAAATACCTTGCAAAATAAGTTTAGCTTAACAAAAACATTGATGTTTCCACATATACTTGTGGTAAATACTCACATGATTGGATTGTCCTTACTAAATCTAGCAAACAAGGGTTGTAAATGAATAATTTGATCTTGTAAATTTTCAAATACATCAAAAGTTGTAATAGTGAAATAAAACTGTGTAACTAACAAGATTAGTAACATGCTTGACTTGTCTCTGGTCATTTTATTTCA